AGTTTTCAGAGAATTTGCAGCTATTCATGCTCTTTCAACTGACGTAGCACTCAATATGAATTTACAAATTCGATTTTTCAGCGAATTTTTGGGTGATGTGCCCCCTTAAGGGGGCACATCACCCAAAAATTTCATATGGCATTCAATTGACCGTAACTTTGGTGTTTCTCAGTGGATTTGAGTGAAATTTTGACCACACACTCCTGCCACTATGCTGGCCCTCAGGACATGATTTACAAGTTCTTGCGCCTCACTGACAGGCTTTCCAGGCCGGAAAAACTCAAATTTCCGGCATAGTGCCACGGTGTGCGAGCCACCCAGGAGCCAAACAAATGCATTTACATTTTTTTCACATTTTCGTGCCCATTCTGTCCGTGCGCGGGACCCAAACCTAAAACAAGTCCAGAAGCAGCCATGGGTGGTGGGGTAGGGCCCCTCTACGTGGCCCTGGAATCTGTCACAACGGAACGAGTGGGCGTTCTCTCGCGGACTCCCACAGGCCCAAGTCAATTTTTGAATTTTTTTAGGTTTAGCACGTGCTACGAGGTCGTACCTTTGATACAACATCCAGTGCTGGGACCTCCACAGCAAGCCATTTCCACAGCGCTGCACACCAAATCCAGGATGCCCTCAGAAACCGGCAAAGACTGCCACTCACGTTTCACTACTGCCTAGTACTGAATCCTACCTGACTTCTTGACACGACTCAAACTTGCCAAAGTCACTAAATCAACGTCAACTACAATAATCAAGCCACATATCTGCAACGTCACGAGGGTGCTGGCAAAAGTCCTGCTGCACGGCGGCGGGCTTCGCCCGCCGCCGTGCAGCCCAATACGTGGTTTTTTAACGTGATTTTTTGGACTTTTTTGGACTTGGGGCAAAATTCTGCACACTTTCGCGTGTTTCCATAATACGACAAGTTGCGCACGGTCTGCTCACATTCAAATACAGTGCTGCCAACAAATGATAGCATGCAACAAAAAAATCTTTCCTTGCAAGGGCACATTTTCGGCCATAACTCTTGAACGGCTGGTCAGATAGGGACACAGTTTTCAGAGAATTTGCAGCTATTCATGCTCTTTCAACTGACGTAGCACTCAATATGAATTTACAAATTCGATTTTTCAGCGAATTTTTGGGTGATGTGCCCCCTTAAGGGGGCACATCACCCAAAAATTTCATATGGCATTCAATTGACCGTAACTTTGGTGTTTCTCAGTGGATTTGAGTGAAATTTTGACCACACACTCCTGCCACTATGCTGGCCCTCAGGACATGATTTACAAGTTCTTGCGCCTCACTGACAGGCTTTCCAGGCCGGAAAAACTCAAATTTCCGGCATAGTGCCACGGTGTGCGAGCCACCCAGGAGCCAAACAAATGCATTTACATTTTTTTCACATTTTCGTGCCCATTCTGTCCGTGCGCGGGACCCAAACCTAAAACAAGTCCAGAAGCAGCCATGGGTGGTGGGGTAGGGCCCCTCTACGTGGCCCTGGAATCTGTCACAACGGAACGAGTGGGCGTTCTCTCGCGGACTCCCACAGGCCCAAGTCAATTTTTGAATTTTTTTAGGTTTAGCACGTGCTACGAGGTCGTACCTTTGATACAACATCCAGTGCTGGGACCTCCACAGCAAGCCATTTCCACAGCGCTGCACACCAAATCCAGGATGCCCTCAGAAACCGGCAAAGACTGCCACTCACGTTTCACTACTGCCTAGTACTGAATCCTACCTGACTTCTTGACACGACTCAAACTTGCCAAAGTCACTAAATCAACGTCAACTACAATAATCAAGCCACATATCTGCAACGTCACGAGGGTGCTGGCAAAAGTCCTGCTGCACGGCGGCGGGCTTCGCCCGCCGCCGTGCAGCCCAATACGTGGTTTTTTAACGTGATTTTTTGGACTTTTTTGGACTTGGGGCAAAATTCTGCACACTTTCGCGTGTTTCCATAATACGACAAGTTGCGCACGGTCTGCTCACATTCAAATACAGTGCTGCCAACAAATGATAGCATGCAACAAAAAAATCTTTCCTTGCAAGGGCACATTTTCGGCCATAACTCTTGAACGGCTGGTCAGATAGGGACACAGTTTTCAGAGAATTTGCAGCTATTCATGCTCTTTCAACTGACGTAGCACTCAATATGAATTTACAAATTCGATTTTTCAGCGAATTTTTGGGTGATGTGCCCCCTTAAACAATGACCCAATATTACTTGAAGTAGATTTATCACGACAAACAGTCCGTATTTCAAATTCCAGAATGATAACCTCATGAATCCCGGTTTTATGATTGCACAACCGTTGCACCACCATGCAGTGACAATGCTGCACTAGGCACCGTTCAACTGCGCAACCCCTAAGCAGTCAAAATTTTAAGCAGTCAATAATATAATTATAGCCCTATTAAAGGAGTGAAATATGCAGGAGTATTTGACTGCTTAGGTATAGCGAAAATCAAAGGCAGTCAATACTAAGGGAGTGATTATAATTATACAGTATTCCAAGTTTTGGATGGAAATAATAATTATTCCCGTAGCTATGCAGAAGACGTTACTTCAGTAACGTCTGGCGCTAGCCAGGGTCCACACAGCTTTAATTTGGTGTTTGTTTGTTTGTTTGTTTGTTTGTTTGTGTCACGCCTGGCGCTATCCCGTATCTGTCCCGTACCGTATCGCACAGCTGGCCATTTGCTGGCTCCCGTATCTGTCCCGTACCGTACCGTACCATCAAACACAGCTGGCTACAAACAGCTGGCCACAATATTTATGTACATGTATACGACTCCCTGTGTGTTGCAACTGTGCTTGAAGGCGACGGTTGCACTTTTTGTAGCTCCGTTTTATCTGAGTTTTCAGTCGTTCCTCTTACTAGTTTTGCCAAGGGTGTGGCTCTGAGTCTACCAGAGTGGCCCCTGGCGTATTTCAAAATTTGCTGGGGCGAGGGTTCCGCGACGCGGTCGCCAAGGCAGTTTCTTTTCAGTCACGACCGTTGTCGTCCTCGTCTCTCCATTCGCGGTGGTGTAGCTGACCCCCGAATGGTTTCAAACTGCGAAGCTCGGAGGAGTACAGTGGTGGCAGAGGCATGAGCTGTGACTGGAGACGGTTGCTGAAGATGGATTGTGATGCAGGGAGAAGAGTTACGCTGCCTGACGCCGCGTGGGAAATTGTTTGAACCTGCAATTTCAGTTCGAGCGCGGTGGACTTCTAGACGATGTGTCCTCATGGCTGTTTTTCAACGCTTGGCCTATCGCTGATATCCCTGCGTGGGATGTTCTTCCAGTGGAGTCCAGGTGGGACTTCGGGTGCCCCCACTCCATCACCTGGTTCGGAACTGCTAAAATAATTATTGTTTCCTATTTTGTACGCATCTCTTGTCATCTCTCTTTTCTATACGTCGCACACCAGATGTACTACTATCGCCGTCTTTCTCTTGTTTTCTCTCCCTGCTTTCTGTTTTTTTGTTTCTGTTGCCACTGTCCCTCATCATACCCATGCTTGGGTGGTGGGCGGCGTGACCCGTTAGGGTAGCTGCCAATACAGTACGACTCCCTGATGTATAGAGAGACTTTCCGGAAAGAAATAGGGAGACGAGGAGGAAATGAAATTAGAATGGATGTTAGTTGCCGAATAGGTGATAGGATGCGTCAGCAAAACCATACTTTGGAAGAGAGATCCCGTCGTCTCCAAAATAGGCGTGAACGGGCGAGTCAGCGCCGGTCACAGGAAACGTCGGCAGAGTGATCCCGTCGACTCCAGAACGCGTGTGCTCGGCAGAGTCAGCGCCTTCCCAGGAAACAGTTCCATCAGTTCCCACAACATGCACGATGAGCTAAGTAACAAAGCATAGCGTAGGGCCCCGAGCTTCCAAGCTCTCTCGTTCAGAAGTGATCGGAATGATGAGGTGTTTGGTTTCGTGAGGTGGTCAGCGGAAAGGGAGGTTGCACTCTAGTGTTGCGAATCCTACCCAGAACTTATCACAAACTGATTCAATCTGATTCAAGCTTCAGCAAAACGCTGACGCACTGGTGACTATTGAAGACAACTATTTACACATTCTGCCAATCCTTTCGGCTTCTCGCTGAAAGAAATTCAAACAAATAAATACTAACTTTTCACCCCAACGGCAATGGCCAAGGTGGGAGCCGATTGATGGGCTATCTTGCTGATCTTGTTGTTGCAGATGACAGCATGCAGCTGCACATGCACTGAGGCTGAGGCGGCTGGAAGTTTTGTTTTTGTTTTTCATACCACACTAAGCCGGCCTGAGCTGAGGTCTCGACCGCCATGTATGCCCAATGCACACACAATGGAAAACAAGGCCAAAATGATTCTTGGTTTGACAGCCAATCTAGCTGTCATCGCTTCAGCAGGCAACCACCACAGGCATCGAGCATTCCAAGCCGCATCATCATCAGCCTTTTCGCGTTGACATCGCCAAGCAAGCTTGGCTAGTCTTCGCTTAGGCCAAATGGAATAGCGAATGAGGAACGAGCTGCATTGCCGGCCTCTGTACTAACCCACTACAATCATGTGTAACAACGTATGGCATTGTGGGTGTCTGGGTTCAGTCTTCACATTCGAAACAAATTTTGAGTTGGGGTCCTCCGTTTGGAAACAGGAGTTTGGCTCGAGATCCGCTGCTCGGAATCTGGATGGCTCGTCAAAGCCATCATCCAGCGACTGACTCTGTCACTACCTGCGCTTATCCCAGCGCTGCATTTCTGGCACATGTACGAAATTTTGATGCACTGTTGCATTGCCGTCGGCCGCAAATCATTCGCCTTGTATCTCTGTCCATCTGTAATGTAGGCTAGCTGTCAATATTCGAGCCCTGTTGACTGTTGTACATCGGCTATGTCGATCTACCACCGACGTACAATTCACACACTATCGATGCGATCCACGAGGACAGACAGGAGGCAACCGAATTTGCCTTCAGGCAATTCGCCTTTTGGGCCTGCACCGACAAAGTCGAATTTTCCGAAAACGCAGTGAGATGTAAAAGCAGAAGACACGGCGCAGTTGCTCAGTTTTTGAAGACTTCTCTGTGCCGTGCAGGTCGTGTTCGCACGCTGCTCTTGCTTGCAGGCTAGGTAGGCATCGTGAAGATTCATCCTTTGCGGGGACGCGTTGCTAGACGGAGGAGAGCTGTGTCGATAGAGTTGTGTTGAGCTGAAGTGCACCTCAATGGGACATCGTGTCGGTGCGAAAATAGGATTTTTATTCGATGATGACGGTAAAGGAAGCAGACGCGGACACAAATTATTTGGACGATCTAAACAGAACGTAGTCTTCGACTGCACTCTTTGACAACCGTCCCTGGATGCATCGATCGAGCAGTAAAATCGTGCCCATTGTCATTGATTCATTCTCGTCCTCATTGATACTAAGAGTGTGCTGGCATTGACCGGACACCTCATAGAACGTCAAGCCGTCGACCACCATGCGGGCGCTGCGTCTCCTGTGCCTGGCAGCGGTGACGTGCGCAATTGCGCGAGTCAGCGTTGCGGATGAGACAACACCGACGAGCGATGATAGCAGCTCTCGCAAGAGTGGCTCGGGAGACTCTGAGCATGAACTGAGCAACTCAATAGCGCCGCCAACCAGCGTCACCAGTCCAGGCACTAGCCCCACCACAGCACCACCATCTGCGAGATCAGACAGTAATGGTGAGAGCGAGAACAATGAGAGAGAGGCGAAGAAGAACCCATCACAAGACTGGCAGAAGGATCCTCGCCCAAACATCGTGTTCATCATGGCCGATGATATGGGATTCAACGACGTTCCGTGGAACGAGAAGTTCATGCCGGAGGGCGTACGCAATCACATCCTAGCCCCGCGTATGGATGAACTGGCCAAGAAAGGCATAATCTTTGACCAGGGTTACTCGCTGCCTAAGTGCACGCCGAGTAGGGCTGCTGCCATGACCGGTCGCTACCCGCTCAGGTTTGGTCTGCACAGGGCCAACGTCAACTGGGCCTCGCCCTACGGCCTACCGCTCACCGAGACCCTAATGCCGGCCGTCATGAAAAGACTGGGCTATCGCACTCACTACGTCGGCAAGTGGCATCTCGGTGAGTGTAATGTCAGCTACGTGCCGACGTCTCGCGGCTACGACTCCTTCTTCGGTTCGTACGTGGGAGCTTTGAACTACTTCAGTCACAGCAAGCGTGATTCCAACGGCAGAAGCTTTGGTGTTCTGCACAACGGCACTCGGCCTACGACGCAGTACTACAATATGCACGCCACGGACATGTTTGCAAAGGTGGCATCGGACGTGATCCGCGAACATGCCAGCGGCGAAGACACACGTACCAAACCTCTCTTCCTCAACGTGTTCTTCAACGCGCCGCACTCGCCCATCACACCCGGCAAGTACGGGGTGCCGTTCTACAAGCTGCCAAAGTCCACCGTCAGCTCGCGACGTAAGGGTTACATGGGCTTGGTTCTCAGCCTGGACTATGGAGTACACACAATAGTCAACAGTCTGAAAGAGGCAGGCATCTGGGACAACACACTGCTGGTGTTCACATCGGACAACGGAGGCTTCCCCGGGACGGGGCTAAATTACCCGCTGCGCGGGGGAAAGGGAAAGTACTACGAGGGCGGCGTGCGAATGCCCATGTTCGCCTACCACAGCGGCTGGCATAACGTGTCGGGTTACCGTAGCGACACCCTGGTGCACGCCGTCGACTGGCTGCCGACATTCGCCACACTCGGCGGTGCTGAGAAACGTGACTTACCGCGTCGCCTGGACGGTATTGACTTCAGTCACGTGCTTAAGTCGCCCATCGACCTGAAGACCAGCCCGCGTCAGACCATGCTCTACGGAGCATTGCTGAAAACGCGCAATCGCAGAGACGGCCGCGGCACGATCTCGTCGGCCGTGGGCGCGTACCGTGCACGCTACTGGAAGATTGTGCTCGAGGATAGCCGTAATCCAATCAGGGATGAGTGGTACATCGGCACGGACCCGTCACCTCCCCCCACACGCGGCAACACGAGTAACAGTCACTTGCTGACGTGGTTCTCCCGGACGCGCAGCAACTGGGGTCTGTTCAACTTGAAGACGGATCCGTTCGAGGAAAACAACATCATCCGCCAGCACCCTGGAGTTTTCTATGAGCTACGCCGGCGATTGCTCCGGTATGTTGACGAAGGTGTCACGCCCCTTAGTGAAGTGTACCCCATGCAGCCTGAAGCGGCCAATCGGCACAAGGCGCTGCACAACTTTTACACACACGGCTGGTGCTGAGAAAGCCTAATGCACTGCTGTTGGTGTTTGTGTGTTGGCATGTGTGTGTGTGTATGCGTGTGTGCATGTGTGTGTGTACACGTGTGAGCATGCGTGTATGTGTGGGTGTGTTTGTGTGTGTGGGTATGTTTGTGTGTATGTGTGTGTGTGTGTGCACGTGTGAGCATGCGTGTATGTGTTGGTGTGTTTGTGTGTGTATGTGCGTGTGGGTGTGTTTGTTAATTTGCGCATGTCCATGTGCGTGTCTGGACGTGCATATAGATGCGTGCATGTGCACTGCTGATTGTACCTCTAATGTAGATGTGCATATACAATGTACATATACAGAAGAGTATGTTTGTTGACTGGCTTTCCTTGTGAACACACAGCATACAATCGCGTGCATGACTGTATTGAAGAGGCTTGCTCTTTGACTTGCCTTCACAGAACACCTGTTTATCTCCTTCGTCGAGGTATTATTTGAGTGAATCTCCTTTCCAGACGAGCCCTCATACTCATAGAGAATACTTGCCTGCACTCCTCCATAACACTGCCAGTCCTGCTACAGGAGTAGAATATTTAGACTACGAATGATTTCGTCAAACAAAAGTCGGTTCTTGCCGCCAAAAATCTCTTCAGTGGACAATGAAATCATAATTTTTTTTGAAGAGCTGGACAAGTCGTTGTGGCTAGGGTGTCAATCTGATGCCAGTGTGTGTTGTATATGTACAACTGTGCATACTCAGTGCTGCTGAAGGAAATCCAATCAAGCGAGTCAATACCACTACACGCCGGCATGCGCTGCGCAGCCCAACACCTATGAACACAGAGATGTGCACTGCAGACTGGCGCAGGCCCACTGTGTGGCCCCAGCCTGCGCTCTCAGTGCAGCGACTATTACTATTACTTTGCGAAAGCATCTCAACTGGTGATGTAATCGCATGACCTCTACAGTCTACACTTGCCATACGTAGATGGGAACGAATGGGTATAATTATTATATCGACCGATGACCACGCCTTTTTTTTAACTCATCATGCAAATAATTATAGCAAAACTTATATGAATAAAGTGTACACAAATGTCGATTCAGCTTGTCTTATTGATTGCGGTTAGCAAACTATGATTGTTTCGTTTTCGGCAGAAATCGGAGGTTTCACCCTCCGACGAAAAAGCAGCATTCGCTGTGTACATAACAACAACAACAACAACGTGAGAATAAAGAATTCAAAAATTCAAACAACAGCAAACGGTAAAACTAAAAGAGAAAAATGAGAAATACATGCACGCATTCTCTCTATATTGCAGGGACAAAACTACCTCGATTCCATCATGAGCCTAGCCACCAATGTTCAGAACCGAATAATCATTACTGAGATGAGCAGCACCGATTGTGCACTAACAGATCCACAGCATTACGAGAACAATGCCAGGCACCACCAATATGGCACCTTGCTACATACAAAAAGCAAAAAAAATAGCCTTTCGGAGATAACAAGTTCAATATCGCAACCAAGAGAACAAACTGTGCGATGACCATTCTTTGCATTTGCTTCTGCATGCGTATTAGCACCTCATTGACCCCGCTCGTTTCTCATTCTTTATTCCTTTTGGCCTCCGCGAAGACTAGCCATGCTTGCTTGGCGATGTCAACGCAAAAAGGCTGATGATGATGATTCTTGGTGATAGATAACTACCATGGCAACAAACATGTGAGAGATAATAATGTTAGACGTAGATGCGAAAGGAAAAATGTTCAGAACCGTTTTCAGGTTACGAAAAAGAAAAAAATAAGAATAATAATAGTTACAGTTCCCATGTCACTCATGGAAGGATCCATGGGCTTAACGCATCTGTCAATGAAATCCAGGCAGAAGAGCCAACAAAAGAAAAGAAAAAGAAAAGAAAGAAAAAATTCATGTTCTACTACTGAGTGCAGTGGGTGGTGTCCGCCGCTCTGCACACATTCATCTATTCTAGAATTACGTTTGAGGAAGTCTCGTTTTCCGTCTACCAACACCAAGTGCAAGAGTGTCTTCAACCCGTCTCGCTTTCTCACTTCCATACGCCCACACCAACACACACACACACACACACACGCGTGCGCGCGCGCCAACACACACACACACACACACACACACACACGCGCGCGCGCCAACACACACACACACACACGCGCGCGCGCCAACACACACACACACACACACCTAGAGTAAAGCCGGTCAAGGCGAGCACTCGGATAGGGCGACCACCTGTACAAGTAGACCACTGAAACCAGGATCAAGGACTGCTATTTCCAGTCAAATGACCCTGGATAAGGAGACCACCTGGCAATGGAGACCACGTTTTGACGGTCCCTTGAGCAGTCGTCTTAGACCGGTTTCACTGTACACACACACACACACACACACACACACTCTCTCACATACACACACACACACACACACACACACACACACACACACACACACACATCTATATGTGCGTGCAAGTTGGTTGTGCAACCGAATGCGAGCAAGTTCTAGTGTTTTGTTCGCTCGTGCGTGGGCATGTGCATGTCCAGATAGCACTTCATGCCATGCACACAAACACACACACCCTCACAAGTACACACAGAGACGGACTGTGTGCTTCTCTCATTGTCTGCCGCAAGCACACTGTTATCGAACATCTCCACTAGCACCCGAGGTCTCATCCTGTTATGCCATTGTTAGCAAACATCTCCACCAGTACTGGGATCTCCTGCAGTCGAGCCAGCGGTATCAAACATCTCCTCCACTAGCACCGGGATCTCATCCGAGTGCGCCAGTATTATCCCGATCGGCGGATCTCTCTCGGAACCGAGGAGGAAGTCCAGCGGTACTCGGACCCGGTCCCGTCACCATTGGATACCGTTGACCGGAGTTCGGTGGCGCCTGCGCACCCATAGGTTGTCCTGTGGGAGGTGCCCAGCCGTACATGCCAGGGGGTGCGGACCCGGGCGGAATGCCCTGTCCACGAGGGGGACCGTGCGGACCAGGTGGCGGTGGTCTCGCGTTCCACATGGACGGGGGATGCATGTGCTGGGGCGGCGGAACATTGGCGCTGTACATATTCGCTACTCCGGGTCCCGGTTGCCCGTACGCATCCCAGCTTGGCCCGGGTCCCTGCATGTAGTACCCGCCCGGTGCATAACCCGGGGGCGGACCGGATTCCATGCCCATGGCTGGGGGTCCCGGGCCCGGGTAGAACATCACATGGCCGTCTGTGGGTGGCCCTGGTGCAACAGGAGGTCGAGAGCCGAGCAGGGCGGGAGGCGCTGCGCGACGTGGTCCTCCAGCTGGTGCTGATGACACGTGGCCAGTCGACAAAGCGGACGTTCCCTGGGCACTAGGAGCAGTACTGGGTACCACAGCTGCTGCACTTGGGCCAGCCGTCCTGTTCTTCTCGGCGAGGGCAGTACCAGTGGCAGCTCCCGTCGTCGGTGCTCCTCCGCTACTTGTGGCTTGCTTGGCGAGGTGCTGCAGCCAGCGTCCTAGTTCCACGTTGTCTGCTGCCGTGGCCGAAAGTTGCTGCTCCGCATCCGATGAGGTAATCCTGCGCTCCGACAGACCTATGCAGCAACAAACACACACACACACACACACACACACACACACACACACACACATACACGCACGCACGCACACACAGACGCCCGTACATGTACATATAAGCACATACACACACGGAATGGAACTGAGCGGAACTGCTCTCTACCTGGCTTGCAAGTGTTGAGTTGCGGAGAGAGAAAAAACACAGTAGTGTAGGTAGATGGTCGAATTTCCTAGCAAATCGAAAATTTCGCCTCGCAGTCCAAACGTGAAATAGAGGATATTGCAGTGTAGGTAGTAGTGCATACAAGAAGTCCACACTGTACAGGTCTCTCCACTATTAGAATACAATACATTGTAGTATTCGACTTGAAAAGTAACGGCACGAACGGCCTAGTCGAAACTACATGGCTTCGGTGTGTTGATTTGCTTTCCTCCAACAAAGAATCTATGAGAATGTGTTTCTTTTCAGACATCCTGGTACATCGTCAGAGCGAGCTATAAGGCTTGAAAGTGGTACGTCACAGCATAGCAACAATTTCAAAAATTCAAAAAACTGGATCCACTTGGATCCTGTTTTTGTATGGATCCAAGCACATTTCAAGCGGTCTTACTCACAGCAAGGTGATGTAGCCAATGAAACGGACTGATTTGGCTACTGGAGGCGGGGTGACAACTGGTGGCGAAGTAAAAGTCACACATGCATACGACATGAGCAGGTTGCTATGCATCCATAGACTGAGGCAATAGCAAAGTCACACCTTAGTGGATCCAAAATACAAATCTGATGTCAACTTACTACTCCGTGGCCGTTTTTGACGTCATCACTTTCAAGCCCTATTGATGAATGAAAAGGTGTTTTTAAGGCGGAGAGTATTGGATGCGTGCAATGGATGATAAGTAATCAATTATGAAACGAGAAGAAAAACTCTTGAGGCTCAAGCCACACCAACCTTTCACAGCTGCAACACAGATTGCCGCGACCTCGTAGCGCATCAACGCGGCACCGCGCTGCCGATTCACACAGAAGTTGTGCACGGTCCCGTAACCCTGGCAGAGCAGCCGCAAAGCGCCCTCGTCCATCTACACAGCGAGCACAAACGGTACAAACACAGAGAGAGCACTCAGGGCAATCATTAGCATCCCCAACAAGGGCGTCGTCGGAAGGTAATTTAGTTTGGTACGGTGAGCCATCTGAAGTATGATTTACTCGTGGGAGAGGGGTGGCCGAGCTGTAAAATTTGGAAAATTAGAGCCAAAATCAATGCATTTTATTGATTCACGGGGTACTGGGACAAAGAGTGGTATGGTCAATACCGTAGTGACCATAGCGTGTCCCACGCCCCTGACCAACATATTCAATACACATAATTCAATACAGAGAGACAGGGAGACACAGAGAGGGAGGGGAAGAGAGAGAGAGAGAGAGAGAGAGAGAGAGAGAGAGAGAGAGAGAGAGAGAGAGAGAGAGAGAGAGAGAGAGAGAGAGAGAGAGAGAGAGAGAGAGAGAGAGAGAGAGAGAGAGAGAGAGAGAGAGAGAGAGAGAGAGAGAGAGAGAGAGAGAGAGAGAGAGAGAGAGAGAGAGAGAGAGAGAGAGAGAGAGAGAGAGAGAGAGAGAGAGAGAGAGAGAGAGAGAGAGAGAGAGAGAGAGAGAGAGAGAGAGAGAGAGAGAGAGAGAGAGAGAGAGAGAGAGAGAGAGAGAGAGAGAGAGAGAGAGAGAGAGAGGTGGGAACGTTTAACCAGACACACGATAAAAAATAATGCGACAATGGGTTTTTCTACGTATTCCCATGGCAAGGAGATTAATTCCCTTGGCAACTACTGTCTAAAAGTATCACATCAGCCGCTGGTTAGAGGTGAGACCTGAGAAGGTCAAAACAGTGAGCTGTCTGGAGATAGGGGGATACAGTAGGAGACGACCGACAGCCTGGATATCTTAGACCCGGTGTGAACACGGATAGGCAAATAGTAGCGATATCCTGGACGTACTGCTCGTTGGCACAACCTGGAACGAATGATTGTATTGCCTGGAGTATCATGAAAGCTACAGTGCTGGCCAGAGAAATCCAACCTTATGAATAAAGTAGCGCCACGTTAAGTTCACAGACCAGTATGTGCAGTGCTAGGAGTATGTGCAGTGCTAGGAGTATGTGCAGTGCTAGGACTGTGTAGTATGTGCAGTGCTAGGACTGTGGAGTATGTGCAGTGCTAGGACTGTGTAGTATGTGCAGTGCTAGGACTGTGTAGTATGTGCAGTGCTAGGACTGTGTAGTATGTGCAGTGCTAGGACTGTGTAGTATGTGCAGTGCTAGGACTGTGGAGTATGTGCAGTGCTAGGACTGTGTAGTATGTGCAGTGCTAGGACTGTGTAGTATGTGCAGTGCTAGGACTGTGTAGTATGTGCAGTGCTAGGACTGTGTAGTATGTGCAGTGCTAGGACTGTGTAGTATGTGCAGTGCTAGGACTGTGTAGTATGTGCAGTGCTAGGACTGTGTAGTATGTGCAGTGCTAGGACTGTGTAGTATGTGCAGTGCTAGGACTGTGTAGTATGTGCAGTGCTAGGACTGTGTAGTATGTGCAGTGCTAGGACTGTGTAGGATGTGCAGTGCTAGGACTGTGTAGTATGTGCAGTGCTAGGACTGTGTAGTATGTGCAGTGCTAGGACTGTGTAGTATGTGCAGTGCTAGGACTGTGTAGTATGTGCAGTGCTAGGACTGTGTAGTATGTGCAGTGCTAGGACTGTGTAGTATGTGCAGTGCTAGGAGTATGTGCAGTGCTAGGAGTATGTGCAGTGCTAGGACTGTGTAGTATGTGCAGTGCTAGGACTGTGTAGTATGTGCAGTGCTAGGACTGTGTAGTATGTGCAGTGCTAGGACTGTGTAGTATGTGCAGTGCTAGGACTGTGTAGCACCCGGCACTATATTACTCATGAGGTTGGGTTTCTTTGGCCAGTACTGCACAGTCACTCTGACTCATAATACAGGACATGTTCAGTATGCCTTACCTCGTCCGGGATGTTTGAAACCAGTAACCATGGAGACCCAGGATCGTCAACAGCGACGGTATCCTCATTCTTATCAGTTGTGCTGCTCGGTGATTCCGACGTCTTCTGTGAGCTTTTCACGGCCTTGCTCTTGCGCTTGCGTTCGCTGGCCTCACTGGTCGTCTCATTCTGTGGGTTCTGACTGCTTCTGCTGGCCGTTTTCCGTGAGCTGCTCTTGGTCTTAGCGGATGCTGCTGCTGGTACGGGTGACTGTGAGGCAGATGACGCTGGTGATGATGGCCATGCCGCGTCCAGACCAGAGTCTCTGTGCTGCGTGCTCGTCGTCGTCGTCTTCGGCCCCGCCACGTCACCCGTCCAGAAGGACACGACGCCCTCGCCCCACACCGATGATCCGCCTTGCTTACGCCAAGTGCCGCCGTCATCACCACCACCACCGCCGCCGCCGCTGCCGCCATGACGTGCAGCATCGGACGGTCGGCCAGAATCGCCCTGTTGACCGACGAAACCGCCAGTCGGCACAGCATTATTACCTGCGGTGCCCGTGCTTTCCACACCGCCAGCATCCCACGTGCTGTTCCCGGACGCAGTAACACCACTGAACAACACCGCGGTATGAGTGCCGGCGGTGTGTTGTGCATCGCCCGCTCGGAATGCTCGCTCGCTGTCCGCCGATGACGCTAGCGACATGCCGCTTGCCTGCCGCGATGCTCCCAGTGAGTCCGCGTTGCCAGTGGCCGAGCCGAAGGGTGCAGGCACCGCCACTGACGTTGCAGTGCTGCTGCAGCTGCTGCTGCTGGCCAAGCTTGATACCGACTCAGCGGCCGACAGACGGCTGAACGGCTTTACAATCTCGTCAACGGCGCGCGATAAGAAGCCACCACCCTGCTTTTCCTGGCCACTAGCCGGCCTACTGAGGTGATCACCAGCACCAGGCGCTACAGCAGATGGGTTGCTAGTAGCGGAAGGATCTCCGGACCCACGCTGTGGACCATCGTCTCCGAGTGGCGAGTACTTCTGAAATGCCGCGGACGCAATCGGACGCATCAGTCCCGGAGGTGGGGCCTGATGTTTGGAGCCACTTGAGCTGAACTGAGCTGCAGGTGATGCGGGCCGCCCGTGTACGGGCTGAACCACAGACGCAGACGACGTAGATGAGGAGGACTGCAGGGAAAACCCCGGCGGACGTCGGTTGCTACCAATCGCCATGGCAGTAGAGGCACCACTGACAGCGCCAATGGATGACCAGATAGAGTCCGAGTACGGTACGCCGGGTGATAGAGGGTTCAGCGAAGGTTGTGGCGTTGCAGACTTTTGAGCCAGCGCGTCGACTGCCGCTTCGAGGCCGTTTACAGAAATAATCTCTCCTGCGTCACCGCGTGTGGTTTTGTTCATGCTGAACAGCACTTCTCCATGCAATGGCTCCGAGACGGAAGACAGAAGTTTACTGCCAAGGAAAAGATCGGTGTGACCGTATATTGGGTTCCCCGTTTCCTGCACATGGCTTCTGTCCTGGGCATAGCTTTTGTCCCGTGCGTAGCTGTTCCCCAAGGTGTCGTCATTGTCTGATACATACACCTCCGCATCCAGGTCTACGTCACTCTCTTCACCGGAATCATCCTCATCGTCCTCGTCCTCTTCGTTGGACATTTCACTGCTGTCGTCCGATAGGGTTTCCGGCTCAGAGACAACTTCGTCCATGTATCTCTCCAGAGAGAGGTTTTCAGGAGCAATGGTTGAGGTGTGTTGCGGTGCTGCTGCTTGATCATACAGTACCGGAGAAGACGATGAGGCACCGGATTCGCTGTCCAGATGCATGCTGGACGGGAGTAGCAGGTTTGTAGCATTCAGTTCCGGCAGCAGTGGTTTCTTGGTGGCAGCGCCAGTCGCTGATGCAGGCGGTAGATCGGCAGTAGCAGTGTAGCTGTTGACTGTTCTAGAGGTGGTGCTGCTCGATGGTCGGGCGGCAGGACTAACCGTAAAACGCCACGTAGTACTTGATGGTGTTGGACTAGCTCGAGGCTGTGGAGATGTATCGCTACCACCATCGCCATTCTTTCGTGATGATCTCAGTTCCTGGCCACTAGTTGCAGTGCCTTGTGTCCGTGTACTCGGAGACAACATCGTTTGACTTGTTTGTTGCATCTGCATGTCTGTGGAGGAAAGTTGGGCTTGGGTTGTTCTTGAAGAGGGAACGCTGTCCTGGTACTTGCGATCCTGCTGCTGCTGCAGTGACTGCTGTAGTTGCTGCTGCAGTGACTGCTGTTGTTGCTGCTGCAGTGGCTGCTGTTGTTGCTGCTGCAGTGGCTGCTGTTGTTGCTGCTGCAGTGGCTGCTGCTGCTGCTGCTGCTGCTGCTGCAGTGACTGCTGTAGTTGCTGCTGCAGTGACTGCTGTTGTTGCTGCTGCAGTGGCTGCTGCTGCAGTGGCTGCTGCTGCAGTGGCTGCTGCTGCTGCTGTTGTTGTTGCTGCTGCTGCTGCTGCTGTTGTTGCTCCTGCTGTTGTTGCTGCTGCTGCTGTTGCTGCTGCTGCTGTTGTTTCTGCTGCTGTTGCTGCTGCTGCCGTTGCTGCTGCTGCTGTTGCTTCTGGCGTTGCGTCTCCCCCTGCGGCGGATATGCAGTGTGGGCTTGTCCTTGTTCTCTTGATTCGGCTGCAGTTGCTAGAAGAAGTTGGTGCTTAGTTAGCTGCAAGTTGTTCATCAGCTTGGTTAGGTATACAGCGAGATCAGCGACGCTCTTGACACAGTGCGCAAGCTCAGCCGGGTTCGGGTTGGGCATGGAACGCAACTCGGCTTCCCTGGCCTGGGCGGCTTTCAAGCGCTGATGAGCTACCTGGTACCATTGCTGTCCATTCTGCAGCTTCTGTGCCAATGCCTGCACGTGCTCTTGAGGAAACGCGGTGTCTTCTGCTCCCGCTGGCCCTCCCGTTTGTGGCGGTGCTGGTGGCTGGGATGATGCTGGTTCTTCCTGGGAAGGCCCAGAAGAAACGCTTGATTTTGGCGTGCCACCCGAGCTGCTGCTCTGTTCCCCGTAGGCCCCAGCTCGTTGTGCTGTTTGAGCTGCCAGTGCCCGCTGGTTGGACTGCCCAGCTGGCTGCGTAGCCTTGACAACAGTTGCCGGGACAGCAGAACTAGCCGCCGCCGCACTCCCCGCTCCATTGACCCGCGCAGTGGCGGTGTTTCTCGACGACTGCTGTGCTGCGCTGGCGGCTGACGCTTTGTCAACGGTATCCTTTCCGCGAGGGTTGCTTGAACTGACGCCTGCCATTCCTGGTAGCTTCTCAGCTGGTGTTGCTGTTGCTGCTGCTGCTGGTGCTGGTGCTAGTTTCGGTTTTTGTTGCTTTGAACGAGTCGTGAAGCCCAAATCAATAACACCATCTGCTACAGGCTGAAACCCGGTCAAAGAGGCCATCGCTTGTCGATGCTTTAGCGATGCAGTTATAGGCTGCCGGACCGATGATTTACCTGGTAAATTGGCATCCGTTGCTGCTGTGTCGATCTTCGATCGCTGTCGAGTGCTGGAGGCTGCTGCTGTTGCGCCGCCTGTTGCTGCTGTCTCTTTGGCGTGATGCACTCCTCTGCTGCTGCTGTCACTGTGGCCTGCTGCTTGTGATGGCTTGGCAAAGACATTGACGGCGGCCTCACTAGGCAGGCGTGCTGCCTCAGACTGTGGTGATGAAGTGTTGGTGGCTGCCATCGCAAGCAGGTCACCTAAGGACAGCAACACAGTAATCACACACACACACACACACACACACACACACACACACACACACACACACACACACACACACGCACACACACACACACACACCAACGGACCAGGAACACAGTAATCACACACACACACACACACACACACACACACACACACACGCACACACACACACACACACACACACACACACACACACAGACAGCATCAGGAACACGGCATCAGGAACAGAGCATCAGTACCCAGCACACATTGCCAGCCACTGGCTATGCAACTCTGTTGTTGTTTGCTGTGTTGTACGGGCAGAGCACAAAGACTACTCATTCACACATTAAAGGGGAAGTTAAGGCAAAAATTAAAATTTCACCAGTTGTAGTCTTCGGGGTGCTGAGTCGAATGGTCGTGGTCCGAGGAAGCTGAGACGCTCCCTTCCTACTTGAATCCAAATCGAACTCGCGGACTTCCACCGAAACTGGGTGACTGCGCCCTACTAGATGGGGATTTGTATGCAAAATGTCACTAAAAGCGCCATTTCGTTCTTATAAAAGCATGGATGACCGCGATTGGCCCATATGTTGTAGTCTTTTGGACGCTGAGTCGATTAGTTTTGGTCCGAAAAGGCTGCGATGCAGCGTTCCTCCTTTATTCCCAATCGAACATGGTTGAAGAAGCGGTCACGTGCTCCTGCGTACACCAGTCACTTGGTCACCGTACCTGCAGGGTACAACTTACTAGCCTGTTTGACCTTTTTTGGGTGCAGTCCTGTCACTCGAGTTGAACTCGAGTTGAACCTTGGTGTGAAAGTTGTCGCCTGCTGGCGTGGTGACCAGGTGATTTGGGCACCCAGGAGCACGTGACCGCTTGTTCAACCGTGTTCGATTGGGAATAAAGGAGGAACGCTGCATCGCAGCCTTTTTGGACCAAAACCAGGCGACTCAGCGTCCAAAAGACTACAACATATGGGCCAATCGCGGTCATCCGTGCTTTTATAAGAACGAAATGGCGCTTTTAGTGACATTTTGCATACAAATCCCCATCTAGTAGGGCGCAGTCACCCAGTTTCGGTGGAAGTGCGCGAGTTCGATTGGGATTCAAGTAGGAAGGGAGCGTCTCAGCTTCCTCGGACCACGACCATTCGACTCAGCACCCCGAAGACTACAACTGGTGAAATTTTAATTTTTGCCTTAACTTCCCCTTTAACTACATGAATTTGCAGGGCAGAACATGCTGCTTTTACTCCAGTGTAGCTTATACTCTTGAAAATAGGGTAACTTCAATAGTGTGGGACTCCCCATGGCAGTGGAAACCGCAGGAGAGCAGACAAGTTTCAAACCAATCACTGCACCAATCCCAGTAGAGTAGACAAGTTTCAAACCAATCGCTGCACCAATCCCAGGAGAGCAGGCAAGTTTCAAACCAATCGCTGCACCAATCCCAGGAGAGCAGACAAGTTTCAAACCAATCGCTGCACCAATCCCAGGAGAGCAGACAAGTTTCAAACCCATCGCTGCACCAATCCCAGGAGAGCAGACAAGTTTCAAACCCATCGCTGCACCAATCCCAGGAGAGCAGGCAAGTTTCAAACCCATCGCTGCACCAATCCCAGGAGAGCAGACAAGTTTCAAACCCATCGCTGCACCAATCCCAGGAGAGCAGACAAGTTTCAAACCCATCGCTGCACCAATCCCAGGAGAGCAGAGTTTCAAACCCATCGCTGCACCAATCCCAGGAGAGCAGACAAGTTTCAAACCCATCGCTGCACCAATCCCAGGAGAGCAGACAAGTTTCAAACCCATCGCTGCACCAATCCCAGGAGAGCAGACAAGTTTCAAACCCATCGCCGCACAACCACAGTGATGAGTAATGAATCGGACCACTGCGAACATACCGATAGCCGAATCCATGTCGTTCTTGTTCGTTCTCAGTGCACTTTTGGCGTCATTCTCGGCGAATCCCATGTCCATCAGTACGGAGATGTTGCTCTTCCACACCGGTGACTGCGCATGCATAGCCACACAGACGACCACACATAACCAACCATGCACGACCGCACACGACCAACCGTACACGACCATACACGACCACACACGACCATACATAACCATGATGAACATGATCCCACATAACCACACATAGTACCATACATCACCCAATATGACCACACATAACGGCATGATAAACATGACCTCACACGACCACACATATTCACACGTTACCCGATATGACCACACATGACAGTTCCGGTGTAACCAGTGAAATCTCTTCCAATGCAGTTCAATTCGTTTCAGGTGACAATGCCCATCAGGTGCTGCAAGGTCAAATAAACTCTCACGAGGACAGACTGTAAAACATGTAATTTTAGGTGCATTTTAAAAAAATTCTGTGGCAGGGACCTGCCAGGTTTCAGGTGTAATTTTAAATTAGGTGATCAGCGTTCCCTTCACATACAGTGCCTTTTAGGTGTAATTTAAATTTAGGTGCCTGGTTTCTCTACCGAAATCCCCGAAATTAAAGTTACACCGAAAATTGCATGTTTTACAGTACATGAAAGTTAGGAGACTGAAATACCTGTCCAGCCAGAGCTTTTTTTCTTTTTTTTGACTTTGTTTTACTTCGCAAAATCCAAATGGAATTTCTTCCCAATGCTTCAACAACTACACTAGCTGTGCTACTCTTTAGGAGCTACGTACTACCTCCAGAAAAGAGGGTACTAGCTCCGGACATTCACTCTATCTGCTCACCTCTTCATAGAGCTGTTGTGTTGTCAGCGAGGAGCTGGTCTTACGACCAACCTTCGTCCAGCTCAAAGTTGACGGTGCTCCGACAAGGTGCCTGGCCGCAGGTCCGGAACCTCCGCCAATTGTGGGCCATTCTTCATCCTGCTTCCGGTCCTGTCGCCGCTGCTGCTGCTGCTGCTGTTGCTTCTGTTGGGGTTTGGACTGTGCCTTGTGCTGCTGTTTGTGAGGCTTTGCAGTGGGGTTAGTCTGACGCTGCTGGTGCTGCTGCTTCAGCTGCTGCTGTTGTAGCTGTTGCTGTTGCTGCTGTTGCTGCTGTTGCTGCTGCCGTTGCTGCTGTTGCTGCTGCTGCTGCCGTTGCTGCTGTTCCTGTTGCTGCTGCCGTTGCTGCTGTTGCTGCTGCCGTTGCTGCTGTTCCTGTTGCTGTTGTTCCTGTTGCTGCTGTTGCTGATTTTGCTGCTGTTGCCGCTGTTCCTGTTGCTGCTGTTGCTGCTGCTGCTGTCTTGCCCCAGCAGCAGACCGGCTTGCAGCATTGTCGGCGTCAGCGGCGAGGGAAATCCCCAGACTCGTGTTGTCACCTGTACGTCTAACAGTACTGTGTGCAGCTGTTCCGGTGACGTTGGCTGCATGATGACTCACGTGTGTTGTCGTGGTGACGTTGGCTGCATGATGACTCACATCAGTCAATTCCGTGGAATTGATCATAGTACGGAGCACGGGCGCTGTGCCAGTGGAAACCGTGGGCAGCGATTCCTGTGCGGGCTGAGAGAATGTACCAGTAGACGGCATTGTGTTGTTTCTGGCAGTGTGACGGCCTGCCTGTGGAGTGCTGTGGACGTGATCCAAGCCAGCAGCTGGTTGGTTTTGCTCTTTAGCAGAAACTCTGGCGTGTGGCGGTTGCGCAGAGGATAGCTGTGCGTGTCTGCTGGCCTCATAGGCCTGCAGTGTGTGATCTTTCCTTTCTCTCACGCTCTCGGCACAGCCCTTTCCACTTACAATCTTGTCACGCTGGACCAGTTCAACATCATTGCTTGCAGCGACTGCACTCTCTTCGACAGCATCCCCGTTCTCGCTGGCGCCTTCAGCTCTCCACCGGTCGACTTGGTCACTTGCACCGTCTTGCGCGCCTCTGGCTTTCAGCGATACGGACATGCCAGCCGTGTCGGTCGGTGGTCGCTCTCCCGTTGCTCCCTCCTTGACGCCGGACGCTCTAGCCATACTGGTGTGGCGTGCATCGTTCACATTGTCCGCTATGTGACCTACACTAATACTTGCTATGCCAGCATGCTGACGTGAGGCCAATGCCTCCTCAAGTTCCTGCTGTGCATTGCTATCAGATACTGTCATCATGCCAGCTGGGAGCACCGTCTGATCTCGACTGAACAAAGCATTGTCACTCATCCTACTAAAATCGCCAGGGCAGAACCTGGCGCCATTCGCAACTACCTTACCTAGAGTAGGGTCATACGCTGACTGAGCCACTACCTTATCGCCATGCATTGCAGCAAGAGAAACAACAGGAACTACCTCTACATTTCTACGACTGTTACTGCTAGGATTAGCTACAGAGATGTCACCTGTCTCTTCTAACCTAATGCCAGGCTCGGCATCATCGTACTGTGCACTCTCACTGTTGTTGCCGGGCAACACTGTTTCCATGGCATCAAATGAGTTTAAATGGTCTGTTCCTAGCGCTAGCGCAGCATAGCCAGCGGGAAGACGGGGAAAGTTAGTACCTACCATCGGTGCATGCATACCGGGACTGTTTGCAGGCAGACTGTAGGGTGGCAACACTGGGCCCATCCTAGGGCCAGTACCCAAGGGACTACGGAGTGGTCCGCGTCCGCGACCTCGGCCCACAATGCGGGCCGGGTTAGCGATGGAACCTCGTGCCTTGCCCCGACCAATTATCGGAGCTTTCTTTGGCAACAACGTCACTTCAGGTTTGTCAACCTGTTGTTCAGCATTGTCTTTGTTACTCATACTCACATTATACTGAATCGCATCTGAGGGGCTAGAGTGCTGCTCTTGCACTGTATCCGCCGCCAGCTGCAGCAGCTGTGCCGGCTCCTGCCGCGGTGTCAGGTCGTCATGGATACGGTCGTCATGGATACGCGCCTCCCCGCCGCCACCGTCCAACAGCCCCAAGTCGTCCTGGACGTCATGCACAAACGTGTCGTCGTTCTGGGAATCGCCGCTCTCCGCCAGAGGCAGTGTTTCCAATGCAGTGGCGGTATCGTCACCATGACGACTGGCATCTTGTGCGGATGAGATGTCGGGCTGCCGCAATGGCTCCAAAGAACTCTGCAGAAGAGCGCTCAGCGGATCATCGTCCTCAATGGCATCGGGACCGGAATCCCACAGGGTTTCGTCATCGCAGGCGTCCGCTATCCGTGTGGAGTTGTCGTCAGCGGGCACACCACCGTCGGCTGAGAGGTCCTCCGACGCCGATGTTGTGTTTGGTGGCCAACTGGTTAGCGTACTGCGGCCAGCGTTGGTGCTGGTGTTTTGAGGGCGTTTGCTGGCAGGCAGGCTGCTAGGCCACAGGGCCTGTACGTGTGGATTGCATTCCCAGCCGGGCAGCATGTCCTTCGGTGCACTATGCCACTGCGCCGCCAACGCACTCAACTGGAAATTGTCCAGACCGTGCTCATGACAATCTACGGCCCCACTATCGCCATAGGCCACACTATCGCCATAGCTCAGGGTATCGTCATAGCCGGTGATACCAGAAGCCGTGTCTGATTGAGGTGCTGCTGCTGCTGTTGCCGTGCCGGTGTCTGCTTGTGCGTAGCCAGGAGGCCGTGATCTGGGCGAGCGCGGCCCGGCGGACGCAGCAGCGGCAGTGCGCTGCTGCGTGGAGGTGTGGTGCGTGGGCGCACTTCCTCCTCCTCCGCCGCCGCCGCCATCGCTGCTTGCCGCGCTGTGCGTGCTGTATGCAGGCATGGCTGTAGAGAGACAGGCACACACACGGGATAACAGGCTAGGCCAATACTGAGATCATCAGCAACACCACAGCATGCACGTGTTGAAAAATAGCACATGTACATAGTACCGTACTCGTTGGTACAAGTCTTGAGCTTTCTTGCAGTTTGATCAAAGGACCAACACCATGGTTGGTCATTGCACACATTCCTACCACACTGCAACAATGAACCAGTTCCTAGCATACAACGAGGGAGTGACGGGCGGAGGGACGGACGGACGGAGGGACGGACGGACGGAGGGACGAAGGAAGGGATCGAGGGAGAGACGGAGGGAGGGACGGACGGACGGACGGACGGAGGGAGGGACGGAGGAAGGGACGGAGGGAGGGACGGAGGAAGGGACGGAGGGAGGGACGGAGGGACGGACGGACGGAGGGACGGACGGACGGAGGGAGGGACGGACGGAGGGAGGGACGGACAGAGGGAGGGACGGAGGGAGAGAGGGAGGGAGGGAGAGAGGGAGAGAGGGAGAGAGGGAGGGAGGGAGGGACGGACGGACGGACGGAGGGAGGGAGGGAGGGAGGGAGGGAGGGAGGGAGGGAGAGAGAGAGAGAGAGAGAGAGAGAGAGAGAGAGAGAGAGAGAGAGAGAGAGAGAGAGAGAGAGAGAGAGAGAGAGAGAAGGAGAGAGAGATTCAACAAGTGAGATTCACACAGAGAACAAGAGACACTGATTTTCAAACAAGCAAGATAGCTGACCAGCTGGAATACGGTGATGATTTCGTTTGCAGTGGAAGCGTGGAGGTAAGTCATTGTCAAATTGCTGCTGGTTTGACTGTATCTGAAAAAGAACAGCATACATAAATACATCTGTTACATAAACATACACATACACACACACACACACACACACATACACAGACATACACAGACAGTCCAACCGTCCTACTTTGAGCAGAAGTGTCCTGCTTTGAGCAGGACTGTCCTGCTTTGGACAAAAAACATTTGGGTGAATTTACATGGGAGAGAATGGCCTTTGCATACATTAATAGGTGTCCTGCTTTGGCACATGGAAATGGTTGGACAGGCTGCATACACGCACGCACGCACCATTTGACTATTCGACGCCCATCACCGGAGGCGATGCAGACGCCATAGCAGCTTGTGCTGGGATTGCACCATTCAACAGCTTGCAAGGCTGAAGAATTGACCACCATTATTCAGCCTGGTCTACACCACACAGCTATGAAGTGGCTTTTTCTGGTCAGTGAATCCCTACTTTTTGGTCTTTTTCATTTTTTTTTCCGCACACACAAACATCATACCACATACTCCGGCATGCACTGGCTGTTGGTAGCCACCCAGGAGAATAAGAGAAAAGTCAGGAGGAGTCTGAGAAAGAGAAGAAAGACGTGTGAGACCATAATCGTCGGGAATCGAACCCGCAACCTCTCGATTGGAAGTCGCTGCACATACCACTGCACCATATGGGACACACGTACGCAGGCACGCCCGTGCACACACACACACACACACACACACACACATCAGTAAAACGAAACAGGGCTAATGAGAGCGTGCACACAGCGCACTGGATCCTTATCCAAATCCGTTGATCCCCGAGCTGCAGAGAGTGCTCAATGTCAGAGACAGAGCTTAGTACATAGCAGACTCAGCGGAGGAGGTTCAGGTTGGTTGTAACTCTGAGTTTCATGCCGTCAGGCAATCATGAGACAACTGATACTGGGTTTCTACCAAGCAGTGTGCTTATAAACATGTAGGGCCACAGGCAGCACAGTGAATCCTATGCCTATGGATGATTGCAAATCGGAAAGCTAGGACACGCACTACAAACTCTCAGATACAAGGATGACGGAACTTCTCCAAAGCCAACTGCTCCCCTAACCACAAGCTTTTGTTTGATTGTATTATTTGAATTTGCAAACCTAAACGAGCACAAATGCTCAATGACAAGGCAGCGAATACGTTATTGTGTTACAGGGAAGGAGAGTTGGGGAGAAAATAATGCGAGAAAAAACAAGCTGTGCGGCAACAAGTCATGTATCAATGCATGAATCTTTCTTGCCATGCCTGTATGGAGAATAGTAATCCTACCTGAGAGTAAGAGCCATCGTACCCTGAACACATATGCACAGAACAGGACATAACATACAAGTAGAGTATAAACTGGGTTATTAAGCAACCGCAGGTAATAGCGATCACCTGATCTTAACGACCGCTTCTCCATTCACCGGCAGTCCTGCATATAAACAGCACCGGAAACAGCGATCACCTGCGTTGCGCGAACCTGCGCCTGCGCTGCGCGAACAGTGACCAACTAGTGGACCAAGTGCCATATCTGACCTGCATGCAACCACCAAAAGTGTTAATATAATGGCTGGCAGGCTTGGCTGCAACAGGGTTGAAATGCGCTCAGAAGCGAGCGAATCCAATGCAGTCAACGGAAGTGACACGTGACAGTGCAGGGTGCGCTGCATGCACTTGAGTGAGGTGGGGAAAACTCACGGGTGCAGCTTCATCTGCATGACAGGGTCCTGTACCCAACATTTGTCAATGTCACTATATGGAAGTAGTAGAAGTATGTATGTATGTATACTTTATTTGAATTCGCAAATCCAAACGAGCACAAATGCTCAATGACAAGGCAGCGAATATGTTATTATGTTACAGGGAAGGAGGGTTGGGAAGAAAATAAGGAGAAAAAAGAGAGAATGGTAGATATCTCAATGAAGAGCGAAGCGTTATCAAACTACAAGTAAGCCAGCGAACGATAAGTCGATAGTTCTGTAACCCGCCTAATAAACTAAGAAGTAGTAGAAGTACTATCTATTATTTTAATAATGGAACCCTACAGGCGGTGTCGTCTTATTACAGGCAGTGTTGCCACATCACTTTGGCCAAATATCAGTAGGATGAAAAAATAAAATGCATCATCTGGGGGCTTTTTGCCCCCAGACCCCCATCATAGTAACCCCAGTATACACATGCACACAAAGCGCACTGTTAAAGGGGAAGTATACCCTGAAATCACATTTTCACCAGTTGTAGTCTTCGGGGTGCTGAGTCGAATGGTCTTGGTCCGAGGAAGCTGAGACGCTCCCTTCCTCCTTATGTTGTAGTCTTTTAGACGCTGAGTCATGGTTGAACAAGCGGTCACGTGCTCCCGCGTACACCAGTCACCTGGTCACCGTGCCTGCAGGGTACAACTTACTAGCCTGTTTGACCTTTTTTTGGTGCAGTCCTGTCACTCGAGTTGAACTCGAGTTGAACCTTGGTGTGAAAGTTGTCGCCTGCTGGCGCGGTGACCAGGTGAGTTGGGCACCCTGGAGCACGTGACCGCTTGTTCAACCATGTTCGATTGGGAATAAAGGAGGAACGCTGCATCGCAGCCTTTTTCGGACCAAAACTAGTCGACTCCGCGTCCAAACAACTACAACACATGGGCCAATCGCGGTCATCCGTGCTTTTATAAGAACGACATGGCGCTTTTAGTGACATTTTGCATACAAATCCCCATCTAGTAGGGCGCAGTCACCCAGTTTCGGTGGAAGTGCGCGAGTTCGATTGCGAAAAAAGAAGGAAGGGAGCGTCGCAGCTTCCTCGGACCAAGACCATTCGACTCAGCACCCCGAAGACTACAACTGGTGAAAATTTGATTTTAGGGTATACTTCCCCTTTAAAAAATCACGGGTCTGCGTGAAACTCAGATTGAGCTATCAGATTTTCCCCCGAGACAGAATAATGATTTTACTTATAGCACGATAGGAGAGAGCAATGAAAACAAATACGATGACCAGTAAGAGCAAAAATCTGGAACATGACTTCTATTATGTTCTAATTTAGTTCTAAACGAAGCATAACGTCAGAACGGGACATTTTCATGTCTGTTGTCGGCAGGAAAAGGTCAATTGTCGGCGGGTCGTGAAATGCCTCCAAAATCAGCAGGCTACTGACATGTCGGCAGGTGTGGCAACACAGTACAGGGAACCCTGTGAATGATTGACACGATTGAACAAACTCAAAACGACAGGTAGCGGTAGAAGTTTGTCAGATATAAGGGTGCACGTTTGGTGGGTGTGGCATGTTCTTCACTTCCTACCATCAGCTCACACTGCACAAGAAGCAGGAAGGCCATGCATTGAAGCGGGGTAGACCAGCTGCAGCCAAAAAATGGGCAATCAAACTCTGATCACTGGGCTTCTTGAAAGCCTTAATAGTACGCATTGCACCGGAGCATTGCTTTTCAGAGCTTTTGTTGATATTGTACAAAATACTTATTCACCTGCATCATCAATATGGGTGCGTTAATATTCTAAATGGAACAACAGTATGTTTGCTGGGTTATAGTCATACGCTGTATGGTTTCTTATGTATTCAGCAATGCATGTGCTTGCTGGATTGATTGCCCATAAAGGGTATGATGTATTTGGAATGAGCTGAAGAGCAAGTGATTCTTGGACAACATTCCTGGCATAAGTCTGCCAAAATACATTGCTGTACTCAAGTTATGAATGACACGGTGAGCGCATGCCTGCGTGTGTATGGACTCCACCTACATTTATGTACCTACATTTATGTAGGTACAGTACATGTGTCATCAATATTTTATTCCGTAAAAAGTAGGGGGGTGGGTGGTGGGTCCTGGTTACTTTGTAAAATTCACGGATTGAAAAAACTATCGATATTTACGGATGGCCCCTAACCCTTTACCAGCCGCAGGATTTGTATGTAAAATAGCGGTGTCCACTAGATTGAGAATAGAGACTAAACGGTGAATAATTTGTATTGACACCTATATAATTCTGGAAAGCTGGTAGAATTACCTTTTCCTATGAGACTAGAAACAAGCTGACAACATGTAGCGTCATTGCCAGTCATGGCGAACAATAATTCAAGTAAAGCGGCCAAATTAGCAAATTCAAGGAACATGGCAGTGTCCACTAGATTGAGAATAGAGACTAAACGGTAAATAATTTGTATTGACACCTTTATAATTCGGGGAAGCTGGTAGAATTACCTTTCATATGAGACTAAAACTAAGCTAATAACATGAAGCATCGTTGCCATTCATGGCGAATAATAATTCAAGCAATCCGGCCGAATTAGAGAATTCGAGGAACATGAGTACTCGGTTCAGCTTCAGCTCATGCACCAGTTCATCTGTGAGCATCATACTCCGGTGAATGAAACACCCTGAAGCACTTCTTGCCTTTTCCAATGCACAGGTGCACCGGATGACCTTCTCTGTTGGTGCAGTTAGAGCAGAAGAAAGCAGTCTTGTTTCTCTTGCGATCCTGCTTCCATCAGACAACAGAGTTGGCTCTTCCAGACTCACCAGCACAGTCTGGAATGTGTACAGAGTGCACTTGTCTGTAGTCAGCTGCTGGTGCTGGTATAGCACGCTCCAGAGCTGGTGGTGCTGAATGCATTTGCAAACTGCATGGATTTAGCACGGAAGACATCGTGAAGGTGACAGACTTTTTGCAGTCGATCATCCGGGTCGGCCGAGTCGGAACATTGAAAGAACGCGCGGATGGAACGAAATCGCTGACAGGTGAGCAGTTCACGTGCCCACAGGCCATGATAGAGTGTGCGCGTACTCCAATACTTCTCTACATCAGTTAAGCGTATTATACCGAAGTAGAGTAGCAGGGCTAAGAAACAACGTACCTCGTCAGTGCTGGTTTCCTGCCAACTGCCATCGTCCGGTGCGTATGATGGCTTGGACGGAATATGCTGCCAGGCATACTGATTAGTAAAGTTCACCAGAGAATCCATCACATCTTCGGAGAAAAAAATTGAAAAAATCTTACTCGTTCTCAGGTTCAAAAGTTTCAGGTAGATGTAGTCCCTTGGTTCGGGATGGCAAGAACTCAGCAGGTTGGCGAGCTGGACCCACTCAGCCATATTCACAGCACCGCATGCACCTCGTCCACATCCACGACCACGCGGAGCTTATGTGGCTCCTCTATTTCTTCGTGGTTCCACGTGAAGCACCACGTGTGTATGGGTGGAATCTGGCAGCATGTCCTCGTCCTCGTCCTCTTGCCGCCGCTGCTCCTTTTCCATGGGCCACACCATAGTCTTCATCGCCATCATCCGTTTCACTGCTTTCCTCCAAAGTACTCGCAGACTCGCCTTGATTGCCATCACTCTCTGGTTCAAATTTTTTTAAATTGACGTCTTCAGATTCAAGTTCATCTTGCTTGTCCGAGCTATTCCCGCTCTCAGGGCTACAGGAATCAGCAGCAGACTCACTGGAAGAGCAGCTGTCATCCTCAGATGGAAGCGTAAACAATAAATCGACAGCAGACTGCGCGTCCAGGCGCCTGGCCATGATAGCTTCTTCTTCAAATTTGCAGTATTCTTCAAAAAATGCCAAAGTACGCGCACAAAGCACTTTTATGACGGCGCGCATTCAATCGTGATTTTCTCGAAGAAGAAAAAAGATGTGCAGCACACGGTTTTCTCGATGGTAGGTGATTCCTTAGGTTTTCAGCAGTAGTTTACGATTTTTCCGAGCACGGTGCGGTAAAATACCATGGTTTACGGAGTGAAAAACGAATTCGACACATTCACCCTATGTACGGCTGATAAAGGGTTAAAGCGAATTTACACACCCACGCCACGCCACACCACATACTCCGGCATACTAGTACACTGGCTGTTGGTAACCACCTAGGAGAATGAAAGAAGAGCTAGGAGAATGAGAAAGAGAAGAAAGTCGTGTGCAACCAGAATCGTCGGGAATTGAACCCGCAACCTCTCGATTGGAAATCGACTGCACATACCACTGCACCATATGGGGGGGGGGGGCACACCTTGACCTTGACAAACAGCTGCCGTTAAACGGCTAAGCTGCCCTCATGAGGAGGGGAACAAAGGGGTAGCATCACGGCGTCGCGGCAGAACATCCGGCCTCATGCCACTGCAGATCCTGCTGTCTGCGATATCTCTCGCCGCACGTACAGCAGAACTTGAACTCAAGACACTCCCTCACGGGGGGCACACACACACACACAGAACTAGCACATTTACGCACACTGGTCGTGTGGCCTACCTTTGACACTCCCGACAATTTTCCTCGTCTTCTGCTTTCTAGCCAATGCCACACCGGCCACACCAGCAGCACCAGACGCATGAAGGCCATGTGGCACAATAGCCTTTCCTTGTCTAGCCGCGGTGGGTGAGGATTTTTTCCGCTGCTGAGACGAGGCCAAGGCAAAGGGCTGACCAATGGAAGATCGAGTTGAAGGTTGTCCAATGGCAGCAGCTGCTCTGGCAACGGCCCCTGCAACACTGCTGTTGGTTTGTTTGCCCGGTCTGTTCCTTCCAGCACCAGCAATGGCTGTGCGAATTCTCTCGTCGCCGCTAGTTTCCTCCCCGGCACTCTCCTCATCCGCGTCCTCGTGTCCCTCGTCATCGTCATCCTCGGCACGATCACTTTCCGACTCTTCCGTCGCCGATATGAGATCGTTCTCGGAATGCGAGATGCCGCCTGATGCCGCAGATGACTCCGTCCGCTTAGATGGTTTGCGCTTCAATCGCTCAAGCCGCTCTGCCCTGAGAAAGCACGCCAACAAAAACAGTACAATGAACATTCAGTCAAGGCTACGATTCACCGGCCGTACCACAGTGCAATAATCACTCATCAACCACCGTGTCACCTTCAAAATATTAACCCGCGCAAGAAGATCTAAATTTCGCGGCGTCTCGTTTATCGTCAAATGACTTTGCATCATGCCAAGTAAGGTCGCACTCGCAGCAGTGCCCTCTTTCTCACCTTTCTAGCTCCATCTGCCTGCGATCTTCTTCTTTCCGTCGCTCGCGCTCTTCTTCGGCCTGTTGCAGAGAGAGGAGAGTGATAAACCAGCATAGTGGAAAATGAAACTTTATAATTATGTGCGGAAGTAGGGTAACATAAACCCGGGAGTAGAGAGTAAACCCTAGCGGCAGATGCAGCGCCTAACGGTGGGGGTGAGCGGATAAGTCTCACAACCACTCGCACAAGTGCCGAGAACGACCCCATTAGCTGCATCCATGAACCAATTTGTGCCTGGCCACAAGTTCCCAGTTGACTGTGGGTAGCAGCACGGCTGGAAAAACCGCTCCCAGGCAGGACTTGAACCAGGTACCTCTCGTATCTCAATCATGGTCTTTGACCAACCCACTGTGCCTGCCTGGTGACAGTAAAACCTGGTTTAAGCGACCACCCCACGGTGCAAGCAAAAGCGGTCGTAAAAGCCAGGTGGTCTTTAGAACCAGGTCCCACAATGTCTGTGTAGAACTGTCGGTGCATGGAAAAACGGTCGTAAAGAGCAGGTGGTCGCTAAACCCAGAGGTCGCTTACACCAGGTTTTACTGTATTGTAAAAAAATTTCCATGAATTCGAATACAGTTAAACCTGTCAAGGCGACCGCTCGGATAAGGCGACCACCTGTCCTAGAGGACCACTGTAACCAGCACCAAGGAATGCTATTTCCAGTCAAATGACCCTGGGCAAGGCGACCACCTGGTAACAGAGACCACATTTTGAATGTCCCTTGAGCGGTCGTCTTAGATAGTGTTCACTGTAGTAATGACATACATGATGACCTGGGCAAACAAATCATAGCCAGGGCCATGAGCTTTCAAGCTCTGTCGTTATGGCAACGTCGCACGCAATACTCACTTTTTTCCTGGCCTGCTCCGCCTTCTCCTCGTTGAGTTTCCGCTGCTCCTCAAGCTCTCGTTTGATCTCCTCTCTTTCCTGAAGATGAATGATGGGAATCACACAACACAACTAAACAAACAACATTCTTCTGATGTATTGGATAGGGCACACTGAGGGGGCAAACTATCTGGGCTCGAACGTAGTCCAGCTTTTCCACACGCGCTTGCCTGGCAACTTGCTTGTACAGGCAAGCAAGCCTTCAAGCATGAAACGAAACCGAGATCACATGATCAGTGGAGCTATCCATGCCTCCTCCCTGCCGTTATTTATTTGGGGGGGGGGGGGGTAAGTGCAGATATGGCATGAAAAAGTCACATGCTGACTGGCCTCTCACCATTTGCCGTCGTCTCTCCTCCTGAGCCAACTGCTTCTTGCTCTTCTGCTTGTTGGTTGTCTAGGTTACCAAACACAGCCAAACACACAAGAGAGAACCAGACAGAATAATCGTATGGGTTTTTTTTAGGTTTCGTGCCAGGGTAGCCTAAGGCTAGGCTAGTTGGACAGAAGAGAAGAAGAGAAGAAGAAAAAGAACAGGGACAAACAACTAGAACTGGCATTCTCCTGGGAGTAAAGCCCTGATAAGCACAATGGGCAAGATAATGCTCTCTCTCTCTCTCTCTCTCTCTCTCTCTCTCTCTCTCTCTCTCTCTCCCTCCCTCCGTCCTTCTCTCCCTCTCACACACTCTCTCTCTCTCTCTCCCTCCCTCCGTCCTTCTCTCCCTCTCACTCTCTCTCTCTCTCTCTCTCTCTCTCTCTCTCTCTCTCTCTCTCACACTCTCACACTCTCTCACTCTCTCTCTCTCTCTCTCACTCTCACACTCTCACTCTCTCTCTCACACTCTCTCTCTTTCTCTCACTCTCTCTCTCTCTCACTCTCACTCTCTCCCTTTCTCTCACTCTCTCTCTCTCTCTCTCTCTCTCTCTCTCACACACACTCTCTCTCTCTCTCACTCTCTCTCTCTCTTTCTCTCTCACTCTCTCTCTCTCTCTCTCTCTCTCTCTCACCCTCTGTCTCTCTTTCTCTTTCTCTCTCACTATTTCTCTCTCTCTCTCACCTTAGTAGCAGCCACAGTGGAAGGCTTCTCCTTCTTCTTGCTTGGAACTGCATGCTGCAGAGGCAAGATGTAAGGATTCACACGGTGCATTCCACATCATTGGACTCGAAGATGTCCGAAATCCCACAACTGACGAAGCCATGCAGGCCCGTCGCATCAACTTTGGAGGTGGGGCGGCCATGGAAGGGGAGGGGGGCTCCCCGGGGAAACAATTTCAAAAATCGAGAAAAAAATTGTCAATTGCAAGGATATTCAGGCAGTAGGTGCCATTTCAGTGTAACTGCAAAGAACTGTTTTTGATTTTGCACCACACCACGATTGGGGACACGGATTCTTCATTATTTGCCACGTTTGCGCTGAGCTGCAATCATCGCGCTTTGTTGCAGTGTACTAAAAAGAAAAAGGAAAAAACGGCCGAGAAAGTGGGACGGCATCAGCCGCCCCAGCCCACAGCCCCGGCTGTGATGGCCTTGCCATGTGAATCGATTCCCAATGCACACCTAGTCCACACCACACGGAGGACATCAGAATAGGATGGTCGACGGAGTTAACTACAGTTTCCAGTGTCACTTCAGTTGTCCTCTTCCCCTGATTATGAGTAGGGCTGTGTTTGCTAGTAAAAAAAGAAAAGAAAAAAAGAAGGACCGATTAGAACACGTTCGACGACGAGCAGCCCGTATCTGCTTGCGGATCCCCCTTTTTGCACCAGTCCATCACAGCTCACTTCTTCGCCATCTCCACCTTCCCACATTAGTCTCCCAGCCACTCTTACGACAGCTTACTCTTACCCACAACATAAAGTACATCCGCGCTCCCCTTCACCTGCAGCAGCCTACCTTTGAACGACCAATTACAGAGCAGCCATATGCACTAAGATACACGAGAACATACACATCGAGAACATTACATACATTACATACATACCGATACATCAACTCACTCATCAACCTGTCCCTGTCCCCCCCCCCCCCCCCTCCCCCGACCTGTCCCTTCACAGTTTCAACCAACTACATGTACCCCCCCCCCCTCCCCCGACCTGTGTGAAACAAATAGCAATCATGCGTTTAAAAATCAATGGCGCCTAGCCTCATTCTATCATCCATATGCTCCTATAGTAGCTCACACTGTACCCCGTCATAACCCCATCCCTCAGCAATGCATTGGCTTCCTTACTTGCTAGACTGATCTTATATGATTCTGGACTGATTTGAATAATAACTATTATCTTCCTTATTGGTCATGGGCCATCGTGGAAATAAAGGATAATAGTTACTGTGACAACGGAGCGGCGGGAACCTCGAATAGCGAGTACAGAGTATAATTGTACTGTATGTATGTCTAGTATAAGTATTATATTATAACAAGGGATGGAGTGTATATGGAGATATATACACCACTTAGGGAGGGCACACCTAAGACTGTGGGTGTATATGGAGTGAGGTATAAGGTTCAGTAAGTCTACAAATTTTCGGCCCATTCAAATTTCGGCCTCCCGGGGCTAAAACACATTTCGGCTGAAAAATATTTTCGGTCTGTACTGATGCTGCCTGTACACACTGTCACACTGAACCTTGCAGAACAAATTTTCGGCTGCAACAAATTTTCGGCTGCAACAAATTTTCGGCTGCAACAAATTTTCGGCTGCAACAAATTTTCGGCTGCAACAAATTTTCGGCCAAATACGTGATCAGGCCGAAAATAGCCGAAAATATATATGCGCCGAATATTTGTTGCAGCCGATTTTTTTGTTTTGCAAGATTCAGTGTGCCAGTGTTTACAGGAAGCATCAGTACAGGCCGAACATATTTCGCAGGCGAAATGCGTTTTAAACGATTAGCCGACAATAAATTTTTTTTTTTTTTCACGGTTCGCGTGAGACTCGGCCAAAGGCCCAGTTTTCCGCATCCGCAGGAACGCCACCACCCTCTTGGATCAAGGCGCAGATGCAGCTCCTAAGCGGTGGGAGGTGAGTAGATCAGACCCACCACAAAGTGGTCAAAGACCGAAATCCCATTCACTGCATCCATGTTTCCCAAATATGCCGACAATAAATATTTGCTGCCTTACAGTACACCTGTTACCCGCTCACTTGCTCCAGGTAGTTAGGGCCGCCATCAGACACATCTCACGACAAGAACAACAACAATACGGGGTGGACTCAAACTGCTACATAACAGAGGACGAGACAGAGGCGGACGAAACAAGACTACACGCGACGAGACAAAAACTGAGAACTGGACAAGAAAGGCAAACATGTTAGCAGCATACGAGCATGCGCAATACAATACATTTTTCACGCCCACACACACGTGACAGTGACATCAACATTCACTAACAACGCATGGTGCACAAAACACTGCAACCAACACAACACAAAAAAGCAACCAAAAATACACAACGGCAAAAGGGCATGAAACGTCTTTCACTAAACACCCAGCGAAGTAATATGGCCTAAGTTTGCATTACCGCTGCGCAACATTCTCCCAATCAAAGACCTTTTCGGGCCTCAGGGGCACAGCAATGTGGCAAGCCTGACAACTGCGAGAATACAACATGGGTAGAGGGACAATCCAATGTGTGTAGTGTGACAATAATATCGTCGTACTACTCGATCTGCGGACAGAACTGGTTCGTTCTTTGTGGACTTATCAGCGCGGCACAGAGGAAATGAGGCCGAAACCTGATAGCCATGAAAAATAAATTTTCCAAAGCCAAATCATCTAATCGTCACACTATAATATGTGTAAAGACGAACGCAAGGGAACATAAGTCCCACTCTCCCACACTACTAGCAAACACATACCCTCTTGTTGGCTTCCCTCTGCTCCGCAAGCTTCGCTTCCAGCTGCTCCTACAAGCAGAACAAAAGCAGGCAACACACGGGCGTCACACACGGTACGAACAGTACGACCACGGGCATACCAGTTTTCGTGTCCACGCTGGTCGGCCCATTCATCCAAAAAAAACAGTAGCAGAGTGCTAAAAACGAGCACTGTTCATGTTAGCCATAAATTCCGAATTTGTTCTCCCAGCAGACCACCCCCCGACCCATTATCGTTCCACTTCCCACTGCACCTATCGTACCACTCCCCGCTGCCCCGTCACGCCACGTAACACGTGAACAGACAAGAAAAAGAAAACAGCGACACTAGACTTGAGCTTAGATCTATCGGTTTCCTCCGAGTTAATGCGTCCTGCCCGAAACATTGTTTTGCAGATCGACAAAGCTTCAAAAAAAAAAGAAGCCTTTCCAGAGAGTAACATGTTGCAACGAAAAACGGAGGCTAGCCACCACGAAATCCAGGAACTAATGTTTTAGGGTTTTACGTCGGGCCCCTAGACGACGGCTACAATGGCCAACCGGACAACAAAGAAGTTGAGGCCAAAGAGAATGATTTTATTTCTTGCGCATGCCTATGGTGTGGTATGGCGTAATAGTCGTGAGTCAGGTCGCTACAATGTTTTCTCCTGTTGTAATAGGTTTAGTTGTTGACTTCTAATAGGCTTTACTTGTCCACTTGAAAAGGAAGAAACATTGAAAGTTGAAACAGTCTAGGATTTTTAAAGTCTAGAAGATGCTGCAGCAACCAAACCATACATGATTCGTTTTCGAAACATCCTTAATGCGGGTACAGTAGAGTCGCGCCTCGTCGAAGAACATGGAACCCATGAACGCACAGCCTGAAATACTAAAACCATGGAGCCCATGAACGCACCGTCTGAAATACTAAAACCATGGAGCAAATGAACGCAGAGGCTGAAATACAAAAAAAAGCCGCGGTCTGGAGTAAAGACCCCCGGTACTGCGTTTCTGACGTTCAATTCTCAGACACGACCAGATGACCTCTACAGAAACGCACTTCCGCAATGATCAATTTAGTGTCAGCAATTCCAGACCTTTTCTGAGAACTCGCAGAGTCCATTGTAGCCATATGCATATTTAGTATTGACAATAGGTACTTCAACTGCAAAATTCGTTCTCTTTGCTGCATACGTCACGATAAATAAATATTCTTCACTGGTTTGAGGGAAAGACGGAAACGGGATAAGTCTGAAGAAAAAATGGACTGTCACCACCAGGACTCGAACCAGGGACCCTCGCTTGTAGCCAGCGATGCTCTAACCACTGACTGAGCTATGGTGTAGTCGTCATCCCAGCTGCGACCGTTCAACATAAATAAATAAATAAATGCATTCACCAAACTTTCGGCCATGGCCCATCTTCAGGATGAAAACATTCAAATTCCATACCTTGGACTCGGATGCTTCACCTTCCACTCCTTATGTTATTTTTATAACTTAGAACCTTCCAAGTTGGAAGGCTGTTGGAGTGCGCATCCAAGATGTTTTAGAGCTGTTAGCCAGTTAGCTGTAGAATGTCAGTACCGTCGGTCAGTGTCGTGCAATGTTATCGCATGAGCTGATTGTTTAGTTACTAGTGGTGTTAGTGGACATTATAGCGTAACTTGTAGTTCATTGGTCCTTTTTTCTTTTCTTTAAATTCCATACCTTGTTCTCGATAATCTCTTCCGCCCTGAGCAAGGAGACAAGCAAATATACACATGTACAAAACACATGCTCACACACACACACGCATGCACACGTACACACACACACATACACACACACACACACACACACACACACACACACACACACACACATACACATACACACAGACATATACGACCACCACACCATCACAGCACACAAAACAATCAATGTATCAAAGCGAAATCTGAAGGCATTATTTCTCACACCACCCTACCGGGCCTACTCCCATTGGAAGAAGTAGATTCCATAAACTATCTGTGATACTTCTAATTACAATGTACAGTGGATTAATATGGCGGCAAATACACACCCGGCAATATGGCTGTAAACACATACCTGCCCACACATGCCCTCTACGCTGCAAAGTTACTCAAGAACAGAGCTCTCCTTCTCACCACCACCACCACCATCATCAGTTCGAGTCTGGCGCCTGGGCAATGCATGGTTAGTGGTACTGGTGGTGGTGGTGGTCGTCGTGATTGTGGTGGTGCTGGTGAGAAGGAGAGCTCTGTGCTGGAGTAACTTTGCAGCGTAGAGAGCATGTGTGGGCAGGCGTGTATTTACCGTCATACTACCAGGTGTGTATTTACCAAGTGGTGGAGTGGGCAGTGCCCGGTCTCGAACCACCCGAATAAGGCAGATATGAGTGGACACTTTTTTTTCACTTAGACTGTACAGCTTGTGGTTCATGAAATACGCCGACTACTACATTGTAATTCTACACCAGCCATTTACATCATAGAGCTTGACGACGGCTTCTGGAACGTAATGATCCGAAAAAAATAACAGCCTACAAAAGCTGACAGTATATGTATTGACATTTCAACATTCGAATTACAAGGTGCACTTTTACCGGGCCAATAAACTCCAGTCGTGGACAGGGCAATCCGTTCCAATGACCGGGGCCTGCGCCCTCAGTCTGTCCCTCCAGGAAATTGCGATTCTACGGATGCAACAAATTTCGCGATTTTGACCAAAACCCGCGATTTTCTGAAGAATCCGCGATCTCCCGCGTTTTCTGCACTTCTTTCTACATGTTTATGCACTTTTTACACAGTATACAGTGCTTTCCATGATCCTGTGTACGTAGGTTATTTGCACAGTACGCACATACGATTCTAAGGATGCAACACATTTCGTGATTTGGCCCAAATCCGCAATTTTCTGCCAATAATTCCGCGAGTTCCTGGCAAGTTCTGCATCTTTCCGCCGCATTTTTTTGTTGTTTTCTGCCGCAATTTCTTGTGTAAGTTTTCGAGAATTTTTCCGCAAATTCCCGCAGGGACAGCTCCGTGCGTACAGAATGTTGCACGTCTGTACCGTATGCGTACTCACGGCTGCATGGCCAGCACCCTGGGGCCGCTTGACCTCGGACTGGATTTTTCCATGCCCACGACAGTGCTTGTAAGCAGGTGGGAAACACACGTCACAACTTCCATGCGTGTACGAGCGTGTGTCCGCGCCCATGCGCATTGATGTGTGTGCGTGCGTGTGTGTGTGTACACGTCCCCCTGTGTGGGGCGTGTGTATTTGCGGGGGAGGGGGCACGTGTCATACTTGTGCGATGCGTGTGTACATGTACACTTGCTTGTGCGATGCGAGTGTGCCAGGAAGCCCTCATATGGCTTGGGCGAGTAAGAACAACCTTCAAAATCGCTCCAAGCGCTCGTAGAGACAAACCTGTCGTATTTCGTATACGCTTCAATGTGCGACTTGTTCACCATAATCTTTTTTTGTGCGTTTTATGTCTCCATGACGTCGAGACATCAGGTCAGCTGAGGGCAAAAAGCCTCACCATCACTATGCTCCCACTATGCAATTTTGTTGTCTTTACCTAGACCTGTGAGCTGTGATCATTGTAAAAAAATAGAAAATCTCGGGGTGAGCGCCGCTGACGGGCACGGCGCCGCATCCTTGGAAAAGCACTATTGTCTTCTCTAAAAATGGAGTCAAATATCAGCTACTAGTATCAAAATCTTACGTATTCGACAACTAAATTATTTATAGTCGAATATCCAATATACTAGTATTTGGGCGCTGAAAAAGGGTCCAGAGAAACCAGCGCTAGCGGGGTCAAACACACTCAGATAAATCAGAGCTGAAACGATTGTTCCTCCTGCAGAAACTTACGAGATGTACTCTCTGTAGGCGTCCCTGGCTGCGACCGCCGCGATCTCCGCTATCTTGCTCGCGGACGGTCCAGCCACGAGGGCCTCCGACACAGCTGCATCGCGTTCGTTGCTGGAAAGGATTATAAGCCTGCCTGCTGCCTCGGCAGCCGCCTGACGGTTTGGCTGGCTGGCGATCTGCCTTTTCACATAGCATCGAACACAGTTGCACTGGTCCACCATAGCAGTGCTGGTTCGCAAAACCTACTAGTATTCTTCTTCGAGCATCTACCGTAGCAGTGTTCGCTAGTGACCTATGCGAGCCATCAACCTACATTTCGTAGTGCACAAGACTCAGTGTCGCGAATCAGTATTGCACCATGAATCAAGGACTTAGGTGAACGAGACAAACCAAGAAAACCAACACACAGTCATAAAGACGTCCTTTTCGCTCTAGCTCTCTAGCTCTCCGTCTAGGAATGGACGAAAACACCGTCAAGCCAAGAAAATCAGGATACAGTCTAGAAGATCCACTTTTTTAACACTCAAAGCCTCTTCTTGTACGGGCAAAACAGAAATAAAAACAGTTACTAGGAGTAGGAGTAGTAGTCATGGTAGTCATCTACACTGTAGATCTACGTGTACTAGTACTAGTAGTAGTACTTTCCGTACTTTGCCTAGTATTATGTGTACTTCATCTTGGCAGTTCCGGAGTATTTTTTTATTCATAATATTTATGCCATTTATGGTGGCAAACACGCGCCTGGTACACACTGTACCTGCATGCGGCGCCGGTAGGCAATCTTATTACAATAGTCATGTAGGTAACGATTTCTTGTGAAGCTTTTGTGTTCAATCCTATAATTATTTGAGTGTTCTATGTATTTCTGAATTTGGGTTGTCCTCTTGCTTTGACTCATACTTTATGGTTTCGCGCGATTGGCCCAATTGGTGTTGTGAACAAACCCGTTCTCCAGTAGAATGTGAGAGCGGGTAGATTAACAGTACAGTGTCAATGTAGATACCCTCGTTACTGACGTTAGTAGTACAGCATCAAGACGACCTCATAAACAGCACCTACCCACCCCCGGCCCCGGGGTTGTCTCTGCCGATACGAGGGTAGATCTGTTGTTGGTTTGACAGCATGAAAGCGGAGGGTACACCTGTAGGATGTAGGACTAGGCTGGAGGCGGCGGCGGCATGTACCAAAATGCTATGTACCGCGTACCGGCAGCTTTCATGTTCTGCTGCCGCATGCACTCAGATACAGATCGAGATATAATTCCACGACGCCGACTTAGGTTCCAGCGGATAATGCTCTGAAAATGTTCGTATAATGATCACCATAATACTCCAAAACTGCCTTATACATGTAATGCTGATTATAATGCTTCAGTAAGTGATAGAATGCTCTTGGTTTGGGACAATAATGGAAGAAAGTCTGCAAATTGCCAAACTTCCAGGAAATTACGCATGTCGTCGATCTGCCTTTGAAGCTGCCACATTATCTCTCACGACCTCCACCACTTCTTAGCACTATAAGACATGATTGCTTCTCCATCGGCTGCTCTCCATTCCAACTTTGATGCAGCGTTGTGGCAGAGCAGTCGGTGTATCAAATCTTTCCCCTAATTATCCATGTAGTGGGAGATGAAACCATTATTGCAGGTAGTCGATCATTGTTGGGATGAAGTTTATCTTAGCAAATAGTATTCCTGCCTGCAGACAAGTTGTCACTGCTTCCACTCTGTGAATAATAATAATGTCTTCATCTGAAACACCAGACACGAGGCCAGCTCCTGAGAGCCGATCTAAGATGGAGATCCCTCCCATTTGCCGAACTCCTGAAAACACGTGGTCAGAAGTTATTGTGCCACTCTACAGCCTTTGCGTGTGCTCTCATCTTCTCCTCGAGATGGTGTGTAGACGTATGGTGTGCCACAATACTCTTCTTTTCTGATAGCATTTGACTGTAACGCTAGGCCTGTCATTACAACCGTCCACAACTAACTGTACGTGCTTCATCAGGAAAGTAAGACAGGCGCTGCTGAGCGCTCCAATCGGCTTGGTACTGAGTCCATGAGAAATGCTAGTTCTTTTCCAGCCTCCTGAGCTGGACTCAGCGAAGGCAGTGCTTTTGGAACAAGCCCTTTCTGTTTATAGCCGCTCCTTCATCCTGGTCCAAATTTAGCATTGCATCAGTGTCTACTTCAATATCGCTAGAGATGCTATCGCCAGAGCCTCTGGCACAACGAGAAAACTCTTCTTCGTCTGTTTGATATTCACTTCCCGTATGTCTCCTCCATAGCTCTAAAAGTAAAAGAAACCTCGTAAATCATTTCTCCGGATTTGTGTCACTCGATCTTCAACTGCCATGCTTCGGCCTCGGTTGGCCATGCTTCACAAAGGGCTTGTACGTACAGTCATGTAACTGTAAGACTATTAAATAGTTCGGTATACATTTACCTGATCTGACCTAGTACCTGCACAGTCATAACGTGTTTATAATTACCGGTATGTAGCAATGTGGCCAGGTAAATGTACAATCGTAAAAAATAATTATAATATTAATAAGCATCAGTGCTAAATGTGTTACCATGGTTACGTGTCTACACAAAGTCTACTATGATCATGAAACTCGTTATGCCGTTCAAACATCACAATAGTCACAGTGCTCGTTTTGTTCCTTTCTAATGCTCCATAATCATGATAATGGCATTAACTGCTGAAAATGTGAAAAAGATGGAGGCTTTCGAAATCATGAGAAGCTATCGACGCCTTCTCAGGATTCCGTTCACTGATCGCCGGACGAATGTGTCTGTTAGAGAGGAAATAAAATAGTATTCACAAATAAGTCCCACTTATTGTTTCTGTTCGTAAAAGGAAATTGCAATGTTTTGGTCATATTGTTCGTTCCGGCTGTTTGTCATTGACTGTTCTTCAGGGTTGTGTTGCTGGAGGTCGTGGCCGAGGCAGGCCCAGAATGTCATGGCTTGATAATTAATTTTCATGGACTGCACTTGACGTGCAGTCCCTGCTCGCTGCTAGCTGCACGCGATCGATTTTTATGGCGCTCGCTTGTTCATACATGTACTTGCTCTGTGACGCCCCGACGGCCTTAGCCTTAGGGCTATGGCAGTATGGGCTTGTGGTGGTGATGGTGGCGGTGATTATCCGCTGAACCCTAGCCTACAAGGTAGGTCACACCGTCCGTATGCAGTAGCACTACAACACATTGTAGTAGTAGTGGCCGCCATGGCCGTGGCCGAGGATCCATCAAAGATCCAAGTCCAAGATTAGAATGATAAGAAGATGCCATGCCTCGACAACAACAACAAACGTACAGTGTAGATTTATAGGGACCGGCGGATTCTGCTCGAAAAGGTGGCGGATTCTGCTCGAAAAGGTGGCGGATTCTGCTCGAAAAGGTGGCGGATTCTGCTCGAAAAGGTGGCGGATTCTGCTCGAAAAGGTGGCGGATTCTGCTCGAAAAGGTGGCGGATTCTGCTCGAAAAGGTGGCGGATTCTGCTCGAAAAGGTGGCGGATTCTGCTCGAAAAGGTGGCGGATTCTGCTCGAAAAGGTGGCGGATTCTGCTCGAAAAGGTGGCGGATTCTGCTCGAAAAGGTGGCGGATTCTGCTCGAAAAGGTGGCGGATTCTGCTCGAAAAGGTGGCGGATTCTGCTCGAAAAGGTGGCGGATTCTGCTCGAAAAGGTGGCGGATTCTGCTCGAAAAGGTGGCGGATTCTGCTCGAAAAGGTGGCGGATTCTGCTCGAAAAGGTGGCGGATTCTGCTCGAAAAGGTGGCAGATTCTGCTCGAAAAGCAGTGAAATTGGCAGTGAAATTGGCAGAACCATACAAACCTTATGGCGGGCAATTCCTCGAATTCTGCTCCATTTCTTTATCCCCATACCAAACATGCATGAAACTTACCAGAAAAAGTACATGACGTAATGATGTATGTACCGAATTCTGCCAATTATATTATTTTTCTGCCGGCAGAATCCGCCGGACCATAGTACAGTCGTCCCTCTCTAATCCGGCACTTTATAATCCAGCACCCTCTATAAACCAGCACAATTTTCAGTAGCCAAATGTCCTCTTCATGCACATTGCAGCAGTAGATCAGATTTGTTAATCCAGCACCCTCCCTAATCCAGCAGATTTCCGTGGCACAAATGGTGCCGGATTATAGAGGGACCACTGTACTAGGGTGTAGAACTGTAGATCCAGTGACAGTGTAGCTTTCAACAAGAGTGAAGACAGTCACCTGGTCACAACCATGGTCATGGACTGAGTCTGTTGGAGTGCGTCAAAACCAGCCATGCCGTTCAGGGGGAATACCCCTTGTGTTTCCCCCTGACGCAATGAGTGTCCTGCTGTCCCGGCGCGACTGCACCGAGGCGAGTGAGCTGATCCCCACCCGAGCCGAGGCCGAGTAGAGAGCTGTGCAACTGCCAGTGCAAACCAGCACTACACTACAGCCTGATCCGCGGTAGATCTACGCGGTACAGTCACGCCCCCCCCCCCCCCCCAACGCCATGCATGCACGACCGGCGCTCACAGCCGACGCGACGTTAGATCTACCAAGTACCAGACTATGGCATGCAGTATTATGGGCGCGCGTCACCAAGCCAAGGGCAAGGTCACTCTTTGACTTTTCGAGGAGTTTCGTTTTTCTGAAGAGGTTGCACAAGCTAATTATTGGCCTCGTTACCATGGTTACGACGTTAGAAAAGGAAAGTCTCCTCGAAACTCCACAACTTCATCCGATGGGAGACTCCGAGAGGTGGATTAGTTCGGAAGAGTGTGCGATATTGTGTATTGCTCCCTGCATGGGAGCTCGCGCTTTTCCTGCCGACTTGAATTCTCACTTGACTGACTCAAGACTGCCATCCAGAGCACGAGAACTGAGTCCATCGAACCATCCACCATGGTCCGCTCGGCAAACCTGCTAGAAAGCACCACTCCCTGCTCAATACACAGTGTTTCGGGGAATTCACCCCTCCGCATCAGTTGAGGCTGAGGAAGATTGTGCCTGAAGAGCACCACTTATATAGTGCCCTCCGACTCCCGCCACAAACATCACCAGCTAGGGACCGATACGCGATACACACTTTAATACAGAGACGCTCCGTTTCCAGCGCTAGCGCGACAAACACCTCGTGAACACCAGATACTGAGATAGCAGCGTGAGTCAGTTTTCGTTATGGAGGTGCTAGCTGAACGTTCATGAACAAGCGCTGAGGACCGTTGCCAGGCGTTGGCCATTCACAACGTTGTTGCCTCCAAACCATCTAATTCGCAAGCCCACGCGGGGGGCGGGACAACAATGTGAGGAAGAGGTTGGTGCGACTTCGGCGATACTTGGGGAATTGTGTGTTGCTCCCTACTTGGCCATCAGGGAGTCGTACCCAAATTCGCGAGTCGTACCCAAACTAGTTTGGGTACGACTCCCTGATGGCCATAAACTAAAGCACACACACATGCACAGACAGACCTCAGACCTCAGACATTCCCATCGCGGAAGCGATGATAGCGAACAGCTATGTTAGACATGGCAACTTGTGCTGGGATTACACCAATCACCATTCAACAGCTTGCAAGGCTGATGAATTGACCGCCACTATGTTTAGCCTGGTATCCACCACACAGCTGTTTGAAGTGACTTTTTCTGGCAGGCAGGCATAGTGGGATGGTCTAAGACCATGATTGAGAAACAGAGGGTACCAGGTTCAAGTCCTGCTTGGAAGCGGAAGGATTTTTTCCAGCCGTGCTGCGACCCACAGTTAATTGGGAACTCGTGGCCTGGCACGAGGAAAACATGGATGCAGTGAATGGGATTTTCGGTCTTTGACCACTTGCTGGTGAGCTGATCTACTCACCTCCCACCGCTTTAGGAGCTGCATCTGCGCCTTGATCCTTGAAGGGTGGTGGCGTTCCTACGGATGCGGAAAACCCGGCTTCCAGCCGAGTCTCACGCGAACCGTGAAATTTTTTTTCTGGCCAGTGAATCCCTATTTTTCATTTCAATTTCAGACAGACACACACACGCACACACACGCGCGCGTGGTAAGTTCCCGTTTTCAATTCCCTCAGCCTTATGAATACCGGGTACTTTTCTTTCTTCTTTTATTTTGAATTTCGGCCGGTGTGGTTGGAAAAGTACTTCGTGTTGGAGATGAGACCAGGGGAAGCAAGTTGTGTGAGTCCGCCTTTCGGCACCGGAAGTACAGCTCGGTCGACTCGACTACATTGTATTTCTGAGTCATACCTTGATTAGTTCTGGTGTCAGGTGACCTGTGTCAGAGAGTGCAGTCGACTCCTGATGCATGGATAACGAACACCATTGTGCAGGAGGTTACCATTACTTAGCCATGTCTCACCCTACACAGTGGGTCCATTGTTTTTAATATTAGGCATCTGTCTCCCCCCCCCTCCTCCACCCTACACAGTGGGTCCATTGTTATTAGGCATCTGCCTGTTTTGGTTTCTCCACTATAAATAAAAATACTATTACTACTGTACTACATAGGAGAATTAGGGTGTCATCGATTGGCGAATCTGGATTGAGTGCGAGCAGGCGGTGTGGTCCGAGCAACACTGGACCAATCGAACAAAACAAGGGCGGAGTACGCAACATGTACGCATAATCGTACAAAGATTCCATTTCCACTCCGGCCACTCCCGGTGTGGTCGGATTCCACTCCAAGTACACCTACTCCGGATTCGACCAAACGATCACGCTCACCCGGAGCACACTTGCTCATCAAGCCAGAGCTTCCCTTTCCCAGCTCCGAACGATAACACACCAGCAAAGGTCTAGCGAGAAAATACGTCACGTACATGTACAAGAGTAGATAGTCGAAACGGACAACAGGAGCAAGATTTGATACAGAAGGACACGTTTTGCCGACATTCATCTCCTTCAGAATGCTAATGGTAGAGAACACATTTATCATAATATTATAGATCTGTGCTAAGAGTTTGTTATGATTCAGCGAACACTGCAGCTACACAATCAGTGGCAGCAGCAGCGGCAACTACAAAACAACAACAAAAGTCAGAGTGCTCTAACTGCGATAAACACAGCGAGCTTTGCACGAGGGCAGATCACTACAAGGTTACCGCTATTTATAAGCAAGAGTACATAACCTCATCCCCCAGCTACCGTAAAAGTCCGTAAATAAGTACCTGCCCGAAAGAAATGCCCCCTTCATTCTTTTGGCTCTGTCTGTTGAAGTCAAGTCGAGCCCGATAAACATACTGCCCGAAATAAGTACCGGTACGGTGCGTACATGCAGCACGTAGCATGTACATCGACATGAAAATGACTTCTCCACTACACACAAGTCAGGTCCGAAAGTTAGTTCGTGCCCGAAAGTCAGTACCCGCCCGAAAGTTAGGACGGGTGTGGTCACTAAATTCGAAAGTAAATACGTACTTATTTACGGACTTTTACGGTAATTGAGAAAGGGAACGAATACCTATAGACACTATCAGACACATCCACATATCCATGCATGCCGAGTGTGCCTGAAGAGCACCGCTTTGAGAGAGAGAGAGAGAGAGAGAGAGAGAGAGAGAGAGAGAGAGAGAGAGAGAGAGAGAGAGAGAGAGAGAGAGAGAGAGACAGAGAGAGAGAGAGAGAGAGAGAGAGAGAGAGAGAGAGAGAGAGAGCACACAAAGGCGCAGGTAAGCACTCATACACTATAACACAACAAAGCTCCATGTAGCCGATTGACCAAAGGGAAAAATTCAATTCTTTGACAAACACACAAGCACGATTTTTCAATCAAACATTTACAACTCCTAAGCACTTGGAACAGAGCACGTAGTTTGGGGCAGGGCGGAGAGAAACTACACAAAAACTGAAAAAAATGCTGTTAGTTACGCCAGGCAAAACCGCTACGTACATCGCAAGCAAGCCTGGCCAGGGAATTATGGCAAACACAATATTAGCTGACATACACAGGAGAGCAGGAGCATGAGGAGAAAGAGGAGAGAGAGAGAGAGAGAGAGAGAGAGAGAGAGAGAGAGAGAGAGAGAGAGATTTGCAGCATACACCGAGCGCTAGATAACCGCCAGGTAAGCACAACAAACCTCAAGCGAGAGCGTGCAGCTGGCATACTGAGACGACGTTTGCTCTGCGCAGCACCCCCGGGGCTAGTGAGAGGAAAGCAAGCTACGTTGCCGCCCCAAACGCAGCCAATGAGTGTACTGGGATCTGGGATCTTCGTTTTGTCAACGGGCACGTAACAGTGGCTCATCGCTCGTCGGATGATGAGGATCCCGATGAGGAGGATGAGCCGGAAGATGCACTCGTCGAGGATCGTCGCCGTGATCCACCGGCCGGACGTCGAGCGGGTGAAGCGCCGGCACCCCGTCGCCGTGGCGGCGATCGTCGGCGAGGAGACGGGCTGCGGCGGCGAGGTGCAACGTAAACACGACCGCCACCGCCGGCCGGGGCTGAGCGTGCCGACGCTCCGCTGGCGGCGCTAGGCGCGTGCACCAGCACCGCGGTGATCTGCTGTCCGTCGATCTGGCCGGCATTCATGTGACGGATGCACAGGCTGGCCTGCTCCTCCTTCTCAAAGTCCACGTAGCCGAAGCCGCGCGGCAGCTCGGTGCCGCGATCCATGGGTAGGTCGACCGTCTTGACGTGGCCGTATTGCGAGAAGATCTCGCGAAGGTGCTCGCGAGTCACGTTCCTTGTCAGCTTGCCAACGTGCACCTGAAGACGGTGAGAAGAAAACAAACGACAAAGGTTTTTCGGCACATTTTTAGCGCGCTACAGCAGGACAGGGGCTCTGGGCAGACCATCCTGGACGAAAAGGCCATGGTCGTAGCGTGTGTGTATGACGCTACTGTCACTACCGTACAGACACTGCTGCACAATACGGTTACAATTAGAAATACTTATCTGAAAGCAGAGTAAAACCTCGTTAGGACGAACACTGAAAAGGCGAACTTTCGATTAGTCCATTCAGAAAAGGTTGAGCGCTGGCTCTGGAGAGCTCCCGTGTTTGGCGATTTTGTGGTACACTGTGCAGTGCCGCGCGATTCGAAACTTGAAAAAGGGCCCAAAAAGGCACCTCAACTGGGGTTCGAACCGCAAATGTACTGTTATGCAAGTGGAGTGAACGGCCTGGATTTTCATGGTTTTTACCCAATTCAGTGCTTTGGGGACAAAACCTGGCCGAAATCCTATTCTTGTCATGGCTTGCTTTTTGGAGAAATAGACTTCAAAAACACAATTGGAAGAGTATTCCATGGGGGATTGCCAAAAAAAAGGAGACGAAAACTCAAAATTTGACCCGTTTACGGCCAAAAGCTAGGATATCAACCTTTTCTGAATGGACTGTAGTACGAACTACAGTGCATTTCAAAACTATAGACGCGTAGGGTTTTTGAAATATTTCAAATTTGGTTGGAACTTTTTGAGAATAGTTTTCGGAATATTGCTCAGGATCGCTCCACAATTACTCTCATATAGTTTCTAAAGGATTGGATAACAGACGCCCAATTTGGAAAAATTTATGCACAAAGTGATCACATATTTTATGTGGTATAGATGCTGGCATAACGGTTTTTGCCTAGGTACGCGTCTATAGTTTTGAAATGGACTGTAGGGCTAGGCATCACATCAAGTCAAAATTATTCGTTTACGACAAACTCCTGTAGGGCGGACTTTCGTGAAGACGAGCTAATTTCAAGTGTGATTTGAATAAAATCAGCGTATAATACGAACTTTCGGTCCACGTGGGTGCGCTGGCTGTAGTTTTTTTCTTCTTCAGAAAGTCGAGGCCTCTTGTACGGGCAAAACGAATTGACAGCATGTTGCAAGGTGGAGGACATGCTGTCATGAATTCATTGCACATTGTACTGACCTGGTGCTGGGTTATGCTATGAATAAATGCGTTACATGTGCCACAGCATGCACCTTCACATGAATACAATCCATAGTTATGATAGGCATATCATTTTTTTCTCAGATCTGGATAAGAAGAACTCCAGATAAGACAAACAAACTTGTTCAGTCCCTTGAAGTTCGTCCTAACGAGGTTTGACATTATAATTATAAGACCAAACTAGCATCCTGACCTTAGTGGCCTTGGGTGGGGTAGGGCTGCGCCGTCTCCTCTTTGGTGACGGACTCCGGCGTCTCCTTGGAGATGGTGATCTCCTTGGTGAACGTCTCCTAGGCGACAGTGGTGATCGTCGTCTGCGAGGAGGGCTACGGCGACTAGGCGACGGGCTCCGTCGGCGAGCAGGGCTGCGTCGTCTCGGTGACGGGCTGCGTCTCCTTGGCGATGGACTCCGTCGGCGTGATAGTGGAGAGCGTCGTCTTGGCGACGGTCTTCTAGCCGTGGCCGCATTGCGACGGGGAGAGGTGGCGCCCCGCCGTGGTGGCGACGGCTTGCGCGGTGAAGCCTGTCGACGGGCAGCCGGCGAGCTGGCTTTGCCGCGTGAGCTGCGCGGTGGTGATCCAGCACCACCACGCTTGGGTGAGGGACCCTTGGGCGAGCGCTGCGCTCGGCCTCGCCGCGGCGGAGGTGACCTGCTGCTGCTGCTGTCACTACTGCTGTAACTACCACTGCCACTACTGCTGCCGCTGCTGCTACTGCCACTGGAAGCACTGGGAGAGCGGCGACCACGCGCGGATCCGCTGGACGCGGCGGGACGTTTGGACGGGGCTGGAGGTGAGCGTTTGCGTGTCGCCGATGGTGGTGATGAGCGCTTGGACGCTACTGGTGAGCGTGAACGCTTGGCCGACGCCGAGGCAGTGCTGGACTTGCCCGTGCTGGACTTGCCCGTGCTCGACGCGGGCTTCTTGCTGGGCGGTGGACTGCGGCTGCGCGAGCTGCTGGAGCTGCTGCCCGTGTAGCTGGAGCCGGAGCCCGATGAGCTGGTGTAACTGCTGCTGCCACTGTCAGTGCCACTGCTGCTCCCGTCGGGCGACGACGACGGAGAAATAGCAACACACATGCGTGCACAGCCGTACGCGTACGTATACAGACGCACATGCACACGGTGACACACGTGCACACGGAGACACAAGTGCGCACGGGGATACACACACACACACACACACACACACACACACACACACATACACACACATACACACACACGCACATAGGAGACAATGAGGAGGGTTGCCAAGAAAGGGTAGATGCATGGAATGTAATATGATGTATCAAACCCTTTTTTTACTGGGCTCAACATATCTTTCTTTATCCACTGACGATGTTGTTCAGAACAACGAAACGTCTGAAGAAGTATCGTAAATATTTCTATCGTTATTAAATGTTATGAAATATACCACTCTTTGGTCTAGAAAGAATACTGTTTTGATACTCAACATATCTACGGTAAAGTACCGATGATCCCCCCACAGCTGCGTCGTTTCCAGGTTGGTTTTCCAGCAGGTGGCGGAAATTAATTCAAGGCTGTCAGTTGGTGTGCAGTTTATGGTATAAAGCATGGGAGTTGAGTTCTTCCATACCTTCAACGGCTACTAGTACTAGCAAGAGTGCATAGACAAGAGTATGCAGCTGTGGATATCAGTCAGTGCGAGGCACAAACCCACAATTTCTCGTACGAGCCTGTCCGTTTTTGCTCGATCCGTTCCAGTACCTACGCGATCTATAAATGTTGACGCGTGAACCCCAGTTCCGTACGAAAGTTAATTTCAAACAAGAGGGAAAGTGCGACGTTTGATTTTCCGCAGTGCGCGGACTGCAGCTGAATGATGTAATGGCTAATGAAAGCAGCACGCCGCGCATCTGGCCCATAAAAAAGAGATCACAATTGCATACTCTTGTTTATGGACTCTTGGTACTAGTCATGTACATGCTTTGTTTTTTCCCCATGCTCCTCATAGTCCTGTACCTTGAGCTCATAGACCTGGAGCGTCTGGAACCCTTGCTGCTTCTTACTGGTGACCTTCCACGGCCACGGCCCGTGCTGCCTCTGCTAGTGGATGAGGACTTTGCAGGCGCGGACTTTGATGAGGATTTGGCGCTGGACGACGCCGACTTCGATTTGGAATCCCATTTGGACGCCGAGGATTTTGAACTGGGCTTCCTGGCTGGGGAGGGGGAGCGACGCGGCCTGAAACACACGCACCCAGGTGGCAAGCTCAGCTAGAAAGAAGCACGCCGAGGACTGAACAAACAGTGTAAATACTTACATCCTGGCTAGCTCATCAGCCCTAGTACCACAGCATCCACAGTCGTCCAGCAAACTTCGAAACAACAAAATTAGTATCCGAACACCTCTTTTCAAATAATTACTTTCATCCGAAATGAAAAAAATCAGCGAACAACAACAAAAACTGAAAAGCTCGATTTTTTGTTGTTTGATGGTTGATATCGCGATATCGATCGACTCGCGATCGCGCGTCCGTCGCGGCGCGGGCACCCCCGGGCCCCATCTCTGCCGCCATCTTGCATGACACAACGCAAGCGTGTTACCGTGGTGACACGAAATAATCCGCGCAAAACGCGCGTCCTCTTCAAAATTTTATCCACACCTTTCCATCATGACGTAATTACTAGCCTCTTCATCTTCTTCCCATGAGCAGCGGCGCGGAACGAACACGTGTTTTGAATGAAGCGTTTTGAATCAACTACACATGAATGATTGTACTTTTTCGATCCGAACTTTTCAAACCCACTGAATCATTTTTGCTTCTTCTTGACTGGAGAAGTGAAAGCTTTGTGGATTTCATAATGGCCAACGATGTACTGTATTAACGATTATTTGTAGAGACTTAGCTGACTGTTGATTTTGGTCATGAAACTCTGAAACGCAGCTTTAGCCTTGCTTGCGAATGTGTAAATTTCTGTTTGCAGGGACTAATTGCATCGTTCTCCACTTCCTACACAAAGTACATGACCCCGGGGTTATAGACTCTTGTTACTACCTATAGCCGAACAGGACTAGTTTTCCACGACTCTGTTGTCTCTGCTAACGGTGATGTGGTGAATATTTTTATCACTAGTAATTAGTGCAACTGAGCTGCTGTTGCGCGAAGTAAGCTGTGAGCTTGCGAAGGATGGAGGCGATACAAGAGCAGTACATGGCGCTGGTGCCAATGCGAATGTTTGATTGGCAGGTGAGGCTCAGTCGTGACCCTGCGTACTAGTATCATGTTTACTTCCGTCGCATTGTTAAAACCGCACAATTGCTTTATCCATTGCTCGGCGCAGGTTTTTATTGCAATCAGCAAAATGTGAAAATGTGATAACAACAATGGACAAAGAACTCAACGCGTTCAAATGCAATCATGGCTTGTTGTTATGACAGTGACTACTACAGTAAAACCTGGTTTAAGCGACCACCCCCACGGTGCAAGGAAAAGCGGTCGTTAAAGCCAGGTGGTCTTTAGAACCAGGTCCCACGGTGTCTGTGTAGAGCTGTCGGTGCATGGAAAAACGGTCGTAAAGAGCAGGTGGTCGCTAAACCCAGAGGTCGCTTACACCAGGTTTTACTGTACTGCCAATGCAGATGCATGATACCATGCCAACGTATGATACCATGCCAACGTATGATACCAGGGGCAGAGAATTACTGCTGACCAGCCCTGAGGTGCATGTGACTGCGAAGGGCATTCACTTGTGGTGATACGATGCTCGAGTGCCCCTGAAGCACGTCACAGCCCATCACATCAAGCAGAACTTTATCCTTTGCTACTAGTATCTATGGGTTCAGGTACGACGGTTTCTCCTTCAACTAAATACGAAAAATAAACGAACCTCGTTGGCAAGGTGATGCAGCAATCATCTTGGAGCTTGGCGAAAAGGCTAGCTGCTAGTGGTCTCGGCATCATGTTTGGCAACACCGGTAGAGCCAAGATCCATTGCTTCCGTTGAGATGATGTCGCTGACCTCTGAGAGAAGAGACCTGGCGGCTGCTGCTGCGTCTTCTGTATTGAGATGACTAAGGTCAACCAACGCAACAGGATCAGAACGCATATCCGCAGCATTACAACTTTCAGCAGTACAATCAGGTTCATAGCCATCCGTGTAGATCATAGTGACAACGCTACAACAACGCAAGTCGGGAGGTAGCCATTGCAGGCGTCGTCTTCAAGCTCTGCTGTGCACTGCATGCGTTCACGACTTCTTCGTCTGTTGTGTTTTGATTCTGGAGAAATGTTTCCAGGTTTGTCATCGAGCTCCTACAGGACTCCTGTTTTGATCCAATTGCGTCCTTGAGACCCTCCATTCTGCTTGAATAAAGAAGTTGGATGACAAACTAACTAACACTTGGTTACTTTCTCAAAGTTTTCAACACTACAAACTGACAACATACGGTAACAGCGTTCTTTCTTTTGTTCTCACGCATGCGCATGCTATACTGTATGAAAGGTGCTTGGGCCCAACTCCCTGAGTTAATGGGAGTGTCGGACTGCTCAGACGCAGACAACCTTGTCCGAGATCCACAATACAGCCGTGCCTATGGAGACAGTCTATGCCCAATAGGACATCAGGCTCAATGTTTGCAACTACCATTGTGTGCTGAAGCTGGAGGCTGCCGAACTTAAGCTGAACATGCACCGCTCCTTCGACAGTCACGCCACTGTCGTCAACAATTCGGACTGATATTGATATCTTCTTTAATTTTAACGAACTTAGAAGTTGCAACTTCGGCGGTAAACGTCTTGAAGTTGAAGGTGCGGCGTGCTCCTTGTGTGCTCTGGATGGCAGTCGTGAGTCAGTCAAGTGTCAAGTTCAGCAAGAAGCGTGTGTTCCTAGTTGGAACAATCAACTTCTTAATTTTATAAATTATATGCTTATGTTATGCTGACAAACGAAATTGAACTTCCAGAATCAACTAACATTACGGACATTGGTTATGCGTATCAAACTTACTCTGCCGATAACATATTGGCAACTGTCAACAGCAACGGGAGGGCGTATGTGTACTTCGGGAGGCGCGGCAGGCAGCACTTCGGGGCCATGGTGGTTTGGAGCTGACTCTGGCCCCTCTATGCCAACCCCGGGCCGTTTCCCGAAGGGCGCTGACGTCGTCCCCGGGGTGGAGGTGCAGATGGGCAGTTTGTAATTAGATGCTCGGCACTTCCACAATGGCAACAACGGCGTTGTTGTTGGGGCTGCTGCTGAGGCCGCCGCAAAGACAACAAAACGGTTTCTAACCGTTCCACTCTTACTAGTATGGCGTCCAAGCGATCTTCCCTGGCTGCACGGACAGCCGTGGGATGTACCAGTAGTAGCGCCCACTTGAAGTATGGCAGTTGCCCGGAGTCCTTGCTGGAGTGACTGATACAGAGTATGGGGGTCTTGGCGACGTGCCGCCACCTTCAACGCTCTGCTGTCCAGTCCTTCGATGAATTGATCCCATGCCAGCTGGTCCTGAATGAGATCTGGTAATGTAGGGCATGCTTGGTGAGATAGTCGGCGAATCGCCTCGCAGTAGTCAGACAATGCCTCCTCACCTCGCTGTTGTCTGGCTTTTAATTCCACTCTGTGGAGGTCAGTCCTGACGAGTGGAGCAAACCGACGACCCTCCAAAGCCACCAGTAGTTGCTGAACATCCTGCCGTGTTTCGGCCGCAAGCGATTGGTAATAGGCAATAGCATAGCGCTTTGTTGATCAAGTACAAAGGGATGTATTGTGCCTGGTCCTGCGGCATCCACTGATTGACCAGGCAAACTTGCGTGAACTGGTCTCGCCGAGTAGTGCAGTCAGGCGCTGCTTCACCATCGAAGCGTTCAGGCGTTGCCCAAGGCCGGATGGGTCGAACGGGCGGAGCTGGCTCAACTGGCTGAGCGGGCTGGCTGAGCAGGTTGGACGGGCTGGGCTGGAGGAGGTACTTGCTGGTTTGGTTGTGATTGCGCCGTTCTGAACCAGGAATCACTTCACATTGTCGCAAGAAACGAAACAAAGAGAACAATAATTCCACACCTCCAGCACATGTGCTCTCTGACCGACCTCAGCACACCAGCAACACGACTCCAAGTTATAGATACTGACGAATAAAACTTCCTCCATACAGCGCTGTTTTGACCATTGAGGTCTCATTAGTGAAGGTTGAGATTAATGAATGAATGACTATCCAGCAGAATTGCCGTAGCACAAATGGTGCCGGATCATGAAGGAACGGACCATTGTAATATGGACTGAGTGGAATAGAATAGAACATTGGTTTGAGGGAAAGATGCAAACGGGAAAAGTCTGAAGAAAAAACTGACTGTCAGCAGGGGCGTCGGAAGGTATTTTAGTGTGGTGCGGTCAGCCATCTGAAGTACAATTTACTGGTGTGGGAGGGGTGGCTGAGCTGAAATGTTTTGGAAATTAAGAGCCCAGATGAGTGTATTTTATTGATTCACAGGGTACCCGGGGCAAAAAGTGGTACGGTCAATACCGTAGTGACCGTACCGTGTCCGACACCCCTGTGTCACCACCAGGACTCTTACCAGGGACATTCGCTTGAGAGTGGAATAGAGTCATTATTTCACTTCAGAAGTAGTATTGTTTGTGTGATTATGAACTCTCAGTCTGGCGTTGGTAATATGTTCAGGTCCTGTTCTGTATGCATGTGTTTGTGTTGTGTTGTGTGCACATACAGTCGGTTACTGCGAGCCTTGATGAGAGCACACAACTGGACATTCTAGCCCGGGTAAGCGAGCAGTGTGGATGTATTGTGACTGGCTGCGCCATGACAACCCGTGTGCTGTGTTTTGTGAATGTATAATTATACTAGATTATAGTCTGCTGTACGACTCGTAGTTGGGCGAATGAGCGATGCAAATGTCCAACCTCACAATCCAGTCAGAAAATAAAGATACTTTCCTGCTTTTGAATACTGTCCTCCTTTTTTGCTTTGGATGGTAGCCATACAGCCGAAGATGAGTGTTATGTTTCTACCCAAAAGCAAACATGAGCACACGACAACACAACCGGACTTGAGTTTACTTGGTATCGAACTGACTTACAACAAAAACATGAAATCAAAGAAAACAAAAGATCACACATAAAATCACATGAACCTACACTACGGCTGCGCAGCCTGCAAGGCGTGACCTACGTGTATTCAAGATGTACACTACACAGTATGCATTACTGGGTCTGTGGTGTGCATACACCACAATGAGAGGAAATCACGTGGCGGTTTTACTCCTGCAAAGACCCAGTGAAAACAAAATAATTTTCTCAAAGTACACCTAATGGTGATCGTGGCAACCAGCCACGACCTGCGCGCGTGCATGCACCTGACCAGAATGTATTTATTTATTGATAATTACGGATAACCCAAAGGCTGGAGTGCCTATGTCAAGGGGTGTTTCTGGACAAACAAGCATCATGTAATGAGCTCAGCAGTGAGCGAAAACAAAAGCAATGGGATGGATGAACACACCATGGCTGTGTGCCGTGCATTGTATGTTTGCACAGACATGTCAGCACCCGTTATGCCAGCGCTATCCAGCGTCCAGTACCTATCGACAAGCCTTCCTCAAGGTTCTCATGAACAAGGTGAGCGAGTTGTTAACTACGACTGTGCGGGTGCCGGTGCAAGCAAGCCGGCGGGCGGTAGTGCATGCGTGTGTGTGCGTGTGTGTGTGTGTGTTTCTTGGTTGTGTATATGTATATGTGCGTTTGTTTGTTGGTGCATTTGTGTGTTTGTATGACTATGTGTACGCACATGTGTGTGTGTGTGTGTGTGTGTGTGTGTGTATTTGTGTGTCTGTGTGTGCATGCACGTGTGTCTGTGTGTCCAAAGTGTGAACGCAGTGGACATGATATAGCCGAAGATCTGTACGTGGCGTACACAGACACCCTCAACACTCCCGCCAATGCCACCACAGATAAACCTGGCACTAACAAGGACCAGCCATACCGCATCTACATGTTGAGAGGTTAGTCAATCCCTTGTGCTGTATTCCATCTCCCAATTTATCTCCCGAAGCCTCAAAAGAATCTACAGTTTTACTGGTTACACAGTAGATAACGAGCAGTTTTTTTTCCTAGCGCGTACGGGGGGGGGGGGAGGGGATGAATAAAAAAAGCAAAACATTTTGAAGATGTGGGTGGACTCTTCCTGCAGCTTAATTTAAGATGTTCTCTGTTAGATTTCGCTTTATAAGACAGAGGTTCCAGGCTGTCCAATAGAGTGCTCAATAACGAAAGGCAGAGCTAGTTCAAACAATAATAAGAGGATGAAAAAGTGTTTTAACTCCGAGTTTCACGCACTAAGGCCGTCATCACACTACGTTCTCCGACTCCCGTTTACGTCTACGTCTATGGTGAAAAAACAAAAACGGGTGGTCGTGTCATCAGACAGGCACAGTTCTTGACGCGTACACGCAGTCAGGTTTTTGGAGAAATTTGAAGGCACGTACATCGAAGTACAGGATCGCTCGGAAAAAGGCTGGGGGAGATACGCACGTTCATACAAAAAGTCGTATACGTATTATACCCCCCCCCCCCTCTCCATACCACGTCTACGTCTCCCGTTTCCTCTGCTCCCGTTTTCACCCCGTCTACGGATCATCATGACAACCGACCAAAAACTCCTTACGTGGACGTAGACGCAGTGCTTTGTACCATAATGTGATGGCAGCCTAAGCGATTATCAGAAAACAGTAAAAAAAAAAGATTGATTTTGCTTTATATTATTTTTTTATTCATTCAACTCAATCTTATAGCATATACAAGTAATGCTAGTATGGGGAGCAACCCAAGAGATGAGGGCGATACCCAGTCATGACAAAAGTACAAAAAGAAAAGAGAGAGGAGAAAGGTTTCACTTACTGCTGTGTCTAATCGCCGTACTACTGTACTGTGCTGCTCAATGACATCCGATCAAGTTTTTATTTATTTTTTTATTTTTACAAAGACCGCTTAAATGCCAAACATAAGATGCAGCTAGGGGAAGCACGAAGTAAGTCAGTTCTGCGCCCTATACGAGTGAATATCCCAGTGTTTGCAGGCCTAGGGCTGCACAGCGCCCGGCATGGCGTACTTGACTCATTTCGATCGTATTTCTCTGAGCAGCATTGGAGTATCACCAGTATCACCAATATCACCTTAGTATCACCTTCTCTGACGAGCCTTTGATAGGCGAAGCAGCTGTCAGAAGGAAATGTTTTACCCGTGACCCCTTTAATGTTTGAAGTTATTGGTGTGAGTAATGGCTACCGAGGGTAGCAATGGTCGGCTTTAGAGCGCATGGAGGAGGAGAGTTAGTTTCTTGTAGCATTGAAGTAGTCACACAAAAACCGAGTGACCAGGTGTGTAACATGGTTGGTCTCCGGCACAAGGTGTTTGATAGGTTGGCTGTGTCAGCTGGGTCCTGCTTGCCTTTCCTCTGAACCATGACACACTACAAGGCTGTTTTCATTCAGTTCGGGTTGCGTTCTTTCACCACCCACTGAATGAGAATTCCGTGTGTGTTTTTGTGTGCACGTCGTGTGTGCACGTGTCTGCGTGAGCGCGTGGATACGGTGTGTTCGTGCAAGCACGCCTGCTTGTGTGTCTGTGCGAGTGTGTGTGCGAGTGTGTGTCTGTGTATGTGCGCGTGCGAGTGTGTGTGCATGTCACGACTATGCTATCCATCACACCATACCTGTGTGTTTGCCTGGCAGAGTACAAGCACTGTCCCATTGTGCTCCAGGAAAGTGACAGCTTTGTGTCCCAGGGCACCACTGGTTTACAAACATGGCCGGTATGTTAGCTGAAACTCTCACCAAACAATTCCGTTGGCTTAATCTAAGTCTACGAATTCTCGGCACGTTAAAACGTCGACCTTGCAGGGCTTAACACATTTCGGCCGCATTTTAAAAGTTCAGCCTGTACTGCTGCTGCCTGTATACACTGTCACACTGAACCTTGCATAGCAACATTTCGGCCGCGACAAATTTTAGGCCAAAAATGCCCAGGCCGAAAATTGCCGATAATAAAATTAATACCGTATATTCTCTATTATAAGCGCCGTGGTTTTATTTTTTAAACACCCCTCTACCCCGGTGCTTATATTGGAGACCGTGCTTATATTGGAGACCGTGCTTATATTGGAGACCGTGCTTATATTTTTTCAAACAATATATCCAAACGGAGCAAGAAGAAATACATGCTAGATATCATGCATGCAGCATTGATTTCCACCAAGACCGTGCTAATAATAGAGACCGTGCTTATAATGTTTCGAAAGGTGCTCACAGTGTGCTAGTGTTAGAGACTGTGCTAGTAATGGAGACCTGTGCTTATAATAGAGAGTATACGGTATGCGCCGAATATTTGTTGACTTTCAGTACGCTGTAAGTTTGTGGATGCTTATCAGCAGGGAGTTGTAGCAATTAGGGAGCCGGCAGGGGTGACTGGAGCGTGAACGACGTGGGCTTTGCTCCGGGGCGGCCTGCTTCAGTCACCCTGGGGGGGGGGGGGGATTTTACCCACGCTCGCATGCAGCATCGTTGGTTCTGGACCGCAGTCACAATCATGATTTGTGTAGGCTATGGCTCACATAAACTGACTTCTGGCATTATTTTCAGTTTGTTTCAAGTGATGTCGAAATATTGTCACGTTTCGGGCCAGTCACCCATCGTCAGAACTTGCTTGTTTCAAGGCCTGAAAATATTGTCAGAATTCAACAAATAACGGCTTCTGGGTCAAACTGGATCCACTCTGGCCGTAGCAAAAAATACAAGTGCTGTATTTGATGGATAGTCCACTCATGTCCTATGCTGCTGTGAATATTTCGATGCCGGCAGTGGGTTCCCGAGAGGGTCCAGTCTAGTCATTGCCGGCGAATGTGTCACCCTGCTGTTCTGCGAAGGAAACACCCGAACGTGCATGAATCCATACAAGAGAGAGAGAGAAGGGAAGCTTTTTGCGTGAATCCATACAAAAACTGGATCTGAAGACCCCCACAAAGTTGCCATGAGTCCAGCCTAGCTGTGATGTAGCACGAGGTTGGTAAACATGGTGATCATCGCTCATAAGATGTGTTGTTGCTGCTGCTGCTGCCACCGCCGCCACTGTTTCTGCTGCTGGCGTCTTTGTCGTCATCACCATTTCCAGGCCGCAGTGCATTTAGTTGAGTGGATGCTAGATAACCAGGAGGTCTTCAATCAGAGGTACTGTGTACTGTAATGAATGATGATTGTGTTTTGTACCAATATCACCAAAAGATGCGCATGCACTCTCTTTCGGCACACAGTCAACACACAGATGCAGACATCTGCGCATGTACACAAGCACACGCATGCACACACACGCACGCGTGCACACACGCACGCACGCACACACATGTGTGCGCATACACAAGTACACAAACACACACATACACGCATGCACACGCACACACAGACAAGTTTGGCAGTGGTCTAAAAATAGAAGAGCTCTGTGGAACAATTCTGCGTGTCGTTGGAATACAAGCTCTGGATTTTTTGACATTGTAATTATTCTGCCTTTCTGTGTTCAGAGATGTACTGGAGCTTGGTTGTGGTATCGGGTTGGTTGGCTGTGCTCTGTCACAATGGTGCGGTAGAGCTCATGTCACCACCGCTGCTACTGCTGCTACTAGCTGTCACCCAACACCATCAACAACTGCTCAAATGACGTCATCAGCTGCTCCAATGACGTCACCAGCTGCCCCTATGGCATCATCAGTTGCTCCGATGACATCATCAGCCACACCAGTGACGTCATGCCCATCGCGCATCACCCTGACCGATCATCACCCTGGTGTGTTGAGGCAACTGGCTGCTAACGTGGCACGCAACTTGGGTAAGAAATGATGCGATCACGAAATCACCTGCGGCACATGGCACATGAACTGCCCATGCCTGTACACTTTTTGATCACATTTTGATGGAAAGTATGATGTTGTGCCTTATTTCCGACTTTCGCCCATCAATTTGTGTATGTGATGCGGACATTTCAAACGTACAGGCATTGCCTTGTCCCAGACCGCGTGGACAAATCAGGTGTGAGTGTGTTTCCATGCCCGAATGCGTTGGATTCTTCCTTCCGCAGGCACCCAGGCTGAATCAGTGGTGGCATCAGCTACGTCATCAAAGCCTCTCTCACCGGAAGCAGGAAAAAGCGGTAGTGGGCACTACGATGACCACTGCTTCACTGCTGCTCCCTTGCAGCTGCGAGCACACTCAGACTCTGATCAGAGCAGCGGTACGGACGGTGCTAGCGTGACTACGATAGCTGAACTCAACTGGTGTGACATTGATGAAGAGGGCACCGCATCACACCGGCTGATGACCTCACTACATCCAGACATCATCCTGGCAGCAGGTAAGCTTATCTCCGGTCCTCGTTATCTTTTATGTTTTAATCCCGACGGGGACGATTCATTGGACCAACGGTTGCTATCAGGTTCAGCCTCATGTTCTCTGTGTTGTGCTGACGAGACGAGTCCAGAAAGGACGAAACGGATCTGTCCACAGATGAGTATTCAGACGGATGTGTACAGTTCTGGACAGAGAAATCTGACCTCATGAATAAAGTAGCGCCACGCTCAAGTGCGCAGAGTGGTGTTTGTGATGCTAGGGTCACGTAGCCCTCGGCACTACCGTAAAGTACCGTTGATCCCCCCCCCCCCCTCCCCCCACGCCATGTTGCTTCCCACCTGGGGTTTCGGCAGGGGACGGGAATTGGATCAAGGCTGTCAATTGCAGTACGATGTACAACAACGTTGAAGTTCAGACTCGATGTGCTGGATTGTGCACATTTTCATCCTGCACTCGCACGTATTGTGTTCAGCAGTGTAAGCGTCGGTTCAACATCGTATTTAGTTGTATACACCGAAGTCGCTTCACAGGCAGAAAATCGACAGGGGGCGGGCATCAGAGAGGGGCGGATCAACGGTACTTTACGCTATTATCTTCATGAGGTTGGATTTCCCCGGCCAGGACTGATATCATCGCTATCCTTGGAGACTGGCACCTAAAGGTCAACGAAGATAAAACAGAAAAAACAACATTGCGCCGGGAAGGAGACCGCCTGGCTGAAGTATGGCGGAAAACAAAAAAACTCGGATCACTCCTCTGCGACGAGGAAGATGTTGCACGAAGGAAACAATTAGCAACGGCAGCCTTCAGAGCGCTTTTCACGGTATGGTGTCGTCGATCGATCATCAGCGAAAGTCTACGGCTAAGGCTTTACAACGCGTTTATCATCCCTGTGCTAACGTTCAATGGAGGCACCTGGGGACTGACGGCTTCAGCATGGGAGCGTCTGGATACATTGCATCGCAGACAACTTCGGAGTCTCCTGGGTATCCGCTGGCCGCAGGTGATTCCAAACAGAGTCCTGTACGGCAGATGCCACGCAGAGCCCATCAGTGCCCTCATGCGGCGATCCAGATGGGGCCTGTTTGGGCGTATCCTCAGACTCCCTCAAGACACGCCTGCCGCCCTCGCTATGCGGAGTTACTTCACCTGTGGGGACAAGGTATGGCGAGGGCGGCCACGGACAACCATCGTATCCACACTATCCGCGGACCTAGAATCAGCAGGACTGAGGAGTCTGAGGAACTTGGCAGACCTGGAGCACCTGCAGGCCATCGCCGCAGACAGGCCTGCGTGGCGCGAGCTGTGCCAGGATGTACGCAGCAACTAACGGATGGGACAGAAGCATTGTACAGATCCCGTGCATTTAACACTTACCATCGACCATGAGTTACAAACCTATCGTCGTTGTCTGTTATTCTTTTTTTTTGTTTTGTTTTTTTTGGATCTTTCGAATAGATCCCGTGCATTGAGCACCTATCATCGAACATGAGTTATGTGCCTATCGCCTGCTGTCTTACTTTTTTTTTTCTTTTTCCTCTCTGCCCACTCTGCCTGTCTTCTGGCACATGCGAATACGTGGACTTACTGTTGACGTAAACGCGGACGTGCGTATAATAATTATAATAATAGGACTGTATGTGTCAGTGTGTTGTCTTAGCCGGTACCAAAATAATGTTGTCTGTGTTTCTGCTCTCTCTCTCTCTCTCTCTCTCTCTCTCTCTCTCTCTCTCTCTCTCTCTCTCTCTCTCTCTCTCTCTCTCTCTCTCTCTCTCTCTCTCTCTCTCTCTCTCTCTCTCTTTCTCTCCCTCTCTCTCTCTCTCTCTCTCTCTCTCTCTCTCTCTCTCTCTCTCTCTCTCTCTCTCTCTCTCTCTCTCTCTCTGTCTCTCTCTCTCTCTCTCTCTCTCTCTGTCTGTCTGTCTCTCTCTCTCTCTCTCTCTCTCTCTCTCTCTCTCTCTCTGCGTCTGTACTGTTCTAGACGTCGTGTTCGACAAGGCCATTGTACCTAGTCTTGTTGCCACTCTGCACACTCTGCTAACTCATCAACAAGACAGGTAACTGTTACAGTCCATTCACAAACTTTTAATAATAATTGATATCTGGACTTTGTTGTAATCCGACTTAGACCCAATTAAGCTCAAAACCCCAATCAGCTGATCTGTGTTAGTATGACCGGGACACACCGGGACACACCGGGGCGCACCGGGACACACCGGGACGCACTAACACAAATCAGGCATACGTACGCAGCAACGCCTTGCACATCTCCTTCGCCAGCCCTGTATCCTCTGCCTACTTCATTGTCGCTGCTGTTGTCGTTTCCTTCTTTTCCACGGCGTCGTAGCGCTCGAGGAGTTCCGCCAGGAGATGGTCAATCTCGTTGTAAAGCTCCTCTGTGCCAATCCTAAATACCGGTATCCACTAACAATGGTAGACATGGAAAGTCCAGTCACCCCAAGGCATATACAGTGTACACATGCATGTACATGTAGTCATGTACCTGCACACATTCAGCCCATACTGCATCATACACACCGACCAAGCTACACTGTATATACGGCTCAGCTGAAGAACACCAACTACTACACATACTACTACACATACTTGTATTAGCAAGAGTGCATAGTATGCAACTGTGGTTATGGGTCAGTGCGCGGCGCGCTGCCTTCATTACGTAACTTGCCTTCATCACGCTCTGAAAGCATGCATTGAAACTCTCAATTTCTCGTACGAACCCATCCGTTTTTGCTCGATTCGTTCCAGTACCTACACAATCTCTGAATTCTGGCGCGTGAACTCCAGTTCCGTACGAAAGTTCATTTCAAACCAGAGGGAAAGTGCGGTGTTTGATTTTCCGCAGTGCGCGGACTGCAGCTGAACGATGTAATGAACACAGTGTACCGCGCATCTGGCCCATAGAAAAGAGATCACAGTTGCATACTCTTGTTTATGGACTCTTGATAGTAGCAGTAGACAGCCGTAAAGTAAGAGTACAGCCAAGAAATACGTGTTTGCTCGCTTGTTCTTCTCCTTGTTGTTTCGTGCCCGGAAATCCTTCAAAGCGGCACAAACTTTGAATCCAGCACAAGCGTAGTACTAGTAGCTGGCCCCGGAGGCAATCGCACTCAATATACCGAACCTACTCATGGGAAGAAGCAGATTGATACCGGTATTCAGGTGACAGGCCATACACAATATCCGCAGGCAAGCGAAGCTCACACCCAAACATCAAACGAGCTGGCGTTTCAGATGTAGACGTCTGGACCGCCGTGCGGTAGGCTAATAGTGACAGGGGTACATACTAGTACATGTCCCAGGACTCGGGGTGGTCACTAGCGTAGAGTCGTAGCGTGGTGAGTAGGGCATGGTTCGTTCGCTCACCTGCAGGGTGATGCGGTGTCGTCCGCGACTCACGGACCTGGAGTAAGGACCAAAGCTCGGCAAACAAAGCGGATTCGAATTGTGCTCCCTGACCAGAATGGATCCGGTCAGGGGCACCAAACCGAGAATTCCAACCATTCACAAATGCATGTGCAACAGTACGAACAATGATATCTGGTAAAGGATATGCCTCTGGCCGACAAGTGAAGTAATCAACACAGAGGAGTAGGTTACGGTGACGGGACTGGGTGAGCTTGTTGCAATGGCCCGATGAGGTCCAGTGCAACAAGTTCACTCAGATACCCACCCAACATTGGCACTAGCGGGGCGACACTTTGCCTTCACTTACCTGGCCCGAGGTAGAGTTCCGTCGAAATTGCGTTGGTGTTTTTCTTGCTGAGGGTACCTATTAGCTGCAAGTTTGGTTGTAAGACAGAGGATAGTCATTACTGGTTGATAATGAAGGATAACATGACATGAAACTCCAAGTCACAGCTACTTGATGTGTGTCTGTATCTGTGTGTGTGTGTGCCTGTGTGGGTCTGTGCCTGTGTGTGTGTGTTTGTGTGTGTGCACGAATGTGTGTGTGTCACCGATCAGGACGGATCCACATCATCTTCCCACAACTGCAATTGTATCATGTACGATTCGTAACGAGGACACTTTCCAGTGCTTTCTGACCGCTATCGGTGAGCAGATATGTTCTTCTGTCTCTGTCTCTGTCTCTCTCCCTCTCTCTCTCTCTCTCTCTCTCTCTCTCTCTCTCTCTCTCTCTCTCTCTGTCTCTGTCTCTCTCTCTCTCTCTCTCTCTCTCTCTCTCTCTCTCTCTCTCTCTCTCTCTTCCTTCCTTCCCGTGTCACTTTATTTCTCCCATGCGCCCATGGCTTAAGTCTGCTGGCAAGTCTCGGTATAACACTACGGGCGGCACACTTTTGAAAGCTTGCACATGCTGCACTATGAGTAAACTCAGCGTTGAACGCAGACATGCAAACATGCGTACATACACACATTAACCCTGTGTCATGCTCACTGTGCACATTGGTGTGTTCCGTTGTTTGCTCAGACAAGCATGGCCTGTGCTGGTGCTACATCGACGTGTCGGAGAACAAGCGGCTGTGGTGTGATAGGACCGTGCCAGTACGACTCGTACGCATCACTGCAGCAACAGCAGGAACAACAACAGGAGCAGCAACAGCAACAACAGCAGCAACAGCCGGAACAACAACAGCAGCATCTGCAGCAACAGCAGAAACAACAACAGCAGCAGCACCATCATCGCTACAACCGTAGATTACCGGGCAGGCTCTTTGATCGCTCAATGAGGCAACCTATGGACTGGATGCCACGTGTAAGTCAGATTGCAATACTGATATGCACGGGTGCCAGGCGGGCAGTTGTGAAGCGTGATATCGGACACGGCCATGTAGACATGGCCACACCACGAACTCCCACCATGGGCATGTTCAATACTGGTCATGGGCTTTCGTGCAGAGCCGGATTGAACTTTGCTCGGCGAATACGATTGAACTCATCTCCAGTAGTACTGTGTGATTGAGATGTGTAGCTCCATAGTGGAGTACGTAGACTGTTGGTCTGATCGAGGATGGAAAACAATGCTGCCGCAGAGTGCTGATCAGCGCAGCGGCGCATGCGATCAGACTGATCTCCAGTATGGCGTGGTTGAGATGTTTATGTCCTCAGTGGAGTGTGTGAACCGTTGGTCTGCACGATGATGAATGAACAATGCTGCCACGGAGTACTGACCAGCCCGGGGCGTATTGGACATCCCAACAATGGACGGCCTGAGCAACGCTAGCCGTGTGTTGGTGTGTGCTGTCGACCTTCTCTGCAGAAATGGGTCAGAATGAGACTGGCAGCTGGCCTATTCGCTGCTGTGTGTGTTGTGTGTGCTGTTGAACTTCTCTGCAGAGATCGGTCGGAATGAGATTGGCAGCTGACCTATTGCCTGTGGACGACATGCTAGTATGGAGGTGATGATGTGGCAGCAGTATGTGAGGCGCTTTGTGTGGTTCAGCATCACAAACACTGGCTTGCCACTCAAGAGTCGAGACAACATGCAATGATGTCATTTACAGCTACAACTACATCATTTGCATCATGATAATGTCATTCATGCAACTTTCACTGGCACACAGGCTGTGTAGCCATGGTGCATCTCACACCATTAGGGTAGCTGCCGACAAATCTTGCAGAACCAAATTACTCTCTTGTGCATCATATGAAATTCTTGAAAGTTATTTATTTTATTTATTGCAATCTGAACCCGTCATGTCCAGAATCGAACAGGTCAGCAGAATAAAAACTTAGAGCTATCAGAGTTACCATCATCACCACCCAACACACTGCCATCAGTCTTGAGTTTTAACTACAAATGCAAAGCGCAATTTTCACGTTTCCATTATCAATGGAAGTACAGAACTAAAAACGACCACAATTGGAGGGAACGAGGGACAGGCCGCCCCAAATAATAATGGAAGCTGTGCATGAATCCTATACATGTACCTTTAAAGAAAAGGCCATTAGGTCCTGAAGTGCCTTTCACTGACTCTCTCGGAATGGAGAGGTATTATTTACCTTGCAAAGAACCTGACCAAGGAGTTATTTTTAATTTCCTTGACAACTATCTTCTTGGGGATAAGACTAAAAAACACGGTTTGGGCCAGGCCCAGGCATAGTTATGTCTTTCTGCAGCCGTAGGAGCGCCATCAGTCGCCCTGGAGAATAGCCTCATACAGTTTCATACCATTTAGTTTCAGTGCCTCGTGGCCTGGCACGAGGGAAACATGGATGCAGTGAATGGGATTTCGGTCTTTGACCAATTTGTGGTGGGTCTGATCTACTCACTTCCTACCGCTTAGGAGCTGCATCTGCGCCTTGATCCTAGAGGGTGGTGGCGTTCCTACGGATGCGGAAAACTCGGATTTCAGCCGAGTCTCACGCGAACCGTGATTTTTTTAGTTTCAGTGCAACCTAATGGTCTGCCCGATCCCTCCTCGTCACACGTGCAAAACGAAAGAAGCGTTGGCTGTGCCAGTTGGCCATACATATCCATGGCCAGCGGCTGTACAGTCAGGATTTTGTTGATGTTAGCTAACCCCGTCCCGTCCCAACCCAGAATTGTAATTGGCTTTGTGAACAAAAATTCGATATCTACGGTCGGGAAAAGCAAAAACAGTTTAGAAGAATTGTGCTTCGCCAGTGAGGCACACTGGTAGGTGTCAGCGCTCACCACGCTACTCAAAAGCACGCACTAATACATTCAAGTGCTTGCAGCACACGACAAGCATACACACGTTAGAGTTACAACGATGCATGTCTAGTAAATAAAATATACGGGAGATGCACGTGTCTTCATTTGATCGTAGATAGGACTTGTAGTTGTATTCATTGAATGATCATTCATCACAATGCTTGAGGAGTTTGAGCACATCATCGCGTGCACATCGGCCGCTGAAAGTGGCATATTTAAAGACTAACTTTAAAATACTCCTGTTGAGAACTTGGTGTCATCCTCAAAATCACAATGACTATGTGTCTGTCCGCTCTCGCAGCTATAACGTTATTATCACCTTGCTCTTCTTGGCTTTAGTCAACATTAGAATAGTCCTTTGACGTGCAGGATGTTGGGACCATACTCGTGCAGGTCGCGTGCTGTCACGAACAAACGCTGGAACGTGTAGATACAGGCGACAGTGGCCGCGCCCCGCCACACCTCATCGCACGTACCGTTGTTGGTCGTCACCAGCCTGTGCACGCCCGTACCCCAGGCAAAGTCCAGGCTGGAGTTGAGACGCTGACTAAAGCCGGGCAGCAGAGAGCAACCTCCGGCCGTGATCACCCGCCGTTTCATGGCCATCACCATTGTCTCGTCGTCGCAGATATTGACGGAGTGCTGGGCAAGCTCGGCGAGGCCCTTCGGCTCGTGGCCGACGGCAAAGCTCGGGTAGTACTGCGGGCGGAAGAGGAGCTCCGGCGCCATGAACTGTTCACTGCCTAGCTGACCGCGAGTCCTGTCGGCCAGGTACAGGTTTCCACTCCGTCCGTGCTTGCGACGCCCGGTAAGGAACTTACGCTGCTCGTCCGTGAGATGATCATCGGGAGTGTCGGGTAGCGTGCACGGTGGCCCCGGCTCCCAGGTGGTGGGTAGGCCCTCCTCGCTGAACATGCGTGCAAACTTGCTCTCCAGGATGTGTTCGGGCGGCAGGGCGCGCGGCATGCGGCGGTCGGTGACGCGCGATGCCCAGATGAGCGGTGCCATCGGATCTTCAAACTCTAGGAGCTTGTCAGCCGCGCTCGCAGCCGTCTTGGGCTTGGTGTTACCGGCTGCCGATGTCTTCGCGTTGGTACCCCTACTCTTGGTCGTGTCGCCACCAGTATTCCTCTTGGGTTTGAGTCCACCACCACTGGATGTTGTGGGTACGCTGTGGTTAATGTGTGCACGATACTGGTGCTCGTACAGCCTCTCGCCGCTCTCCGGCACCACGCTGTGAAACGAGTCGGTCTTGAGTACGGACGGCCGGAACTGCTTGAAGTAATCCCTGTGCTCTGCGGGGACGTCCGGGTGTATGCCGCCCAGGATGTTACGATGGATCATGAGGTCAGTGCGCGGGTTCTCGCTGACGTAGCACTGCGACTCCTTGATGGCGTGCGCTATGGCCTCGTCCGTTACAGCGTCGGGCGCGTAGTTGTGAAGTCGGTACTGCCGGTTCTGCATGGCACTGACACACACACACACACACACACACACACACACACACACACACACACACGCACACACATACACACACACATACACACAAACACACACACTCACACACGTACACACACACACATGTACACACAAACACACACACACCCACGCATAACTTTTTCGCACACACACACGCATAACTTTTTTCTGTTTTAACGACAGATTTCTCCTCATTAACTCGTTAGATTTAGCACTTCGTTACTATGGCTTTTACAGTACTCCGGAAAATATGATTTTTTTTAAGTAATGCTGGGGCATACAGTGTACATGTACACTTACGTTGCAATAATCTTAGTGATGTGGCGACCACCCACGGGCAGTGACGTGATATTGCCATACTCGGTCACCGGAACACCTTGATGAAACGCCACCGCGTGCGTTGTCGTGTGCCCGGCCATGAGTACCACACCGGTCGACAGTCCAGTAGCGTACAGTGCTAGCGCTGCGTCTGAGAACGGTAGCACGGCGGGTACGCACAGCTTTTCCAGCATCTCCTGCGCACACCACACACATGTAGATGTACACAGCGAGCAGGGGCGTCGGACAAGGTGCGGTCACTACCCCGTGAATAAATAAAATAAACTGTTTTGGTTTGTTTTGCTGATGCTGATGATTCACACATGCATTGTTCTTACCTGCTGAGCTTGCCCCCCACTGAATAGATGTAGTATTATCACCCTTTTTTGTTTCGCTTTTTTTCACCTTATCTCACTTTTATTTGTCCATATAAGATTAAAAATCCATACATCCTGTACACACACCTTGTACACACTCTCTCTAACGGTCTCTAGGCTACACTGCAATTGATATACATAAGCTCAAATTTTCGGGCAAGGCCCATCATCAGGAATAAGTTTACTGTAGACAGAACAGGGGTTTATATATATGTGACAAGTACTAGTGGCCAAAGTGTGATGGTATAGCGTAAAATGTTGCAATACCACAGGAAGCGAGATTATAATTCTGTGTGATATGTATGAAGTGAAAATATAGTGCAGTGATAGTGCAGGATTACTAGCGTGAGTACAAAGCAGAAAAATACACACTTCTAGCAACACTCACACACATACACACATACATACACACACACACACACACACACACACACACACACACACACACACACACACACACACACACACACAGTGCACACATTCTTGCACAATTTATGGTAATGACAGACATATTTACACATCACCCAACAGTCGCCAACCATTGTCACTGTTCACTGCCGGCTTCCTCTTCCTCATGAATAGTGCCTCCATGATTCTGCGGTCAACGTATGACCGTTGCCTGCGGGCGAGAACTTGCAGATGGGCGAATGGTGAAAACTGCGGTGACGATGGGAATGTGTGCTGCTTTTGTCGATAATGGTCTCCCCATGGCTTTCCCAATGTCGCGTTCTTGGCTTGTCTGTAGTGCTCCTCGGTCCTCTTGCGTGTTGTCCTTTCTGTTTCCCCGACGTATTCTTCTTGACAGATGGTACATGTCATAGAGTACACCACATCTTGGGACATACAAGCATCACGCTTCAGACCACCATCGCATGCACGACATTCAGCCGGCCGACCCCGCCGCCTCTTCTCCCTCTGCTGCTGTACCGTCCTGGGGCATCGTGGCTTGCTGAATGACGACGAGACCAACATATCCTTTAGTGAGCGACCGGACGTAAAGACCACACGCACATCTCTATCAAACGACCTGACCACTTGACGAACCCTCCTTGCAAGCTGGTCATTTACGTAAAGATTAGTTCAAGTAGTTCCCATTCCATTGTTACGTAGATTCACTGATGATTGTAACAAGAAAACAGTTCTGAACGAATCCTCGCTTTCCTTTCCTTGTGTGTCTTGCGATACTCGTACAACATTTTACACATACATGTCGACATATATGAAATGCTTACTGTGCAATTAGTTGTCTTTGTAGCTATGTTTTGGTGAAGAAAGGAAAAAGGACAAAATGTTACGAGTTATGGCAAACTGTCCACCAACGTAACCAGATCTTATACAGTCAGCGAGTGCGACAAAATGGCACAAACCTGTTTTGGAAAAAACAAATTCCAAAAATGTTCGCTCGCCCATCCCTTCCTGCGAGTACTGTAAAACGGGTAACGTTTGCGACAAAACATGTTTGCGTTTTACAAATTGAGACTGGTTTCGCTGTTTAATGTTTGCGAGTCGTTCTACAGTAGCTCTACACAGTCGAGTCAGTCCTTGCACTGAACCTTACATGGCGAGTTTGCGTTGTTCAAAGTTTGCGATTCGGGGCCTCTCGCAAAATTCGCAAACCTGTTTACGTCGCAATAGTTACCCGTTTTACAGTAAATTGCATTTCAGGTGGCTGGCCGTACCACACGAAAATACCTTCCGACAGCCCTGGCATTGGTTTCCACCATAGAACACACCAGTATCACACAGAGCTTTTCGAGCATGTCTTGCAGACACCATCACAAACCACACACGACACACACACACACACACACACACATACACACACACACACACTTGTACACAGCAAGAGTTTCCGCCATAGACCAGACATGCCTGAGGGACAACAGACCGCACACCACACATACACAGCATGGGTTTCCACCATAGACCACTGTGCCCGGATCCGAGTACACAGCGCAAGGGCTTCACCAGACTGTGGCTTATCTTAGGAAAGTTCCTCACGCCAAGAACATTATGTCTGTTACTGTATCTCATGGTGCTCTCCCAAACATAGCGAGTGATCTACGCTAAAGCTCTCTTTTTTGCTCTTGGCGTGACTCATGTGAGCCGAAAGAAGTTTATCTTTGAACTGAGTGTGGTACAGTAACGCTGAATATACCCCGCTTAGAGCGGCTGCTGATTGGCTGAAACCGCTCCACCCCAGGGTGAAGTTCAGTTGTTCACCACTGCTAGCTTGTGCGGTGCACCGAAAATTAGGGTGCAAGTTTCTGATGAAGAAACCGTCGAATAGTAGTAGCAACATCAAACACACGGAGTTCCGCGCTCATACAACATACTCCAATAGCTAGCAAGACATAAAGTACCTCCAGGAAGATGCCTTTCTGTGCAATGGAGAGGCTAGCGTTGAGACTGCACGCTAGAGGGTGCTCGGCTGGCGACAGTCGTAAACAGTTGAAGTATGCATAGTGGTAAATCTGAGCAGGAATTGGCACAGAAAACGAACACGAGGCACAAACGGATTGACATTGTGTACAGTGGAGTGGGTGTGGATACATGATTATGCAGTATGCTAAGCCATACAAGTAAGTGAGCCCAAACATTAGGAAACACGCATGCGTGCATGCATGCACGAAATCATACGCATGTGCACACACATACACGTGCGCGCACACACATCCACACACATATACACACACACACACACACATGTACCCCCCCCCCCACACACACACAATGATGTCACCTCACTACCACAACAACAACAGAAGAACAGAAACCTCATCAATCACACCATCAACGGCCAGCAACTGTAGCAGCAGCGGCGGCGGCAGCAGCAGCAGCAGCAGCAACAACAACAACGTGAGAATAAAAGACTTCAAACAACAGCAGCAGCCGAGCAGCAGCGGCGGCGGCGGCAGCAGCAGCAGCAACAACGTGAGAATAAAAGACTTCAAACAACAGCAGCAGCCGAGCAGCAGCAACAACAACAGCAGCAGCAACAGCAACAACAACAACAGCAGCAGCAGCAACAGGACCATGTTCATTGAAAAGTCTCCCTGACATTTTCCATGGCATCCCAGTTTTCCACAGGTCCATTCTGTATAGGCAAACAGGCCTTGGTGCCGGTCTCCTCACGGAATAGCTCCAGCGCTGAGTCACCAAACTGCCAGGACTCGCCAGATTCCAGGCCGTCTGATGCGTAAAAACCTACAAACACAGCAAAGGGTGAATTGGCGTATTGATGATTCAGTGCCGTAGTAGCCAGACCTTATTTCGAAACACAGCAATGGGTGAATAAGAACATTGTGCAATGACGTAATTTGTACAATCAACACCCCACACAGCCACCTGGGCATGGTCGTCTGCGGTGTTAAACAGTGCATTGCAGATCCCAGCGTACTCACATGCATCCCTCATACCTTCCATATTTGAGCCGCACCATGACAAAAGGGTGCTTATGGCAAAACTTTCACAAACTGAGTTTGGATACAGCGCAATGGCTGAATTCTTACTGCTTCTGTTTCAAAAAACTGCATTAAAAAACTTGATAAATCACATCGAAAACTAATCGAATTCAAAAAGAAAATGTGCACTCTCAATAATGCATACTCAACTTTCAAATGAGTTTTTCTCAGTTTGATGTCGCGTGCCATAAGCACCCTTTTGTCGTGTCGCGGCTCATTTGGCAATGCGCAATGGGCTTATCGCATTGATGACCATGTGCTGTAGTACCCACTCCGGCCAGTCCGGACCTGTCTGGACCTTATTTTGAGCAAAGGTGACCCATCCAATCCGTGAAAGTGGGTTTTCCGTCCGTTATGCTCATTCCAGTCAGCGGATATTATCCCATGTGGCCAGACTACCTGGAATCCTGGGGTTACTGACCTGTGTTTGTGTCCTGAACAACCACTTTCAATGCATGTACATGTCAAACTAAGTACATGTACGGTTCTTTTGTACACCTCGTTTTGGGCTCCAGTAAGGAGGTCACCAGCCTGCCAGATACAGCCAGCTAGGTGTTTGTCGGAGACGCCGAATAAAGATACAGCCACAACCCCCACCCCAAACTGGTCCGGTTGGTTATGACATCATCACACAAACTTGTTGGCACCAATGCATGTGTACTCCTGAAGAGGTGATGTCACTGATGTGCATTGTGCACCCACTACATCTACTGCCGCCGTGGACGTGGAAATCCAATCAGAGTGATCAAGCGGCCCCAGTGTGCTGGTCATGCAGCCGTGAGTACGCATGCCATCAACATGTGCACTCTAGTACTCTGCATGCAACGTTCTGTACGCACTGAGGACGCCGGCCCCGGTCATTCGACTGGATTTCCGTGTCCACGACATAACGTCTCTTGTACAGGCAAAATGAATGTACATGTACCTGTATATCATACACAAAGTGTGAAAGGCTACGGTATCCGGATCACCCAAAAAACTGCTTCCGGCGGTCCTTGGCCATGATAGAAGCAAGTCTGACCAAACAACGTGTTTTCAACCAAGCAAAGCTTATCTTGTAGCAACCTCGCTGCATGACCCCAGTCTCCCTCTCTAACCCAGCCTTATACGTATGCGAAGGAAACATGTCTTCCTCTTTGTGTTCTAAAATAAACACCAACTGGTTATTGTAGACAAGGTGCCCTCTCCTCGTAGTTGTAATCTATTAGGCCCCAGGGTGGTATGTCCCGGGGAATCATCTGTCCTCGTGTTTACAGATAGGACCTCTGCCATCTTGGGTGCCTAAAACTCGAATACCAGGGAGTTGTAAAATTTTATGACTCCCTGTCGAATACTGTAAACTGCCTAATATTAGTGACGGATTAATGTTCGCTATTTTCGCGAGAAGAGCGTAACGCAAATATTAACCATCGTGAAATCAAGCTTCAAGAGTGGATGTACGTAGCTACGTAGGTGGCTCCGGTGCTTCGCGAACTTTCGCCATCGCAAACTTGCTGGTTCTAAGAAATCGCGAAAATTTAGTGACGCGAATATTGGGCGCTTTACAGTACCATGGATACCAAGCATATCTGATGTACGTGTATTGTTGAAGCTTGTGGAATGCTACAAAAAATGCACGCAAGTCCGACCCACGGACCGCCGCCTGTTTACCCTGGTTTACTCAAGACTTCTCGGTGTGCTAAAGTAAAGCTAAGCGAATGCCATGGCTGGTGCTGCAGTTTGATGACGCCGCCGCGCGACTTACTTTCAGGCGACATTGGCTTGTGCCATTCTTTCCTCTCCTTGGCGGTGAGGAAGCGACGCGGGAACTTGATATTCTCTCCGGTGTCCCTCTGCCGCTGTTGCGACCTCTTGCCGATGGCTGTGCGAAACGTACTCGTCGGAGTCAGGGAGCAATCATCGTCTTCGTCCGTCACAACACCGATGCGCGTGTTCCAACCTCCGACGTCCGCTACAACGACTGCATCGTGTGAGCGCCACTGCTCGCTCCCCATGACCGCTCGAAACGGCAGCGATGTGTCGGAAGTTTCGCTTGCGGATCGGTGATGGGTGAATGAGGCGCATAGGCGCTCAATGCGATCAGACTTCCGACGGGACTGTCGCCAGCAGACGACGGGCAAGAAACAAAAGTAACAGTTAGTTGTCCGTCACCTTCGAGTTTCAGTTCCTCAGATCTGCAGACGTTAGTGTTTGCATAGGTGGACAGTTGATGACAGGCACACGATGGCAGCGAGCACTTCTTCTGCAAGTTCTGGCGTGACTTCGCTGGTTGTATTGGTTGTCTTTTAGGTAACTGGTTCACTGAGTGACTCGGTCTCCTATTCCTTGAGTTCTAAAGTAAAACTAGTCCGTCGTAGACCTACTGTAATCGTTTTGTAGGCTCTTCCTTCGCAAGCCTACAAACAAGTACAACAGTCAGTAGATCTACGACTACAAGCTGCGGCTGCATGCCTTTTATTTCATGTACGAGTAGATTCACTCTTTTTACCCTTGTCTTGACCATGTTCGCTGCACAAACGACGCGCAGCGTTGCTATGCCTCTGTTTCCATAGAGGAAATGGCGTCACTTTTGAGGGACCTTGCGGAAATTTTGAAATTTTTGAAACTACAATTATTATTATTATTATTGTAGATTTCGAAGAGTTCCTGATCTGCATGAGGACCTTGTTGCCGTCGTCTTTAGCTTTGGGCACTGCTGACTACTCGCACAACTCGTAGAACAGGTGCATTTCTCCTAGATATTACAGGCAGCATGTCAGCAGCTGCAGGTCGACGATTGCTCTCTCTTTCGGCCAGGACATGCCGGGCCAGTGTGTTCACTCGGTCCTTCAGTAGTGTCCACAAACACAGCTTGATCGCATCCAGATGCATTCCTCACGCGCCGTGCATCGTTCAATCACAGCTAGTCGGCTGTGTTAGCCGTCAGCTGTGCGACAATGCGACCGAGGAGAAGTTCGAGGATCGGCTCGTGTACGTCGTGCGCCGTTTGGCTGACCAGCGCAAGATGAAGGAGGGAATATTGGACGATGTCATTGCGTTGATGCGCGATGCAGTTGCCCAGGGGCACGACAGCAATCCTGATCACAATGAAGAACTGGAGGCCCGGATGGAAAAACTGGGAGACACAATGCTATATGTAGCGGGGATGTTCTTGATCATGGTGAGTGGAGATTTGTTTGGAATGTTGTTTTTGGGGGGTTTTGTTGGGGGGGGGGGGGGGGGCAACACTCCAAGAAGAAGTTGCGTCTGACCTTCGGCCTACTTGTTTGACAAGTTGCTGACCAAACTCTTAGTGATGTGTTCGATATTGCACTTCTGTCTCCGTGAAGCAGAATATGTGTGTGTGTGTGTGTGTGTGTGTGTGTGTGTGCGTGTGTGTGTGTGTGTGTGCATGCATGTGTGTGGGTGTGGGTGTGAGCAGCGGCACCACACACTGTGTTAAAACAATGAGCTTACGTCTCTCTTTTCTTCTTCATCTTCTTTTTCTTTCTTTGTTTGTTTGTTTGTTTGTTTGTGTAACTGTCCACCGCGTGTACTGCAGAGTGCGAATGAGCTGGGCCCGCGGTGTATGAGCCTGGCAGTGCCGTTCCTGCGCAAGTGCGCACTGATGGGTCACCCCGCGGCCAAGTACAGCTACGCCCGCCTGCTGCTGGATGGCATGGGCGTTGAGCAGGACTTGGCCGAGGCGTTCCGCCTGTTCAACGAGGTGGCGGACGGCATCGCGGACAACGCGGACCCGTACCCGCAGGCCGCGTTCACCATCGGCACGCTCTACTTCTACGGCAAGGGCGTGGACGTGGACATAGCGCGGGCACTGGAGTACTTCAACAAGGCCCTGGACGCGGGCCTCACTCAGGCCCTGCACACGCTCGGTATGCTGTACATGCGCGGAGACGGTGTGACCATCGACTACGACAAGGCCCTGGACTACTATCGGCGCGGTGTCACGCAGGATGACGCGCGCTGCATGAACGAGCTGGCGTCCTGCTACCTGGGCGGAACCTGCGGCCTGGAGAAGGACGAGAAGAGAGCGCTGGAGCTGTACCACGACGCCGCTCGGCTAGGCAACACCAACGCCATGCACTCGCTGGGTGTGTGCTTCTGGGAGGGCCGCGGCGTGGACCTGGATCAGGACAAGGCGGCCTACTGGTGGGCGCAAGCCGCCGACGAGCACCACCCGCGCGCCTGCGTCAACCTGGCGCAGCTCTACCTGGACGGCGTCGGCGTGAAGAAGGACGTCGAGATGGCGCGGGGCCTGCTGCAGGAAGCCGCTCGCCGCGGTCTGATCGAGGCGGGCACGCTGCTCGAGGAGATGGAACGTAGGCTCAAGGAGGACCCATCCCTGGCTGAGTGAGATGGATCCCAGCTGTCACACTCGCTGCTTGAGGAGATGAAACGTAGGCTCAAGGAGGACCCATCCCTGGCCGAGTGAGATCAATCCCAGCTGTGTGTGAGCGAATTTGAATTTGAGTATTGTCATGCCCGACCTAGGTAGGTGGACTGTGGACCGTAGGCGGATGATAGGGCCATCGCTGACTTACTGCTGAGGATCCTCACGCCTGAAACTGCAGTGCCTGCAGTGCCTGCAGTTACTGTACTTGCATGTCAGACTATATACAGTGCCTGCTTACCTCTGCCAGGCCAGCAATACGGTGCACGTTGGTCACGTGACGCCGCAGCTCACTGGGTAGGGATTGCAGCGGTGGCTTGATGAGCTGTTGCTTGCACTGCAAAGTCTAGCTTGGCAGTGCCACCAGCAGCTAAGTATGGCGCTGGATGCTGCAATTTGGTGCTGCCGCTCATGTCCACGTCTCCGTGCCGTGTGTGCGCTTGCAGTGCTTCTGGCATGTGTGTGTGTGATTAGGGTGGGTACATGTGGGTACACGTGTTACCCTCTTTCTCACCCGTGTTGCACGCTGCGGAGCTATTGTTACTTATTATTAGAGCAATAATGCACTGGCGTTGGTGGGTGCTGTCCGCGCATATCGATCCGGCCACCAGTGCAGTGCCCATGTAATGCTGACGGCCACTGCACTCCCGTGCCAATGTGCGCTGGAGCTTGCCAACCTGCATCACTTTGATCTATGATTTCACGTCTTGCTTCACTTGCCCAGAGATGCGTTTGAACGCTCCGATTGTTGAGCACACAGACGATGAAGATCGTGCATCCGAACTATGATTGAAGTTTGTTTCGTTTTACAAGTTCTCATCTGTCAGGTTCGCATCCTCCCCGAAGAGAGAATTGAATCGTCGTTATCTTTTCTGTGTTTTTCTTGCTTGTAATATGCAGTTTATGATATACTTCCATAGTTCAATAGTTCACTACAAAATATAGAAGCTGTGCATGTGTGTGTATGTGGTGTGACACCAACATTACTAGTACGCTTGCCATGATGCACAATGTGACATCGTGAAGGCCCTAGTGCCCAACCTCTCTCTACATAAATCATGTATGTGCAAGGACGTTATCAACATAATAAGTCGTTCTCTTGTGCTGCCTGTACTGGTGCGATCATGAAGTATGACAGGGCCATATCGTTGATTGCCACAACGCCACTTCATAACCTCTCAGAAACTGAATCTTTTCAAGTACCAATAGCAGGACTGGTGCAAACAAGGATTCCAATTCCAAATCAGCAGCAGAAAGGGTGTAGAGCTGAAGTTCACATAGCGCAGCACAAACAGACACCACAACTCAAACACTCACTCAGCAACTAGACTGTGAACTGAAACACAAACTACACGAGACGGCTCTGAATCTGCTCACTGCACTGCGCTGACTCTGCTCTGTGATCAGTGGTGATTCCTCTGAGCTGTGTCTGTGAACCGATAACGTGAAATGTCGTCATTCCGTCGCTTGGTGACGGAAATGGCGTCATCAACGCCTTGCAGGATATGGCCACTCGAACTCGTTGCAAAAAAAACTTCGCACACAGCCCAAATGCAAACAGCCAAATCCAAGCCCAAGCTAGCCAAGGCAAAGACAAACGGACCAGGTTCCAGCAGTACTTCTGGGTTGCCTTTTTTTTTACCCCGTTTGCACAGTATGAGGCCAGTGTTCTGGTGATGTGCCGGTACCCGGTGGTACAGAATGGCAGCTAGCATTACCAGTTATTAGCACATGTGCAGAGCCTACCGGTTTGATGACAGCGCAAACAAAGTAGAGGCTTGTTTGATGTGAGGAGAAAGTGCATTTTTCGAGGGAGGCGAAAATGCCAAGAGCTGAGCTGAGATACTAGTAGCACTAGTTTGTAAGAAGTTTGCGTCTGATTTCCATTTTCCTGCAACCGCTGGCGTACTCGCCGATTGTTGTGCGTGCCAGCATGGAGGACAGGCCTTGCTTTCGCATGCTCACGGTGAATCTGAAGGAGACATTGCCCACTGAGTTCGCAGTGAGTTTGAAACGTCACATTCGTGACCATTATCAGGAGAGTCCTGAGTCCTACAACGATGAGATTCGCAGTTTGGAAGTGCTTCGGCGCTCTGCCGCTGCGCCGAGCCGCGACTATTCTGGTTCCAGTTGCATTCGCCGTTACTATGGACAGCTTCACCTGCTGCAGGCGCGCTTTCCCATGATGCAGGGGGGATCAGCAGCGTTGCAGTTCTCGTGGACTGACTCGATCACCGGGAAAAGTAGCTCTGTGGCCGATATACGCTTTGAGCAGGCGTCGGTGTTGTACAACGTGGGCGCCCTGCACTCGCTGCTGGGTGCGCACGACACGCGTGGCAGCGAGGAGAGCAATCGAGTGGCGTGCACGCACTTTCAGTGCGCGGCCGGCGCTTTCGAAGCGTTGTCGGAGCAGTTCGGCGACATGGGCCAGGCGAGCACGGACATGTCAGCCATGATGCTGCTCGTGCTCAAGTCGGTGATGCTCGGCCAGGCGCAGGAATGCCTGCTGGACAAGTCTATACGCGACAAGCGCAACGCCGGCCTCACTGCCAAGATGTCGATACAGATCGTGGAGTTCTACCAGATGGCCAACGACATTCTCAAGCAGCCAAAGTCGCCGGTGAACTTTGGCAAGAAGAACCAGAAGCGCTGGGAAGCCCTCCTGCTGGCGAAGATCTACTATTACACGGCGCTGGCGCGTCTCTTCATGGCAATGGAGTGCGAGGAGAAGCGAAAGTATGGGGAGAAAGTCTCCTGGCTTCAGCTGGCCAACGCCTCGTGCACGGAGCTGGGCAAGTCGCCCAAGCAGCTCGGTGAGGACTGGCTGAAGGACGTGGTGGCGTTCCTGGTGGAGCGCATCGCCCGCTTACTGCAGCAGAGCACCAAGGACAACGAGAGCGTGTACCACGAGCTAGTGCCGCGCTTCGATTCTCTCCCCGAGGTGGCCAAGATCACGCTGGTTAAGTCGCTGACGTTCGACCCGACCGACCCGAGCATTGCCGGACAGGACGTCTTCGCCAAGCTGGTGCCCATGAGAGCACACGAACAGGCCAGCGTGTACTCTGAGGAGAAAGCCAAGCTGCTGCGGCAAGCCAATGAAGACGCCAGCGCCAAGGACAGAGAGCTGGCCGAGTTTCTCACCACTATCGATCTGGCGGCGCTTGCCAAGGGGAAAGCACTCACCACCGACGATCTGCTACCGAATGATTTACGCCAGGTGGCGGCCAAGATGAGAGACAAGCCCAACCTGGCCAGGATGCTGGAGCAATCCGTGAAGGTCAGTGTGTGTGTGTGTGCATGTGTGTGTGTGTGTGTGTGTGTGTGTGTGTGTGTGTGTGTGTGTGTGTGTGTGTGTGTGTGTGTGTGTGTGCGTGTGTGTGTGTGTGTGCCAGCTAGTTCGGTTGGTGGGTACACTTATGCCAGATAGTGTTGGGCCTGTTGCCAACGGGCTCGGCTGCTTGAAGGTGTATTGTTGTACCTACCACCTTTGTTGGTTTCAGGGTTCATATACTTTCTATTTGAAGTATGCATACCTGTTAACCATGGACTACTTCTGGCTAGATAAACTCTTGTGTAATCAATGGTGCTAGTGAAGCTGTTATCAGATCCACTCTGATTTAGCCACCCACACTAGTACCAAGTATTACCTTCACTGAGGGCAGGGGTACCTGCAGTTGGATCCCGGGACGGATACCCTGATGCCGTCAATCCTTTTTCTGCACCTTGTCCTCACCCACTTACTGAGGTGTGGTGAGCCCATAAGTGGGATCATTTCAAGTCCACCCTAGTTTGGGGATTTCAGGGGGTGTCGGCCGTTGGGCGGTTCAATGGCCAATTGAGTCATCTTTCCAAGATTCCTTTTGAGTCTCTCTCCCCTCTCCCGGGGAGACCCACGTGACCAGTTTTGGCAGTGAGCAAGTACAAGTGTGTTTGTATACATGCGTGTGTGTGTGTGTGTGTGTGTGTGTGTGTGTGTGTGTGTGTGTGTGTGTATGTGTGCGCGCGTGTGTTTACCTAGTTGCCTAGTGGATGGGAGCCATTTCGACGTCATGCTTTGTGAATGTTGTTACATCCGCGTGTGTGGGTGTGGGGAGAGGGGGGGGGGGGGGGGGGGGGTAGTGTGCATGCGTGTGTGTGGGTGTCGGGGGGGGGGGGGGCACATCCAGTGCCTCATACCTGCACACGACCGGCTGATGGTTCTTTCTAACTTTCTGTGTGACCTGCTTCATGGTAGTACATACTCCTATCGTATCCATTCTCACTCTCCACCTCTGCATAACATTCTTCCTTGTGTTCCAGGACATTGAGGAGATGTCCACGCACATTGTGGAGAATTTTGAGCACATACGGCGTTCCCTCGAAGAGGAGCATCTGCTGGAGAAGGAGTTTACCGAGCGCTTTGGTATAGAACAGACCGACAGTGCTGCCGTCTTGAAGGAGATAGAAAGCACACTCAAGAATGTAAGCATTCTCTGTCAAGACTTATAGAAGTAAAACATGTGTTTGTCGGACACATTAAACAGTTATAGCTGTTATCACAAATGGGAAGAAGCTGTTCTGGTATATATGCGCTGAGTGATGTGCTGCAATGGTGACCCCAAAATGAATAGGGATCGCACGAACTACATTGGGTGTGCCGGGGAATCCAGCGGGTCGTTGATGTTATTCAAGTTTTTTGTTTTGTTTTGTGTGCGTGTGCGTGCGTGTGTGTGCGTGTGCGTGTGTTTGCCGTAGGACGAGGGCATGTTTGAGCGTGGCAATACGGCCACAGCCAGCCTCAATGACATGCTGTCTCAGCACCGGCGCTCACTGCAACTGCTCTGCGGTCCAATGACCAATCTTCTCAAGGGTTTGCCCGTTGTGAGTGTCAATGAACTGCCGTTGGATGAGTCCATCATCCAGCGATTCCGAGAGCTGGAGAGCAAAGTCAATGAGATGACAACGCAGCGAAGTACCCTGCTGTCTCGCCTGCAGGACCAGGTGAGTGTACTTCTAATGCTGCTGCTGCTGCTCTGTGTGTGTGTATGTGTGTGTGCGCGCATGTGTGTGTGCGCGCATGCAGGTGCGGGCACGTGTGTGCGGACGCACCACCCTAGTGTGACGGAAACCACCCAAACGTGTATGGGTACATACGAAAACTGGATGCAAATGCATCCAAAAGTCAGCGTTGTCATGATTCTGGACAGGCTGTGACGTAGCACTGCCAAGCCCTATGGTATGACTTAGCAGTGCCCTGTGCGCTGGTCTGTTTCCCTCCCACCTGTAGCAACACAGAATGGTGCATCTGGTTTCTCGTCGTTTCTGATGCCTTTCGCTGCCCAGCTAGGGCATTAGTTAGGTGTGGGGTACGGCATAGTCTTTGTTCTGGACTTTCATTCCTGAACATGGGTCTGGCCCGAATATGGACGATAGAACAGAACTATATTTTCATTTTGTTTGGAAGAATTGTAGCCGAGAGACCGTTTTGGGTAGTGTGGTATATGATGGCATAAGGCCGGCAGTTTGCAATAAAGGTCATTCTTATTTGAAGAACCACCTCCCACCGCTTTAGGAGCTGCACCTGCGCCTTGATTCTAGAGGGTGGTGGCGTTCCTACGGATGCGGAAAACCGAGTCTCACGCGAACCATGAAAGTTTTTATTAATTTTTATTTGAAAAGTCCTGCCTGTTGTGTGCTGTATACATGGACTTGACATGCTGTAGGTGGCCAAAGACAACATCACTCAGAAGATCATTGTGAACGAGACGCGAGACTCGCGTACGCTATTCGATGCCGAACTCGCAAAGCACAACGATTCGCTGGAATTGCTGCGCAAGAACTTGTCGGCGCAGAAGAACATTCTGGCTGCAGTGACCGAAGCCAACGCTAACTTTGCTGCCACTCGTCGCCAGTTGACGTCCAAGGTAGGGGAGAGTGAGTGAGAGATGAGTGTGCAAATGTTGCAATGTGCTTGTAGCTACGGCCAACACTAAAGACAATAGCGGCGACCGATTTCCCAGCCTGACAAGCTGTTTATTAGTAATCGGGGTGTTTGTCTTGCGCATGTTGCTGCATTTCACCCAGATTACGTGTAAACTCTGACCGTGTGTGTGTGTGTTTGTGGGTTTGTTTGTGTGTGTGTGTGGGGGGGGGGGGGTGTTTGTGTGTGTGTGTGTGGGGGGGGGGGGGGGGTTGTGTGTGTGTGTGTGTGTGTGTGTGTGTGTGTGTTTTGTGTCTCCATCAGGACTCTGACCTTTCCAAGATGCTGGGTGATCTTCGCGCAGCTCATGCCGATGTGGAGCAGATGCAGCTCCGAGCGACACAGGGCGCTGCCTTCTACAAGCGCTTGGATTCCCGCACGTCTCAGCTGCGCAAACGCCTTCACGGGACAAGTCAAGTAAGAGCCATACTAGCTTGCTCCTCATGTTCCTGCTGCTGCTGCTGCTGCTGGTGGTGCTGCTGCTGCAGCTGCAGCTGCAGCTAAGGGTGGTGGTGGTGGTGGTTCTGCTGCTGCTGACTATGACCAGCTTAGAGAATTCTGTAATGTGTGGAGAGGAGATTGTGTCTGCTGGCAATCTGCACCTATAACCAGCTGACTATTAAAAACACTCAAAACATTTATGACAAAGAAGAAAGCAGGTGGCTGTGCATAATGCATACACACACAGAAACGCGTACACGCACGCACGCACACACACACGCACACACACACACACACACGCATTAACCGCACACATCCGTTTTCCACAAAATATCCGGATAGGCGAGGGAACCGGATAACTGAACACACATACTGTATATGCATGTGGCATATCAAAAGCAGTGGCATCGTACATACATGTAGACGGGTCCTATGATGTACAACTAGCATGCACAAGATGTAAAACAAGCAAGAAAAATGACAAGTGCATGCAACTGAGTGCTGTCCGCATGCATCCAGCAGGTCAAGGACCTCATTTGCGTGTACAACTCCCTGATTCTAGCTTCTGCAAGCCACTTGCAACCGGATACGACGAAGATTTTTGTACACATTTCAGCCAGTTTGTACACAAAATCACGAACCGGTATGCAGATCGCGAGGTCCGGTTATGTTGTATGCGTAACACATGCTGCACATCGGTAACCAGCGATTTTCTTCCGGATGGCGAGGGATCCGGATAAAAGAGGACCGGATAAGTGGCGAGGTCTGACTGTACATGTACCGCCACTACTACCAACAAACTACCCGTGTGCGGCCACGCCATCCTGCACTCAATACACTAAATACCTGGTTTAATTAAAAGAGAGGTTTGAGTCTATTGTGTCTTCTCTGACATGTGTGTGGACGTCTTCTCTCTGTGCTTTGCTGTATATTGCGTATAGGCGCGGCGCCGAGAGCGACTCAATCACCAAGAGAAAGCTGAGCGTGAAGAGTCATCACCCAGTCATGCACTCAGCCCAACCAATCCTGCTGACATGGCACCAGGCCCTGGCGTGCCCCCGCTACGACCTGGTATGCCCCACCCGGGCTCTGTGCCCCAGCACATTCCCCCTGGCGCACAGCAGGCGCCCGGGTCGTCCGGTCCGCCCCGACCCGCCCCGGCCGGTCTCATGCCCCCGCGGTCCAGCAAGCCGAAGCGGGCCGATCAGCCCCTGGTCAGCCCGGACAGTAGTGGGGTCCTTCATCCCGTCGGTTCTTTGCCACCAACAGCAGGAGTAGGCCCTTACCAGTCCATGGGCCCTGCCGGACTGCTATCACAGCAAATGCAGCCCGCTGTGACTCCTCACCCTGGCATGGTGCCAGGCAGCCTTCCTGCGAGAGCGTACAACCTTGCTGCTACCGGTGTTGATATGAACAGCGGTGTTGCAGCTGTAGCAGCAGCAGCAACGCCAACACAGCAGCATGAGCAACAGCCATACGCGGGACATCACGACGGAACAATCCCCGGTGTAAGCACTGCCGCACCTAGGCACCCATCATCGGCCACTGCCTCTGCTCCCATGAGTATACCACCATCAGCAGCAGCAGCGGCGGCAGCAGCAGCGCAGCAGCTCTCAGACCCGGTCATGGGCGGCGGCGGTGAGTTCCCGGGGGGTTCCCCCGCCAGTCCCTATAGCAACACGGGCGCGTACCTGCCCGCCGTGCCGGCCGCCGTGGCCGCCCTGGGTGCCCGCTCCGGCCGCCTCGGCTCCTCTCCGGACGTGCTGCCGCGCCTGCCCACGCCCGACGAGCAGAACGCCATGGCGGCGTTTGAACCGCGCTCCCCGTCGCCGGGGGCGATGCAGGCCCTGGTCAGCCTGCTGCCGGCCGAAGTGCTGGAGACCGTGCCGGCCGAAGTGCTCGCCGATCCCAAGAACTTCAACCTGATTGCGGAACTGGTGGACGCTACGGTTACGGCCACGTCTAAGGCAGATGACCAGCCGAGTGGTGACGCTGCTCCTCCGAACGTTGCTGCAGCTACGGGCGAGAAGTCGTCAGCGGACGCGCTGTCTGAATCCACCGCTGCGTCTTCTGTGTCCCGTTTGGTGGACGCGACTGCGGCGACGGCTGGTCTTCATAGTGGACCTACTGGCATTGCAACGTCACCTGACGGTGCTGACCAGGCGTCCTCTACGGACGTCACCTCGCCCGGTCAGCAGCCACCGGGTGCTCTTGCCGGAGATGATGGCAGCGGTGGTGGTGCAGATCGCAGTGCATCCGCCGCGGCGCACGACTCTGCCTCACAGGAGACGGAAGACGAGCGCGATGTGGACGAGACGTCCATGGTCAGTAGTGGCGGTGTTGCCGGTGACACACTGGACTCGCACATATCCGGTCCGGAGGGTGGTGCATTGGCTGATCTCTCTGGCCAACTATCGCCGCAGCATGTCGTGTCCCCTGCAAAACATGTACCCACTGCTATCTCTGGTAGCTCTGCCGTGCCGGTAAAGACGACATCATCACAACCGCCACCACTCGTATCCAGCTTGGGCGTGACGTCATCGCAAGCACCCGTGTCTGGTATGGCCATCCTGGCACAGCTCCACGTCCTGCTGGAGCGACTCTTTGCCATTAGCACACTCCAGAGCGATGGCGCTGGTGCAGGTGCTAAGAGCATTCTTCACTCGTGTCTCATCCGCCTGTCAATGCTGCAGTTCCAGGTGAGCAATGACCGAGTGCTGGCGTTACAACACCTCGCCACCCTGGAGCTGGAGATGAACAATCTTGCAGAGCGTACACGTGCGTCGGCAGATCATCAGGCCAGCGAGCAACGTCCGTACTCGAGCTTGATCGACGACGACGTTGAGCTGCGGCACCTGTTCAACCACATCATTGGCCAGGTGCCGTTGGATGAGGCTGATGGCGATGCTACGCCCACTGCTAATACCACTGATGCCGGTCAGCCTTCTACCAATGATGTAACGGATGACATCATCCTTCCCGATGTTCCCATTGATGACATCAGTGCTGGTGATGGCGCTGCTGCTGCTGCTGCACAAGTGATTTCTAGTAGTAGTGGCGGAGGAGAAGGTGGTGAGCCGAGTGAGGATGATATAGCTCGCATGCTGCAGTCACTGATTAGCGCTGCGGACGACGTCCAGGCCACCGTCCGTCGCTCCATGAGCACCGAGGAAGCGTCGTCGTGTGATGACGACGGCACAGCAGCAGCCTCAGCAGCGGCTGGGGCTGGTCGTGGTGCGCCTTCGCCTGATTCGGCGGTGCAGTCCGGTGATGAAGCGGCGGACGAGGGTAGTGGCGGCAGTGTGTTCATCCACGGCGGTGATCTGAGCGAGGGTGAAGGCGATGGTACGGTTTCCACTGATGACACACAATGCCACACCTCGCTGGCTTCTCTGCAGTCAACCTCGTCTATACCACCGCTAGAACCGTCCGCTCCACCCGCCCCGGACGACCTGGACATGAGCGAACTGATTGTGGCGTCCGCCAAAGCAGCAGCGTCATCCGGTGTTGCCACTGACTCGACGGCCGCTTCCGGTAGTAGTGGTGTTTGCGACGACGCTTCATCATCACATCCTCCATCATCGCTGAGTACTACTGCTCCGGTTGCTGCTCGTTCTGATGGCATGGCAGGAGATAGGCATTCGTCAGCCATTGAATGCAGCAGCGATGTGGATGCCGCATCGGCTATGGACGCAATCACAGCCGTGTACACTGCACAGTCGGAGTCGAGCGCGGCAATTAGTACCGTGACATGCCAGGATGGCACGGCGGCAGCAGCACCAGCTGCAATGAGCACTTCAGCTATTGCTGCTGCCAACGTGGCTACGGCCTCAGCACCAGTCTCACCTCCGCACAGCTCTTCAGCAGCGACAGTTGCGGCTGCAGCTGCGGTAGCAATTTCGCCAGCAGACCTCCCGGGAGCAGCGTCTTTCCCGCCCGCTATCCATCCTGGTGACGGCGCTCCTGTGTACCAGCCACCGGCGGCAATCGTCCCCGTGGCACGTCAGCCAGAAGGAGCGCAATCCCCACCACCACCGCAGCCGCTAGCAGCAGCAGCGGCTGTACCCGCTCCAGCACACGCGCACCACGTGGAGGACGATGACCGTGACGATGGCCTGGGCGGCGAGGTGCCGGATGAAGTCGATTCGTTGCTGGGCAGCGACGACAGTGGAGACAGCGCCGTGGAGACAGATTCCTCCGACTCTGTTGACGAGCCGAGCATGGAGTTAGCACAGAGACAAGAGCAGCAGCCCGCCCAGCTCACCCAGGGACAGTTTGAAGCGCTGTCGGCGGAACGGCGCCTTCGTGATGCGGCCGCCGCTGCCGCCACTGCAACAGCTACCGTAGCTGTCACAGCGGCCGTAACTGGAGGAAGTGCATCCGCCTCGATGACGCCATCTCCGACTATATCCCGCTCCAGCCCAGCTGTCGGTTACCCGGCAGCAGTTGCCTTGAGTGCTGCCTTGCCGGATTCCACTCCCACTGGAACCACCGTTCCCGCTACCTCTGCTCCTGTAGTGACATCATCAGGTGATGTCAGCATGACGTCATTGCTGTCGGGCCTCCCTGGCACTGTTGTGGCAGGCATGGCAGAGGCTGGATCCGGTGCTGGCATGATGTCGTCGCAGTCAGCAATCTCCAGTGCTATGACATCGTCAGTGCCACCAGTACCTAATCAAGGTGGCACTGGTACTAGTTTGCATGGCGTAGCAGCAGCAGGACCGCATACCCAGGGTGCCGTCACTTCACCCAGCACGGCCGCTGTTCTTGGGGCAGTTCCGCCGTCGAGCTCAGCTGTTAGCCAGGCGATGGCTGGCCTGGGTCTGGCTAGTCAGTCTGTGCATACGCCCGTCTCTCCTCTATCGAGTAACAGCAACAGCACTACTAGCCCTATGCATATGCCTATCACCAGCGTCAGTAGCCCAGCGGCTGCTGCGGCAGTTGTCACCTCGGCACGATTCACCTCCACGGTGCCCTCGGCTCCCATCACCGCCGCTGCCAGGCATCCACCGGCAGCAGCGGTGTCGGCGTCCAGTGGCACCTCCTTTGGCGATCCCCCGGTGGTTCTGTCTCCAAACTCACCGCCCATCACCTTGCCGCCATCGCGTCCGCAGGCCAGCAGCGTCGGTTTGACCACCCCGGCGGCAGTCGTACGTCCCACGTCGGCCGCTGTCAGCCCTCCAGCACCACCAGTAGCAGCACCAGCAGGCGGAGGAAATCCGGTCGGCGCCGCCGGCACGACCACCGCGGAAGCGACGACATCATCGGCGACGTCGTCTCTGTCTCCCGCGCAGGCTGCGCTGCTGGAGAGGCTGCGGCGGCAGAAGCCCAAGACTCTGTCGGCCACCGTCAACCCGTCTTCACAATCCACTGGTGGCGCCCCCGCCACCGCGAGTGCAGCATCCACTGCCGCAAGCTTAGTCGGCGCCTCAGCAGCAGCAGTGGCAGCGGCAGCAGCAGTAGGAAAGCCACCCATGGGACTTCCACCGGGCGTTGGCATGGCAACCGCGGCACATCAAGAAGCGCTCGTCGTTGGCAACATGACACTGGAGAGCAGCGAGCTGCAGAAGCAGCAGCGGCTGCTTGCCGAGCAGGAACGCAAGATCGCCAGCCAAGCGGCGTCCATTGTCGAGCTGAAGACCACCCTGCAGCGGCAAGAAGAGCAGCAGAGTCGTCTGCGCCAGCAGCAGCATGATGCGCTCATCAGCCAGCAGCAGTTGCAGCTCAGCCAGCAGCAACAGCAACTGCAGGCTCTGCTGGCGCGGCAGAAGAAGGAGGAGGCGCAGAAGCAGCAGCGCGAGCAGCACGTGGCTACGCTCATGAAGCAACACCAGGCGCAGCAGGAGCAGAAGCAGCGCCAGATCCAGCAGATCTTGCAGCAGCAGCAGGAGCGACAGCTTCAGATGATTCGCAGCACGCCTCGCCCCGGCGATCCAGCGCGCCCTCCCAGGCAAGCATCGCCTGCAGCCAGGCACCAGCAGCACCAGCAGCAGCAGCAACAGCAATCTGTATCGAGTGCGCCAGTCCCTGCACCACCAACAGGTGCGGCTACCGGAAAGCTTCACTCTGTACTGGGAGATTCCGCACTATCCCAGTCTCCGTCGGCGATGGAATCCCTGAGACATGATCCGCGCCACCATCACAACCAGCAGCAGCAGCGTAGCCATGCGCAGACGGTCCACAGCACTGCACCACCTACAGCGGCTGCAGCGGGAGGGATTGCCGCTGCTCGGCCAGGGACTGTCCCTTTGGCCGACCCTGCTGCCAATCTACTGGCGACACAGCAAGCAGCGCTGGCAACGTTACAACAACAGCTACAGCAAGCCCAGCAGCCCGGTGCTCCGCCTCAGACACCTACAGCTTCCCTCGACACGTCTGTTCTGCAGCAAATTCAAGCACAGCAGAAGCAGCTTGACTTTCTACGGGCAAAGCTACGAGAGCAGCAGCAGCAGCAACAGACTGCAGTTGCACCAGTTGCGGCTGGAGCAATGGATGCCGCAGCCGCCCAACAGCATGCATTGCAGTTGCAGCAGAAGCAGCTGGAGACACTGCAAGTACAGATGGCTGCGGCGCATCGCACTGCTCCGACGGCGGTGGGGCTGGTGCCTGCCGGTCATCATTCCACGCAGGCTGCTCTCGCCACCGCGGCTGGTCCCACCGCTGTCGTCAGTCCAGGCATGGCTCCTGCTGCTGCTGCTTCTGCAGCGGTGGTGGCAGCCATTGGAATGCCTGCACCTGCTGGTGCTGCAGGTACTGTCAGTCCTGCTGCTGCTGCTGCTGCTGCTGCTGCTGGCCTTGGTGGCATGCATCAATTGCATGAGTACAAGCCTGCAGCAGGGCTACACATGCCTGCGGCCACATCAGCACAAGCTGTGCACTTCCAGCATGCGCGTCCAGCACACCCGGCTGCCTTGCAGCCTCAGCCAGCAGGAGCCCCTGCAGCTCCGCAGCCGCAGATTCCTGCCAGCGCCACAGCCCCGTCGCAGTCATTGTACCCGTCCCAACAACAGCCTCATGTAGCTGCTCTGCATCCCCACTATCAGCAGCACCAACACCATCAGCCGCAGCAGCAGCATCCACAAATGCACGCTGCACACGCGATGCCCATGCCTGCTGCTGCGCACCACGGCAGTGGTGCGGGCCTTCCCCCATCACAGCCAGTACCGCCAGTGCTTCAGCCAGTCCAGCAGCCACATCAACAGCATGCGGTGGGAGCTGGTGTGCCATCGATACCTGGAGGTGCAGCAGCTCACCCTGGCAGCAATGCAACCATATTGCCTGAGCCGCTGAAACCGGAGAAGATCACAGTGACGTCGCACAGTTTGCTGGACGCGCCCATACCGAACGCGGCAGGCGTTGTCAGCGACGCCATGAGCAACGTGGCTACGCTGGCCGGCACTGTCGACGCCACGAAGACATCGTTCGTGCTGGATCTGCCGAGCTCTCCGGGACCAGTAGCTGCCGCAGCCGTTGTCCCTCAGCACACACCCACACTGGACGCGGCGCTCACCTCCACCTCCTCCATCCAGCTGCAGCACCTTCAGGCGGAGAAGTTGCGCGAGCAACAGCGCCAGCAGCAGCAGGAGCAGGAGAACCACCGTCTGCAGGAGGAGCTGCGGCGTCGCGACGAACAACTGCGCGAAAAGCAACGAGAGCTGGAGCTTCAGCACCAGAAACAGCTCGAACAGAAGGCCCAGCAGCAGCGGCTGCAGCGAAAACTGCACGAAGAGGAGGCTCAGAAGCAGAAGCTTATCCAACAGCAGCTTGATGACCAGCAGAAACAGCTGCAGCAGCAACTTCAGCAGCAGCAGATGGTACCCCAGGCCTCATTCGCTCCCGCTGGTGTTTCCGTGCAGCCGCTCAGTTCAGGTCGAGGTGCAAGTCAGGGCACTGTTCCTCAAAGCATGGGCAATTTGCCCCCGGCTGGTCCTGCCACTGCAGCGGATACACAGTACCAGGGTATGACCCCAAGTCAAGGTCAAATTCTCCAGCAGCACCACCAGCAACACCAGCAGTCAGTCATGGCTAAGCCAGCGGCGCTGACACCATCCCAGCCACAACAGCAGCCAGCCAGGATGACGTCGGCGGCTGGTCCTGCATCAGCTGCTGCGACACCGGTACCTCTGAACCAGTTTAGCGCTAATCCGGCCGGCGGTCCGGCACCTTCCCAACAACCCCTCCACCATTCCCAGCAGACACAGTATCCCGCTACAGGCAACATGCCCGGGCAGCAGCAACAACAGCAGCAGAGTCAGTATGCTATGCGTGCACAACACCCTAACCAGCAACCACAGCAGCTGCAACAACAACAACAACAAAAACAACAACAACAACAACAACAGCAGCAGCAACAACAGCAGCAACGAGCCCAATTGGTTGTTAGTCAGCCGAGACCGCAGACGCAGGCAATGCAGCAGCCCTTGCAATCCCCTCATGCCCAACCACTCCACCCACCTCACCAACAGTTGCAAGGGCCGAGTCAACAGCAGCAACCACAGCAGAGAATGCCAGGCCATGTGCAGTTGCATCCACAGCAACAGCAGCAGCAGCAACAGCAGCAGCAGCAGCAGCAGCAGCAACAGCAGCAGCAGCAACAGCTGCAAGCCCAGCAGAGACAGGTTCGACCACAACTACCTCCACAGCAGCAGCAGCAGCAAGCACAAAGACCCCAGCTACCTGCGCAGTCACAAGGTCCGGCTCAGGCTGGAATGGGTGCAAGCTCTGCTCATTTGCCGTATGGCTCGTCACCAGCCGGTATCCAGCAGCTGCCTCAGCAACAAGTGCAACAACCGCAGCAGCAGCAGCAATTGAGGTACTCGAATCCTGCTCACGTCCAACAAAATCAGCAACCAGCGCAACACCAACAGCAGCAGCAGCAGCAGCAGCAGCCACCGCATGCACAGCAGCAGCACCAGACACAGTACAGTGCAGCGAGCCATGCACAGGCACAGCCAGCTGCACACCAGAGTATGACAGGAGCAGTGAGGATGCCAACACAGTATTCACAGCAGCAGCAGGTGCAACACCGTGCCCCGACGGCAACGCAGCCTCAAGCTGGGCCAGTCCTGGCGCATAGCGCTGCCTTCATCCCCAGTTCTCAACAACGCTTTGCCTCTCCACCACCACAGCAGCAGCAGCAACAGCAGCAGCAGCAACAGCAGCAACAGCAACAGCAGCAGTCACATGTGATGGCTGGGCCTGGTGGATCACAAGTGCGAACGCACACCATGGCCAACCCTGCTGCTGCTGCCCTGCAAACTGCACACCCGCAGCTACAGCAGCAGGGCCAACCACAGTTTCCCTTGCCGCCGCAGCAGCAACAGCAATACCACCAGCAGCAGCAGCAGCAGCAGCAGAGACCTGGTACTTATGTACAGCCCCGGTACCCTGCACCAAGGTAGATGGAGGTGCCGTTGACTACATTGCTTGATGTAACTAGCTAACTTCGGTACCCTGCACCAAGGTAGACGGAGGTGTCATTGACTATACTATATTGCTTGATGTAATTAGCTAACTTGTGCCTCCGCTTTGCCTGCCCTTGATCCTTACAATTTTTTCCTGGTGGGCTGGAAGCTTTCCCAATAGGCACGCAGGCTACGTGGAGTGCCATCGCACGTACATGTATGCTACTAGAGCAGCATCACCACCACCACCACCGCCACCGCCGTAACATGCTCCCCCCCCCCCCACGCTGTTGATTTTATATCCATGTCTCGCTGTTTCTCAGCCCACGTTTTAACCGCGCACACACGTTGACGCGGTGCAGCGTCTGTGCGTACCCGTGTGTCTCTGCTTCTCCGTCTTCCCCACACTGGCTGTGCGCGGCTGCTGCTTGCATGCTGCGACCGTGTGTCTTCGGTCCCCTCGTGCGTTGTGCTGTGAGCTGTGCCACGCACTGGGCTGCTTTGGTCCGCATATTGTGTTCTTGTCTGCTCAGCGTACTCCGTACAATGGCCGCCCGATGGCCAATGCACCAAGTCACCATTGCACATATCCTAATAACCCTGTGTTTTGTTTTTTGTTTGTTTCCCAATTTGCGATGTTTTCGTTACCGTAGCGTCTAGTGGTCATGCTTTGGTAGTAACTAGCTTTTTTCTTCTCTCTTTTGCCCCCCCCCCCCCCCCCCCCCCGTCCGCGCACAGCTACATGTATTGCCAGTTTCAAGTACGCACATGCAGCACCCCATTCACCTGTTATAGATCCATACGTGTGGCGGGCACTCCTACTCCAGGGGCTGTGCTAAACGGCCGTTCCATTCTCTGCACCAGTCGTGGACAGTTGCAGTTTACAACACCCTGTTTCTGATCGGCAGTTCTATAATTATTTTAGCATTGTTCGTATTCGTGTGAATGTGCCTCGTACTCAAACTCCTTCCTTACTCTTTTTGCCAGTTTGACATTGCATTTTTAACTCAGCTAACTACCCCAGCACAACCACCCTTCATTTTTAACGTACTTGTTTTTTGTTTTTAAATCTTGTCCATATCGGCTGTCTTGCATTACATGATGGTACTGCTGTTGAAAGTCATCTTGTCTGCTCCCGGGGTCACGTCTAGGATATCTGGCTGAATCGTCCCTCGCTAGTTTCTGTCTTGAGCCGCCGCTGCCTGCATGTGTGTGTGTGTGTGCACGCGCGTGCGCATACATGCGTACGTGGTGTGCACATTATGTGTACATGTGTGTGTGTGTGTGTGTGCACCCTCGTGCGTGCATGCCTATGTGTGCACGTGCACGTAATGTATATGTGTGTGTATGTGTGTCTGTATGTGTGTCTGTGAGCGCGCATGTGTGTCTGTGAGCGCGTATGTGTGTGTTTGACAGTTTGTGTGCGTGTGCGTGACTGCTCGTGTGTGTGACTGCTCGTGTGCGTGACTGCTCGTGTGTGTGCGTGACTGCTCGTGTGCGTGACTGCTCGTGTGTGGTGGATCGCAGCTTTCCTGGCCAACTGGGCCGCTTACACCCTTGCTACAAATGTACTGTACTACCAAGCCTTACGAAGAGTTCCGGTACGCATGGTATTATCTGCATGGCATGCTTGGGATTGCATCATGTGCGATTTTGCTGTTGTTGTATTGCGGTACTACTGCACGGTCGTATGTAGGCGTACACTGTACTGGGACGTTTCATTGATTTATTTTTACCTGGACTCTGCTATCGATTCGAAGCTAAAAATGTTACCTTTCGCCAGTTTCGGTGCACCAAGCGCACGTGTAGCGATATCTGTACCCGGGGGGGTACCGGGTACCCATGTATGGGCAAGAGTGCAATGGCTGTACGAGAGTACTCTTGGTTTGGGTCAAAGATCAACTCAACAACTGAACTGATCGAGCTGGGAGATCTCGTATCGAGATCGGGAGAGCGGAGTCGCGGATGATTCGAGGCGGGCAAGCTGCAAGACAGAAAAAGGGACTGCATGCAGCTGTCAAGTGTCAGGCCAAAACTGGCAAAAGACTGCTGTAGCCGATATCATCAGGTGTACCGACCGTACAGACTCTCTCTCAGGTCAGTGTGTAGAATGTACGGGCACTTGAATGTCATGATAGGTCTGGTACGTGCTGATGTGGTTGAACAGTGAAAGAGATCTTGCCTGTTTTTACCTGTACTGGTTGACGTCGTGAGTTCACCAGCCGACTGCATGCAGTCAGATAAACAAACTGCTCCGACGCGACTTGGTTCGCCTGTCAGGCGTCCTTGTGGACGAAGCTGGCAAAAACGAGCGCCTTTCTCTTGTTTTGAATACTAGTACAGGGGAAACTATCCGCCTGGCGTTTTAGTAGCACGTCAAATTTGTTTTTGCCAGGCCCAATTGAGTACCGAGTGCCGCGACGCCGACAGTCAAGTGCTTGTAACTAAGTTAGTTCTTCTCCACAATTCTTAATTTCTGCCGGAGCCTTTTCCATTGAGAAAAGAGTATAATCTAGAATCCGTGAATCTGGAGAGGTTTGGATTGCTGACGTGTATCCCAGCGAGAAGATTGAGCATTGCTGCACTGTGGCTACGAAATATATTCAGGTAAGACTAAGCAATGAACAAGAAGGCTTGTGCCCGCAATGGCAACACATTATTCGAATGCCAAGCCCTGCTTGTACACAGACAGTGTACGGATATGCCGGTATGCATGTAATATTCCGGCATACATATTGACACGTCCACTACAAAATTAGTAGAACTAATCACAATAATTATCATGTCGGTGTCAAGGGCAACAGAAATGGCTATGCCTGTGTTTTGTGTCCCTTTCCCCCAAACGTGTGTTCTGGTGACAAGATATTTCTATGTAGGTTTGGGCTTGGACCATGAGAATAAATTCCGAAATTTGGATGAAAGATGAGGTTGTCTGCTTGGTCTTATGCTTGTACACTGTAGTTGCATGCAGGTCTAGATCAGATTTAGATATTTAATTTAGATCAGTACAGAATTCTGTTTCATCTCATCTCTGCATTTCATTCTCAACCGAAAACCCCAGCGTGTACTAAAGTAGCAAGGGACATGCTTTTCCCGAATTTATTCCCTTGGCGTCGCCAGGTGTGGCTGGCTTTGCGCTGGAACATCTGTTGCTAACCCGGGGTCTTGGCTGTGTGTCAACCAGGCCATGTACATATGTGGTGCAGATGCGTTCATCTGCGTGCGATTCCGTAATGCAAGCCCTGTACTGATGCGGCCTCCTGGGGAACATGAATTATCGAATTCCCATTGCCCGTCTCCCGCTTACTCTCGACCTAAAGCTACTGTGATCATGATTGCAAGAGTGCACGGATGCATAGCAGCTGCACTGGTGTATGCCCAACAGCCTTCCCTGTGGTCTGTCTGTCGGTTTGCCAATACCCGTGTACAGGTCTATTGATTCATGAAGTAATGTAGACGTATTTAGACCCCCCCCCCTGCCTCCCTTTAAAACTACAATGAAACCTGTCTAAGACGACCGCTCAAGGGACCTTCAAAACACGGTCTCTGTTACCAGGTGGTCTCCTTATCCAGGGTCATTTGACTGGAAATAGCATCCCTTGGTCCTGGTTACAGTGGCCCTCTGGGACAGGTGGTCACTTTGACAGGTTTCACTGTAGTATTTGTAGACTCCCTGTCCAGTGATTGCAACATGCGTGTCACCCCATAGGCCGTAGAGCAGAATGGGCGCTTGGCACTGTGTCAGACTCGCAGCACATCCCTTTCGTCTTGCAAACGTGTGTGCTCTGGCAGGTCCGTAGGCTAGTGGGGGAAAGCCGGGGTGGGGGGGGGGGGGGGGGGTTCTAGGCGGGTCTGACTGTGCTTTGAAACAGGGACGCCGGGCCTGAGCTGACCGGGTCTGCGAGTGCAGACATGGTATTGTGTTAGCTGTGTTACAGTGCTCTCAGCAAACATACACTTCGGGGTAATGTAAAAAACCTGTCAAGGTGACCACCTGTCCTAGAGGACCACTGCAACTATAATTTGATTTGCTTGGATTTGTTGTTTAGGGGTCGTCGCATTTTGTCGTCCCTGAAACGAACATATTCATTGGGGGGGGGGGGGGGGGGGAGGGGGTGCGAGCCGAAATCGCAAGTCGACCGGCACTGTACATATGACATGTACATGCATGCGATTTTCGTCGTCCAGCAAGCTGTGTTCGTTTCAGAGGGAGGGGAGGGGGTCCAAGTACAAAATGAACGATGTTCGTTTCAGGGACGACAGAAAACTTTTGCGACGACCCCTTAGTACCACGGTGATTCCTCGCGAGTGTTGTACGAAAACAGTACCAACGGGTGTTATTTCCAGTCGCATGCCCCTGGATAAGGAGACCACCTGGTAATGGAGACCACCTGTACACGGGGACTACATATTGAAGGTCCCAGAGAGCGTAGGCCTCCGGTTCGATAGAGTGCTCAATGCAGAAGCAGAGCAGTAACACACGAGTCACAGAGTACCACGCGTCAGTTGTCTGAAGATTGCCATCTGGCATGAAACTTTTAGTTACAACAATCCAGACGCGTGGTACTCTGTGACTCGTGTATTGAAGGTCCCTTGAGCGGTCGGCTTAGATGAGGTTTCACTGTACGATGAAACAGTGCCTGAGGTACTAGTATGAGAATGCTAGTGTGGATGTGATGTCCAGGTGCAGTGGAACTCGGATAGTACGCACCACCGTGTGTGCAGCAGGAAAGTGTGCTTAGCACCAAAGGTGCTTCTTATTAGGGCTGAGTCGGGTAGCATTTTTTCGGGTATCGGGTTCGGGTAGTTTTCCACGGGTAGCACGGGTACCCGATCGGGTAGTGTTTCCGTGGTAACACCACAATGCACCCCTTCCCTTACACACTGGGTAGACATGCGGAGTGTTACATGAATTTGTACACATGCACTGTACATGATATCATCTGCGACTGTACATGATGTCATCTGCGACTGTACATGATGTCATCTGCGACTTCGGGATTTCGGGTACATGTACTACTCTAATTTCAGAAATTTTCGGTGCTCAATATTTTCGGTATGAGGGCAAAAGGCCGGGTTAGGTGAACAGAAATTTTCGGTACAGAGCAGCAGTTCCCTATTGGATTATGTGTGTTGGTGTTTGTTCGGTGTATTGAAATTTTAGGTATGAAACAGATACACCGAAAGTACCGAAAATAAAAGTACACCGAAAATTTGTGAAATTACAGTATTCTGTACCCGTCTACCCGAGGTCTTCACGGGCAGCACGGGTACCCGACTAGCCGTGCACACCACTACTTCTTATCCCAACACACTTCAGTATGGATCAATGCACCTGTGGTCCGGACAATGTCCACACTAAGAGTACAGTGAGACCTGCCTAAGACAACCGCTCGAGGGACTACCAAAACGTGGTCTCCCTATCCAGGGTCGATTGACCGGAACTAGCATCCCTTGGTCCTGGTTGCAGTGGTCTTTTTGGACAGGTGGTCGCCTTATCCGAGTGGTTGCCTTGACAGGTTTTACTCTGTCTCTTATCAGAGTACGTGCTAAGTGTTGTGTATGCACTACCGTATTTATGCATGTACTCTTATGGACTGCCCTGTCCATGTATGATGCTCCCCTGCTCTGTGCTGCATCTACTGTGTTCTATGTATGTAACTCACATGTCTTATTATGCATTCTTGTTGTACCCTGCACGCACTACGCTCCGTATGCGTGTCTTGCACATATCCGTGTCCTACCTAACTAGGATTCTATGCGTATGCATCTGGACACTCGCGCGATTCCCGTCTCTGTACTGCCTTCTTTGTACCAACGCTTATCCTTGTAGTTTTATTAGTTTCCTTTGTCTTTTGTCCTTGTTCATGCAAGATAACAGAACAGCATAACACTAAGTGACTTCCACTGTACTAGAGTATATCGGTATTCACTTGCTCTTGTAGAGTGATGTCAAGACTCCCATGCAGAATCCCTATACTGTACCGTAAAAGTCCGTAAATAAGTACGTATTTACTTTAGAATTTAGTGACCACACCCGTACTAACTTTCGGGCGGGTACTGACTTTCGGGCACGAACTAACTTTCGGACCTGACTTGTGTGTAGTGGAGAAGTTATTTCCATGTAGATGTACATGCTACATGCTGCATGTGCGCACCGTACCGGTACTTATTCCCGCAGCTATGCAGAAGACGTTACTTCAGTAACGTCTGGCGCTAGCCAGGGTCCACACAGCTTTAATTTGGTGTTTGTTTGTGTGTTTGTTTGTTTGTGTCACGCCTGGCGCTATCCCGTATGTGTCCCGTACCGTACCGTACCATCAAACACAGCTGGCCACATACAGCTGGCCGCAATATTCAAATAGGGCTTCCAAACGCAAGATCATAACGTGAAGCAACTTGGAAGAATCAGTATAAATGCGAAGTGGATGGGGAATGCATGTGGGGCGATAGTGCGGGTTCGAATCCCAGTTAAATGCCTAAAAAAATAGGAGAATTGAAAAATTTATAACATCTCTTTTCTTTTTTTGCCGTCATCAAGGCGGTAGACGGTGGTGTCGTATTACCCTCGATCGTACATGTCCCGTATCTGTCCCGTACGTGTCCCGTACCTATCCCGTACCGTACCGTACATTCTAAGACGGCTGGCCACAATGCATATTCAAATAGGGCATTCAAATACAAGATCATAACGTGAAACAACTTGGAAGAATTAGTATGCATGCGAAGTGTATCGGGGGATGCATGCAGGGCGATAGCGCGGGTTCGAATCCCAGGTTATGTCTAAAAACAAAAAGTAGAAACTTATCATCCCTATGCTTTTTTTGTCTAGATCATCAAGGCAAAAAAGCATGGCGTAGGGCCCTGAGCTTCCAAGCTCTCTCGTTTCGGGCAGTATGTTTATCGGGCTTGACTTGACTTCAACAGACAGAGCCGAAAGAATGAAGGGGGTATTTCTTTCGGGCAGGTACTTATTTACGGACTTTTACGGTATCTTAGCGGAAATATTCGTCTGGAATTTATTTTCGTCTTTTTTGTCCAAGGAGATTTCGGACTAAAATTCATGCCGGACGGACTAACGTCACAATTTGTCCAACTGTTCAATACGATTTATACTTTATAGTCCATGGACTGAAGTGTCAACGGGGACAAACTCCCTTTCTTAGAGTTGGACGGAACTATTCACCGGCTAAATTGTCTGCCTGTGCGGTAGTGGAGAAACGGTGGTAAATACCGTATTTCCCCGATTATAAATCACACTCGATTATAAGTCGCACCCCCTTTTTCAGGTTTGAGCAATATTGATTTGATATATTGACTTCAGCAGTAAGTCACGCTCGATTGTAAGTCGCACCCCCTTTTTTACCCTTAAATTTTCATGTAAAAAGGTGCGACTTATATTCGGGGAAATACGGTACTAGTACACATGTGGCGTAATGGTGGTTAATACATACCTGCCCACGCTACGCTCTCAGCTGCAAAGTTAGTTAGTTCTGGCAAAGAGCGTTCCTTCCCTCGCCCGCACCACCACCGCCGCCATCAGTTTGCGCCTAGTGCCTGCATGTAGTTGTTGCATGCCTTAGTCATACCCTCATAGCTTGCTGGTACATCCGCTAGCCCAGCCCAGCACAGCCCAGCCCAGCACATAGGCGATGGCGCGATGGCAGTTGCCCGCCGTGTGGAGACTGCTCAGCTGATAAGAGCAATCATGTGTGTGTACTACGTTATGTAAACACTCCTCCAGAATGTGGGCAATACGCTCTTTGCGGCCGCTCTGTACATACCAAAAATGGCACTGTATCTGTGAACCGGGGTATTCCTTAATATGGTCATGGTCTTGCCGTTTTTTTCAGAATTCACAGTGAGGAAAGAGTGGGTATGCTATAGTCAATGCATGCTGTCACCTGTGTGGTTGTTGAAATGGGCCACATAACTATTGGTATCGGGTTAAAGGGCGTGTGTTGGGCTTGACGACTGATTCACGTGTCTGCCCAGTGTGGAGGCTGCCCGTGTGTGAAATGGAGGTTGTCCTCGATACGGTGTACCTCTACATGTGCGTATTGGGGGTTGCCCTCATCTCATATCACTAACCTGATGCACTACTGTGTCTACAGCTGTACCAAGGGTACGTAAACAAGCTCGTGTGACTTGTCAGCAGCTTGTCAAATCCATTGGCCTTTTTACGTCATGGTTTCAAATCATTCTGAATCTCTCTCTCCCTCTCTCTCCCTCTCTCTCTCCCTCTCTCTCTCCCTCCCTCCCTCTCTCTCTCTCTCTCTCTCTCTCTCTCTCTCTCTCTCTCTCTCTCTCTCTCCCTCCCTCTCTATCTCCCTCCCTTTCTCTCTCTCCCTCTCTCTCTCTCCCTCTCTCTCTCTCTCTCTCTCTCTCCCTCTCTCTCTCTCTCCCTCTCTCTCCCTCTCTCTCCCTCTCTCTCTCTCTCTCTCTCTCTCTCTCTCTCTCTCTCTCTCTCTCTCTCTCTCTCTCTCTCTCCGGCGCAGGAGTTTCACAAGCAGCTGAAGAATGGTGTCAGACGAAGCTCATGAGCTGTGGAGTCGCCTCGAGGACCTGGAGTTCTCTCTGAGAAAGACGTGCCCGTCCAACGTTGGCAAGGAGAACGCGCCGCTGAACCGCTACAAGGACATCTTGCCGTACGACAATTGCCGAGTGGTGCTGAGCCCCGCGGTGGGCGGCTCCGACTACGTCAATGCGTCGCTGGTGCGGGCCCGCACGGACGGCATGCCCGACGCCATCGCCTCGCAGGCGCCGCACAACGACAGCGCCTTTGCCGGCTTCTGGGCGTGCGTCTGGCAGAACGGCGTGACCGCCATCGTCGTCCTGTCCAACATGATGGAGAACGGGCGGGTTAAGGTGCACCGGTACTTTCCGGATACGGTAGGACAGTCGGTGGAGCACGGAGCCACCGTCATCACTCTCGTCGCCAAGGAGGCGAACGGCGATGTGATCACACGGCGCATGTCACTGGCGTGCCAGAACGCGGTGCGCGACGTGGTGCACGTGCAGTTCACGGGCTGGCCGGACCGGAAGGTACCCGAGTCACCGTCAGTCCTGCTCTCTCTCATCCGCCTGGTGCGCGGCACGTTGCACCGACAGCGCGTGTCCCCGCCGCCCGGCTCCAGCGTGCGACCATCGCCACTGCTAGTGCACTGCTCTGCCGGCGTGGGCCGTACGGGCACCTTCCTGGCGCTCATGGAGATGAACATCATGCTGGAGCGCAACCCGGCGGCCGGCGTCGACATCATGGCCGTCATCAGTCACCTGCGCCGCTGTCGCACCCGCATGGTACAGACCAACGTGCAGCTCGACTTCCTGCTGGAGGCGCTCGCGCATCTCCGGTCGTTCGGCACCTCGGCCGGTCGTGCGGCCGGTGCATCAGGCGCAGCGAAGGGCGTCGGTGCCAGCAATAGCCAGCACGCCATGCAACTATCCAACACAGAGCTGCAGCAGCGGCGTGCAAACATGTCCCGTACCAGCGACGGCGCGGGTAAGCGTGGTCCTGTTCCCGCCGCCACCCCTGCCAGTTCCATGTCCAATGCATACGCTAAGCCCAGCACAAACGGCGAGGACTTGTTCGGCAGCGATCCGTTTGGCGACAGTTTTGTCCAGCTGGGCAGCTCGGCAGCACCGTCGCAGGCAAACGCCGGCGGAAAGTGGTCAGCCGCGACCGCTTTATCGTCTGCATCGACGGCCACGGCTGCTGCTGCTGCTTCGGAACAGGCGCACAGAAACCGTAGCTCGCCATGGGACACGCCCGGCGTATCTGGACTGCGCCCGCAGGCACGGGCAAGCGCGCAGCCGGGCGCGGGTTCTACCAGTGCCTTTGCGGCGTCCGACTTTGCCAGTCCTCCGTCCAGCCTTACCGCTACGTCCGCGGCGGCCGACCAGAGTGAGTCACTCATCGCCCTGTGCGGTAGTCGCTCACATTCCATGACGGCTGCTCCTGGATTAGGTGGCTTTCTGCCCACCATTCCCAGTGCTACAATGACGCTTGGTGGCGGTGGTCCTGTTGCTTCTTTGGCAAGTGATACGACCCTATTTTCTTCTACCAATCAGTCGACATCATCAGCAGATCCGTTCGCACCACAGCAGCAGCAGCAGCAGCCTCTGCAACAGACTTTCTCTCACAGCAACTTTTCTTCTCGCGGCAGCAACCCGGCTGCTCGGGACCTGTTCGACGCGGCCCCGTTCTCGTCTATGCCTGCTCCTGTACAACAAGAGCAACAACAACAGCAGCCGCTGAGCAGTGGCTTTCCGGCACCTTCCACTCAGACTTCCATGCCATCCGCATTCAGTAGCAATCCTTCGCAATCGATGGGCATGGGTACCAATGCGTTTGCGTCATCGTCCCACTTCCCAGCTGGCCAGCAGCATAGCGTGTTTGGTTCCGCAGCACAGCCAGCGCTCTCTAACCCAGCCCTGTCCAGTCCCTACGCCCAGTCTAATTCGCAGCAGTCGGGCCACTTGCCCCAGACGTCAGCAGCATACAGCCAGGCCGGTTCGGCTCCGAATTCCACCGGCAGCATGCCGTTTCCCAGCGTGCAAGGTGCAGCTAACACCGGTTTTCCTGCCGTCAGCCAGCACCACATGCAGCCACAACAAGCGCAGCAGTTTCCAACATTCCAACAACCGCTGCAGCCAGAACAATCCGGCTCTTTTCTACCCAGCATTGCAGCGGCGACTAGTAGCCCTGCGTTCTTCCAGCAGCAGGGAATGTCTGGATGCCCTGCCAGTGGTGGTGCAAGTGCATCCGCCTCGTTACCCGCTACCGGTCTGCCTTCCATGCAGGCGTCGGGCATGGCATCTCCGCAGTTTGCACACGGCGTCGCTGGATCTGCTGCTGCTGCTGCTCCAGCGGCGGCAGCCGTGGGTCATTTCCCGTCTAGTCAGCGCACTCCGCAGACGGCGAATCTCTTCTCCTCGATCGGCACGGATCCGTTCTCATCGGCTGGCAACTCTCCCATGTATCCGCAGCAGCAGCAGCAGCAGCACTTATCCTATAGAGCCCCTCTCCAGGGAAACACGGGCTTCAGCAACGACCGGCAAGGAGGCGGCGGCAGTGGCTGGCAAGCAGCTGGCCAGACTTCAACCAACTTCCCTGCGGCGTCGACCGGAAACCCTTTCGGCGGTGTATCGCCTGCAGCTTCGGCTGCTAATGCCAATCCCTTCTCTATGGGCACTGGACAGGCATCACCACACTCAGGCATAATGGCTGCCTCTGCTTTCCCCACTCCTGGTCACCAGCAACAACAACATTATCAACAGCAGCAACAGCAGCCGTCACAGTGGCCAGGCCAGTCGCCGAATCCTCAAGACTCGCTGAATCCGTTTGCAATGCACAGTATGTCTGGTGCCGGTGCCGCAGCAGCATTGTCGCCGTCACCTGCCGGCCCCGTTGCTAATGGATACGGTGGCGGCGGCGGGAGCATGACACTGGGTGGAGCTGCTCAGACTGTTGCTGCCGCTGGCGCTTTCCAGACGCAGCAACAGCAACAGCAGCAGCGCCGCTTTGCCATGGCGTCCAAGCCCGTGTCCAGTAGCTCGGATCTTCTTGGAGAGTTCAATATCGGCTCGATGAAATTAGTATGAAGTGTTCGTCGCTGTTGCCCACTACTCCCCCTTCCCCTGCCATGGTGGACAGCTACCATTATCACAGGAATAACGGCACCAAAGCTTAGTAGTAATGGCGGCAGTGGTGGTGGTGGTGGTGCCAGTTCTAGTTGGGTTTCTTTCAATGGGCACTACCCCAGGCAGGCCAGGCCAGGATACGGGCTGATATCAGCTCGACACACCGGCCGGCTAATGCCTCTCCTGTGAATGATAGATAATAGTAGTTTCTTGCCGGCGCTTCTCCTTCTGGTTTTTATGCTCTTCGAAGATACGTTTCTCTTGCTTCTCTTCCGCCGCTTGCATGCGGTGATTACGTGCTGCTCTTTGTTTACCCAGGTTCTCTTGTCATTGATGTTATTGACCTTTCTTGTATTTGTAGTCCCTGGGCTATCTTTTTTTTAAATTAAATTATAATCTAGTATTTAGTGTAGCATTTTAACCCAATGGAATTCGAAAGACACGGTATCTTTATTTTTTATCGACACCCGCCTCCGGAAAGTGCCCCCGTCGTTTTCCCGAACAGACGTATCCCCTCACACTAGATTTTGCCATTGCCCATTTGCGATCGACCTGCACGTTGCCTCTTCTTGATTTTCTAAACTGCTTCTGTCCTCCGCTTTTTTTGGTGCGTCTGTTTGAGATTGTGTATGTCAAAGTGCAGCAAGAATGTTTATTATTATATTGCCAGCAGCAATGCCTGGGGGTCAGTCGTTATCGTTTCTATCTTCGTCTTCAGTCTTGTATTATTATTATTATTATTATTAATTTTTTATTCGTTCGTCACTCTGTCATAATCAATATCGTTGCTATTATTATTACTGTAGTATTTATCTGTGATTTTGCAAGCACGCAAGGTATATTTTCACCAAGAGTACATAACCCCCCAAGAGTGTGCAACTCCCACATACCCTGCTGTCCCGACAGAACTTCAAGTTGACGTCATTATTTATGATGCAATGCTCCTTCCACCAGTGACTTACAACATGTGTGCGGATGTCGACGCATTGCCCGTTTTTCTTTGCAGTAATTTGCACATGATCAGATGGGCTTTGGTCAACCACAGGTTCCGGATTCGTCTGATAATCCGTGTACAGTGGGCATTGCATCATAAAAATGACGTCGACTTAAAATTCTGTCGGGACGGCACCCATAGTCGAGTTGCACACTCTGGGGTATGTACTCTTGCTTTCACCGAACGGGATATTGTCCGAGCGCTTCATGTGTGTGTGTGTGTGTGCAGAATCCAGGATTTTGCACCCTAATTTCAAAATTTTCCGGGGAGACCCCCTGCGGCCGGACCACCAACGGGGGTGCTGTGCGCCTGCCTTCTATTGGGTAGTTTTGTATTTTGTATGCAGAGATGATAGGTATGCTATGCAGAGTTCTAGCCAGGTCAAAATACATGTAGTATGGGGGGGGGGGGGGGACATGGGAAAAAGTAAGTTACCCCAGAACCTATTTCAAAATTTTTCCAAAATTATCTTGCCATGCAAAATGCAGCATACAGGGTGAACGACTTCACCCCTCATAAATGTGCCTCAGTTTGCAAGCCCTCCAGACGACTATAGAGAGGCGGCCCCTTTTCGATCTTGGGTTTTTGTAGGGTTCCGCCAGCTAGCAGCTGTGCACAAAGCAAAGGAAAGTTGTACATATGAAAGAGAACGGGGGTACGGGAGTCAAAACCGTACACACTTCTGAAATGCGTAGCTTTTGGTAGTACACCGTACACATTATGTAGAGTTCCTTATCTGCACCGTACTGTCATGCGTACATGGGGTTATACGCACCTGTTTTGAGTACATTCAGTGGGCAAGGCCCTACAGACCTTCAGAAAAAAAGAAGTTGCCAGCGTCTTCTTACAGCGAACAATTCTCTCTGCAGCAGCATGCAAACCACAAAAACTACCCAATAAGGTTACACAAGCATAAGAGATAATACAATAAATGAATAAATACTACAGTCAACTTGGCTAATAACGACTGCGGATATAACGACAATTCGCGAATAACGACAGAATTTCCATGCCCAGAGCAAAGTCCCATCCAACTGTGACACATAATGAGACTTCAGGTATAACGACACTTCGCGAATAAGGACACTTTTCTGATGCCCCGCCGAGTGTCGTTATAAGCGAAGTTGACTGTATTAGCAAAGTGTTTATGGACTCTTGCTATTAGCCAGCATGTCATGTAACCTCATTCTAAAATAGTTAGTGCATGGCAGCAGGAAAGTGGGCTATGTACTACTCTTGATGGCAGGGAGAGCCTTATGCAGTTATGGCTCAGTTGTTTGTACCCTTCAGGTTAGCCCTGGGGCCTACGCCCCCCCCCCCCCCCCAACCGCACACACACACTCATCACTTTTATGGCCAGGTTCTATCCCGGAGCGGCGGATCGATGTGTGCGGGCACTGAAACCAAATCAACAAATCCTCCCTGGGCTAGCTGATCCGTGGCATGCACTGAGGGCAAGTAAATAATTCAACCTGGGGACTGGGGAACTAACTTTAGTAAAAACACAATCATCATTCACGGGATGAAAACTGCCAGGTACAGGCTGGCAAATACTCGTAGCAGGCTTCCACGGCTGAACATAGATAGAACCTTACGATATAAACGTTACTAACTTGATCTGTGCCATGTGGTGATATTCAGACGGTAAGATCAAACATAAAATTAAATAATGGTATGACTTGGGAGTATGGGCAGGAAATTCAACCGCATCCGGCAGCATACTGCACATTATCGGTTGTTTGCAGAGCAAAAGGAAATTTTCCTAACACAAGCAGAACGGTCTAAACTTGCAAATGAACTCAAGTGAAAGCCGAGGGAAAGCATCCGCATACGTGCATGCGAGCGTAGTAGTGCACGTTCAGCTACAATTGATTGCAACATCATGCACGCTAGCGCATGCACGAGCGACAACAGCTCTTATTTAAAAAATCTACAATAGGACAGCAAGCGACGTGCAAAGAACAGCACGTTGCGCGGTTTCAGCGTTGCGCAGACACGAGAACAGAGAACAGTACTAGAATCACAGATAACTAGTCACATAACAATAACACATTGCTCCAGCGACCATTATAACGACTACATGCTGCAAGGATACAGGCACTGTGCATGACTGCATCCTATCCAACATCTAACAGTGTCCAGCGCCCGGGCAGAGCACTGCAGTCGGTTCTGATCGGCAGCATGCGTGCCACGCTCGCAGACTTTAATGCACGCACACACACACACACACACACACACACACACACACACACACACACACACACACACACACACACACACACACACACACACAGCACACGCACGCACACACACACACACACATATACACATTGAACCGGACGCATGCGTGGCTCGTGTTCGACGGCATCCACACCGGCGGCCATTGAACACAGCGGCAGGCAGCAGTAGTCGGTGTATCATGCACCACCGCCACACTACACGGCGGTGGCGAGATCAAACACCATCAGAGTGTGCAGGGCTCAGTAGAGATAGATGACGGACGTGCGCATGTGGGGACCGCTGGGAAAGTACCCATCCTCGTAACGCATATCACCTCCTCGCTCGATATAGAGATTGCCGTACGGGTATTCCTTGGCCACCATAGAACGGCGGATGTACGCCGACTCTGGGCACGTATCCATGTAGTATTTCATACCCAGGTAGACGGCGATCCAGAAGGCGATGATCGAGCCGCAGTACATCAGCGGATAGTACCACCTCTCCAGATGAGTTATACGGTCGGGCGCGTACACGTCGAACGACCAGTCCGTCAGCGTGTCAAAGTCGTCGTGAATGATCGTGTTCAGATTCCGCCTATCGTAGTTGTCCTGCCATCCGTACGTCGGCAGTTCGTTCATGTGCACCCTGGGCAGGCGGGGGTAGTTGCCTAGATCGGTCGTCGGCTCGTAGGAGCCGAACCACGTGTAGAAGCGCTTCAGCAGCGGATTGCGCTCCGTGACGCTCGTCCCTTCGCACCTTCGCTGGACAGTGGTAATAGGTGATAGGTGGCTCATAGCTCCCGCAGCTGGTTGTACTGGCGTCCGTGCACCGCAGGACAACGCCAGTTTGCTACACCTCAGCATGGCCATATCGCAATTTTTTTTCCAACAGAGGTAAAGTCAGCAGCAGCCACACACGTCTTGCTTGCCCCAGCCGATAAACTCCTTACTCAGCACCGCCGAGGGAAGAAGCTTCCTTCAGCTTTCTCCACTGTATTATCAAGCCTCGTCGACCTGAGAGCTTCCTTGCTCCAGCAAGCTTGGCAAGTACGAGTCGTACTGTAACCAAACTACACCAACTGCCAAGAACAGTTTCTTGAGCTTTTCAGCAACATTCGACTTTTTTTCGGCTAGCTCTACGTTTGACTGCTGCTCGGTGTTGGCGTTGTACTTGTAGCCGCTAGCGCTACAATACAGTCTACAGCTACTACCGTACTGGCAATATATGTTGCCGCAGTGAGGCCATGAAGCGTTACATTGGCACATGTTTGCCGCACGCAGGGCGTTACATGCAAAGTCGCACAGGAGCCGTTACACAGGTTTCTATATTGCCGCAGTCCTTTTTTTGCTATTGCCGCATCACTTTTTTGCTTTTGCCGCATCATTTTTTCTTGTGCAGTGCAAACTGCAATGAAAAGATCGCCGCACCCCGCCGGACGCGCGTTACGAACTCAACGAAAATTTGTCGCACTAGCCTGGTCGCGCGTTACGCCGCACCCCCCTGCGTTACGCGTTACGCGGCAACATATATTGCCAGTACGGTAGTATACAGTCTTACAGACTCACATTATCGCAGTGCCGACCGATCTAGCAGTGCAAAACTTCGAAATCACTTCAAAGTTGACCAAATAAACCAAACCGATTTTCTAATTTTGCACTTTCCGATTTTGTAAACATGGCAACGGTTCGACTCGGTGATCTTGGACAAAATGGCGCGTGCCTGCGTAGATAGTGCAGTGCATGGCTGCATATGCATGGCGCAGTGCACGTCGAAACCGAAGCTTCAAACCGGTGAACACCAGTGAAGGAAAAAAGACCAAGAAGAACAGCTTCGAAATCTCTCCTTGTTGCAGTACTTTTTTTTCTTCCGTTCTTCACGAACAAGCAGATACCCAGGAATTATGGCGGATCCTATGGAGATGTCCCTTGATGACATTATCAAGACCCAGCGCCAGGGTCGTGGACGACGTGGACGTCGTGGAGGTGCTGGTGGCCAGCAAGGTGGCCAGCAAGCTGCCGCCAACAACAAGTCTCCTTTCAAGGTAAGCGCTCCTTGAGTTTTTCCTGCCTCTTTGGCTTATCTTTGTTTCCGTCATACATATTGTGCGGAGCCAGTGTAGTCTAGAAGCTTGGTAGGGGTAGAAAGTAAGTTTGTGAAGCTGAGATAACTTGGTTTTCACTTTTCAGTAGTCTCTTTGTCTCCAAACATTTTTTTTGTCCTGCTTTTTCTATGACTAGGCATATCTCTGACTTTTCTTGCCGCCTAAATCATACTATTATCAGTTCTCGTCATTGGTGGTTGATTTTGCCTGGTACATAGAACTGTAGCCGTTTGACTTGCGTCTTGCAAGTTCTGGAATAGAAAGAAGAAAGTGCTCGCGTCCTCCCTGTTGAAAAATATTCGTTTTTTCTTCATTTTTGTAGAATGGAGGTACCGGTAAATCATTTCCTTTGCTATCTCAGTCTGGCGCACTTGTGCCAAGATGCTTTTCGCTCTGTGCACTGGCGTTCGCCGGCGAAGTGCATCTATGCTGTAAAAGTACCGATTTTGTATCCCTTTCAGGTATCGCCAAAGAAAACAGATCTTGCATTCTGCTGAAAAGTGTGCAAGTACATTGTACAGTGGTGGCATGCGAAATCCAAACCCTGGATTTTTACATCATGCAAACTCTGCGAAGCTGAAATTATTAGTGAGTCGTGGGCATGCCCCTGGTATGCCAGCAAATGGTGAAGATCACTTTTACAGGGCAGAACAACAGAGGGAATCTTTCTCGTAACTCCGAGTTTCGTGTTTCAAAAAACACTCATCAGACGAGTTTTTTGAAACACGGAACTCGGAGTTACGAGAAAGATTTTTGGTCTCTGTTGTTCTGCCCCGTGTGGTAAGCTCTGCCCTTTTTGAGGTATTGAGCACTATTTGCAGCAAAGACTCCAGACACTTTGAAAATCACTTTTATATCTTTTTTTGTTCTCGTCTTGAATTATGCATAATGTACTGCAGCATGTGTGTGTACCATTGTACTGTATGTATCCCCATATTCATGATGGGGGATACACCAAATACACGACGAGCGCAAGTGCATACGTGCCGAAAGCAGCGCCAAGGCTCGTGCGGTCCTGGAATAGGATTTTTTTATTAGAGTGTGCATGATGTGATTAAAATGGAAACAAGGCGCTACTGTTGACTTGCAGGTCCGATTTCTTTGAGCAGCACTGTAGTTCCAGTGCGATCAGCAGAGTGTAAAGCAGAGTGGCAGCTCATGGCGGAGGGACCAATTCTACGTTTTATCTTCCCTTTTTTTCCATGTCAAATGACCACGTGCCTTTGCCACGTCATGCTTGCCATCTCACACAAGTTGACGTGACTTTTTGCCATATCGCCGATCTAATTTTGATTCGGCTTTGCCGCATGTCGTGCGCTTACGGTACGGACGGTAATATCCCGCCAGGAAGCGTGTTCAAATTGGCAGAGTCGCCATTGCATGCATCACTGTATGCCACTGTTGCCCGCACTTAAAAATGCAACTTTTGCGTGGTATACTCGCAAGTTAGACAGAAATTCAACTCTTTTCATCGCTCCCTGATTTGTACGGTAGTACAGCTACGTTCCCATTCCTAGTGTTCACATTCGACGCAGTCATAAGCTGGTTCGCACGGTCGTCAAGTGTGGTCTGTTCTGTAGGGTCATTACAAAGAAAGTTTCTTTCTTTGCGGTGTTGATTTTATTCTTATCTTTGTGTTCTGTTATGCTGGCAATGCAGGGAGGACGTGGACGACCATTCCGTCGTGGAGCAGGTCGTGGTGCACCGGCTGGTCGACCAAGAGGTGCAGCTGCTGCTGTAGGAGGGGGAGCAGGAGGTGCCGCCGCAAGCAGTGGCCACATTATCATTTCTAACTTGGACTTTCAAGTATCCGACGGTGACTTGAACGTAAGTGCTTACGAGCAACATAAACTTCGACTTAGAGTTGTTTGTTGAGTGTTGCAAGCCCCCCAAAAGAAATTAGAACATAGTGAAATTTAATCTTTAGTTCTACTGAAGTTGTGCTGAATTTGCTGTAAATTGGAAAAAATTCGATGATTTTTGCCTTTGGGCTATTTTCAGCAGATTCAGTTCAACCTTGACATGGTTGATATTTCATTTACTCCACTGCATTTGTACATGGAGGAAAGGATGCGTGGTTTGAACTCTGAACGTGGACTAAAGTCCTGCAGCTCCCCAAGGCCCAGATTTGCCACAGCTGGCTTGTATAGTGCTGCTGAAAGAAATCCGATCGGTAGAGTCAAGTTTGCACCCTGCATCAGTTCTCCATCCCAGTGTTCACAGGCGTGGGGTTGCACAGCACCCGGCCTGGCATTGGCTTGCTTGATCGGATTGCATTGAGCAGCACGTTATATTCCCATTGTTCCAGGTTAGACCGTCTTGGACTAGCTCACACCTGACTGATTTCTCCTGTGTATCTTCTTCCGTGTGTAGGAGCTCTTTGGCGAGTTCGGGCAGATCAAGAAGGCCCGTGTGCATTTCGATGCCAGTGGCAAATCGCAGGGATCTGCTGACGTGATATTTGCCCGCTATCAAGACGCCATGCGCGCCCTGCAGAAGTACAACGGAGTACCCCTGGATGGTGAGTGAGAGTCGGAGTCGGCGTGGTCGGAGTCCGATGACGTTTCCTTCTAGCCTGCATTCTTCTCGTGCCACTCGTGCTGCTCGTCGCCACACCATACACCCACCACGTCCACACACGGCCGCCGCTGTCGGTGCTTGGTCCACAATGGCCTGGTATCAACGCCTACCCGTGGCTTCCACTGTGTGTCTCTCTGTGTCTCTAATTGTGTGTCACCTGGCAGCGTGCCTGCCTCTGTTAGTGTCCGTAACTAACGTGTCAGGGAACCAGAAACGGCCGGTAATATGTTGAGCAGCGGCGTACAGTTAGTATTGCTGGAGTGGCCAGTGCTGTTTTTGCTGCTGCTGCTACTGCCACTGTGTACGGTGGATGCCACTCTCAACATCCTACTGGCCAGCCCTGCATGCCGCGTCCAGCAACCGGGTGCACCCGTGCCAAGAGGCAAGGACGACGTGTCGTCACAGGCGGAGAAAGAAAGTCGTCCCTCGTGGCGTCTGCATGGTTTTCAAGTGTGCAATCAGTTGGTGTGTAGTTGTGCCCATATCCTTTCTCAAATATGCCTGCCTTTCCGGCTGAGCAAATCTGCACACTCTTCGGAGTGGTGCTCCAAATTGCCAAATAGCGCACTTTTCACAGTGGCGCAAAGCCCACTTTTCACAGTGGTGCTTAGGAGCGGCACTTTCAAAGTGCTCCTCGTGTCCCCTAAATGGGGACAGTCATTGGCAAGTGAGATTGTTCCAATCTCTCTCTCAGAGTTTTTGCACTCTGCCCCCGTCACCCAGCGTCCGTCCAACCGCCGACCCAGTCACCGCGACCGTCGACGACGCATCCGCAGCCGTCATCCGTCCGTCCAACCTCTGCGCTGCGTCTCCGTTTCATTGTTCGAGTAGCCACACATGTTCAGTGTTCTGATGTTATTTAGTCATTGGTAGTTCCTCATTCTCCTGTTACTATAGCCATGGTCAGTATCGTGTAGCGTGTAGAGGTTGCAAATGATGACGGCCATGTTTGGTGAGCACACTAGTACCTACCAATGGGACCAAGTTGCCTGTGATAGCTCAATGAGTGCCGATGGTGAGAATAAGGTGCTCTGGGTGGTTCACGATCATCTTGACTCTCTGCATTGTTGGCCTCCGTGTGGCACGGTAGGTTGTCTGTAGCAGTGTGTGTGGAGAGATATGAGAGAGAGAGAGAGAGAGATTGTGTGCGTGTGAAGCTTGTACTGTACCCTCCTCTCCTATCCCAACATTCTCTCTCTCTCCCTCTCACGCACACAAACGTTGTTTCCTGTGATTTGTACCTTGTATCGGTTCCCACGTTTCCATGTGTCATTGTCAAGGTCACTTTTGGCACTCCCTCATTCATACTTTGTAGTTTAGTGGGTTGGTTTGTGAGGCAGTTTTCCAAACGAGACGTTGCGGGTTCTAGTCCAGGTGGGGTATGGGTCCTAGCATTTTTCCCTCTTTCGTTTGCCTTGGCTCTTTATTCTGGCTGACTGCTGCTTGTCCATGTGGCATGCATGTGCGGTTGTGCCTTATGAGATGCACGGGGCTAGAGTGATGGTGCTTGTTCAGCTATGCAGCTGTACTGAGTGCCTAGGTAGTTTGTTGGCACTTCTGGAGCGCACGCTCTTACCACTTGTGTTTACTAGCTACCAAACATCTTTTTTTCTTTTCTTTTTTGTCGCCCCTTCGTGTCTCTCCTACTTCCCCTGTTCTTTCTCTTGGTATTCAGTTTCTATCCCAATGGCTGTTCATCTGACTTTTTCTCGCTCGAGTCAGTCAAGTGTTTCAATCTGAATGAAATTTTACTGTCCTCCCCCCCCCCCCCCCCCCCCCACACACACACACACACCACCACCACCAACAAGCTCTTGGAGATCACTGCTTCTCTTCTGATTGTGTGAACTCTAACGCTGCCCTGTTGTCTTTCCCCATGTTAGCACTGTTTTTGCGGTGGTTGTCTTTGTACCTTGTCACATGTGCTGTAATCTATACATTCGTTGTCTATTGTGTCTCTGTACATGTACTGTTTCAGTCCAGCTGTCCTTTTTCATCTGTCCCAACCCGTTTTGGAGGCAGGGACCACTGTATTATAAACTGCTGTAAAATGCTGTGCTGCTGTCGCTGTTGTGTACCCCGCTGCTCCCGTTCTTCAATGCTTCTTCCGGTAAACAACAGGTCGTGAGATGAGGATCATGATCGCATCGGGACCTTCTCAGATGATGTCGCCACCGAGAACACAGTGAGTGCCGTGCGGGTGTAGGTGCAGCAGTCCCTTCCTATCATGCAGTGTCTTCTCCAGACTTCCATGTGGAGGGTTTTCTTTTCTTTGCACCTGTGGCTGCCTTTCTTTCCTGGAAATCTGTATGTGCATGCTTTGCATGGACACCGGGCTCGTGTACGAGCAAGAGTGCAGCTCCTGTCCATTGGCTTGCGGCAGCACAATTTCACATGCTGTAGCAAACCCATGCACGCTGGCTGCAGCTCAGCATGATAACTACGATTGTGCGTAAGAGCCTGCTGTGGGCGTTCCGGCAGTCACTCTGCAGTGCTGTCAGCGTAACCTATTGCCCCATGTCTTGTGTGAGTGAAACTCTGCTGTCGCATCACTCAATGGCGTAGTATAGCACACTCTCTTAGGGCTATGTACTCTTGCTAGTCCCAGTCATGCTTTATACACTATTGCAAATGGCGCTTGTAGCTTGGAGGGGAGGCAGATGTACCAATCTTTGCAGACAACTATAGGTCACAGTCGGAAATGGCAGGAATGTCTGATGAAGCCCGAAAATTTGTTGGAATATAAAATTGATTTGATTCGCGGTAAAGTGATCGTTATTGGAGTTGAGGAGGGAGGTTTTATGTCCAGGCAACCTAGCCATTCGCTTTTGGGTTCTGCTTGCCTTTTCTATTCTTTTGGTGTGTTATGTATTGTCTGCTTGGCACTGAATGTTCTGTCTGGTGTTTCATGTAGATATTCTCCCGGACGTGGAGGTCGCGGTGGACAGCAGCGAAGTGGCTACTCTGGCAGGAGCAACGCAGCGACACGAGGTAGCGGCGGCGGTGGCCGCGGGGGACGATTCCAACGTCGCGGCGGTCGTGGTGGTAATGCTGGCGGCGGTCGTGGTGCTCCCGCACAGCGTAGCATGACCAAGGAGCAGCTCGACGCCGAGATCGACGCCTATCACTCAGAGGTATGCGGCGACGGCCACCTGTTTGTTTACGAGCATGTCTATATGTTTGTGTGCGTGTGTGTGTGTGTGAGAGAGAGAGAGAGAGAGAGAGAGAACAGTATGTATTCTACGACCTGTGTCCCTGAACCCGAATGCTTTAGCTGCATGATCAGACTAGGCTGTTGGCTAGCCGAAAAAGGCTTTCCCTGGTAGATTCCTTAGCTATACATGTACTGTCTTGTATATCATGTTGAGACATGGTGGGTTGCCATAACGTCTGTCTGAGACCGGAAAGATGGATCAGTGAGTACACAGGAGGACATTTTCCCAAAGTTAATTCCGCGTGTTTGTGTTTGTCGTGTGTCTGTTTATGTAGGCTCAGCCCATGGACGCTTAAAATGTTTATCGTCATTCTCCGAGTCGCCATGGTATGTGTCCTGCGTTCATCCCGTCTTGATGGAAACGGCCATTTTCCATGGCACGTCTTGAATTCACGTCTTGTTCAGCACTCGACGGCACGGAGTAGATCTCTCGCCGCTTGTATTGGTGAGCGATGATATGCGCCACAGCGTGGCGTCACGGTATGTCTGCTTTCACCGAGTGTATTTGTAGATCAGTGGGTGCAAGCGCAGACAACGCACCTGCTCATTGTCTGGGTTTTTTCTGTGCCGTTTGGGTACGATTTAGTGTTTAGTGTGTGCGTGTGTATGCTGATATCTTTTCGCTGTGCATATATGCTACCTTGCTAGGCTTTATTCTGCTGCTTTCAACTATTTGTGCGTATGCCTGCCCCCCGTGTGTGTGCGCGCGTGTGTGTGTCTTGTTCCCCGCACTGCATTCTTGTATGACTAGCTCACCTCTGACCTGTACACAGAGCTTGTTGTTGGTGTCCCGTTGTCCCCCATTGTCCGCGCTTCATGCGTGTGTGTACTCTTGTCTCTCCCTGCCCCCGAGCCGACTAGCTCGCTTGACCGACCATGTCTGTGTTAATCAACTATGCTGTCAACAAAATTATAAATAAGCCCCGCCACTGTTGTTGCTGTTGTTGTTATAATGTCCGTTCTGAATAACTACCATGTGTGTTTTCTGCATCGATTCTATGCATGTACTTTGCTGAATGATTTCTGATCACCGTTTTCGTGTGTAAAAAACTCTTATTGACGTAATCAACCTCGTCTGCTAGCCTCGAGCTGTGTGTGGTGTGTGTGTGTGTTTGTGAGGCAGAGAGAGAGAGAGAGAGAGAGAGAGAGAGAGAG